AAAAGATAATAATACAACAAAATTGGACAATGTTTGAGTCAGAGAGCGAACAATAGAATTACGAGCAAGTAATAAAATGGTGCGTACAAATGTTAGCTGAAGATGGGGAAAATGAGAGACAAAATAGATATTAGGGAGTGGTAATGAGCGGATATAATTTCAAAGCACAAATCATGCAACATGCAAGGGTAAGAAAAGAGAGTGGGAATTAAAGGCTACATTAAATAATGCAATCGATAGTCAAAACAGAAAAGAATGATAGAAATTGAAATTTAAAAAATATAATAAAGCACAACAACTTGTTTGTTTTTATCATTAGATAAGTGAAAGAGATCGAGGTCATGGTAACAAAAAAGTGAAAGGGAAGGGGGAATCAAGCAAAAAAGAGTGATGTGATCCGATGAACAAATGAGTACAAAATAATTAAAATCATGTTGGCAGTGTCAAGCCAGACGGCAGACAGCCAGCGATCAATGCATCATGATTATACCAGCCCATTGAAGCTAGTGCATTGACGAAATCACCGTACACTCAAGCTCACTCAGTCACTGCATGCATTGCACTGCACTAGCAGTTGTGTACCTATAGCTACAACAGCACGATTGTATTTTGATCTGAATCTAATATCATTAAGGATCAGGCGGTGTAAGGAAATACCAAAGTATTTTTCGCAACAATTAATTCATGCAACAAAGAGATTGTTATGAATACGCACCTGAGCTTGGGAATCCCCCCCAGCTGAGCTGACGTGATGACTCAGCGCGCGATCGCCAGCTGCTGCCAAGCTTGGCTCAGCTGAGATCACGTCATCATCGCCCAGCCAGAAATGCAGCGCATGCGCACGAGGGAGCGATGACATCATGTGAAATGTCACGGGTCATCTGGAGAACGGACGCGTATGCGGATGCACACTGAAGACGAAGGAGGAGGAGTTTAACGATCGCGCTCAATAAGCGCCGCAGCTAAGCAACAGGCGTACGCTATGCATATAGCGCTACGCAGATTGCTGCTCGAGCTGCTCAGCTGTTGAGCACAATTTGCAACTCTGCGTGTAACATCTTTTTCGACCATTCTGATCAAAATCGTATGAATATTGAATAGATTTGAGGGGGCTGTATCTTTTGATAGAAACATCGGTTAGTCTTGAAATTTAGAATGGGTAGTTATGAGTCAATGATTTTTCTAAATATCCAACAATAATGGTGACAAACGATCCGAAAGTGAAAATTGAAAAATCGTCCAGACACCCTAATAGTAGCCTTAAGGGCTCTCTCGAAATGTTTTTTTAATGATATTATTCGAGAGAGCCTTAAACGGCTCCCATACCCCTGCACGGAGAGGCATGTAAACAAAACTCAAAAGTGGTCCAAAATCACACTTTCGCGCACCCGACCAATATTGGACAGTGGCTTTGATAAATTTTGTCCGAGTTTTGGTCTTAATTAGCGCTTTAATTTCAAAATCGGATCTAAAAATAACAAAATAAGAGCAATTTTCTTACCAGACCGATACAGCTCAGCTCCCTTTTCATGTGTACCGTGTGAATTCACGATGTCTACACAATGGTGATGACCTCTGACTGGCACTTCCGTAATTGTGGGTAAATTGTGCTGCTTCCGTATAATGCGCTGTATGAGTGTTATTCAGCGCATTATACGGAAGCAGCACATTTACGAAGTGCTAGTCAGAGGTCATCACCATTGTGTAGACATCGTGAATTCACACGGTACACGTGAAAAGGGAGCTGAGCTGTATCGGTCTGGTAAGAAAATTGCTCTTATTTTGTTATTTTTAGATCCGATTTTGAAATTAAAGCGCTAATTAAGACCAAAACTCGGACAAAATTTATCAAAGCCACTGTCCAATATTGGTCGGGTGCGCGAAAGTGTGATTTTGGACCACTTTTGAGTTTTGTTTACATGCCTCTCCGTGCAGGGGTATGGGAGACGTTTAAGGCTCTCTCGAATAATATCATTAAAAAAACATTTCGAGAGAGCCCTTAAGGCTAGATTATAGAGACTGAAGGATGGGGACCTCTTACTGTGAGGAACTGTACAGAACAAATGGTTTGGTTCGACCGGACCACGATGAATGAGATATGCAACAAAATTTTCACTTTTTACATCCTCATAACTGCTGCAATTATAATAAAAATTAATTTAAAAATAACATATAGGCTATAGAGTAAAGGAGCCCGTTTTCGGCCACTTAAGACAAAATCCTATTTTTAGGACTCTTTACTTCCTTTTTATTATCATTTCTTGTTCAAATCATGAAGCAAATATTATTATTATTTAAACAAAAAAAGAATCCCAGAAAAAAATCACGAATTGCCATGACAATATTCATTTCAATTTTCACTGTTTTGGAGCCGGTTATCGGCCGAGCGTTTCAGTTTACGGCCGCATGTACAAAGTCAATAGGAAGCGCTCGCGCGCGCCGTGCGTTTCCGCGCTGATGTACAGCACAAGCGGGCGGAGCAGGTATCCCACGCCTGAGCTCCCTGGTGCTCGCCTGGCCGAAGACAGGCACAGCGGTGATCGGAAGTTGGAATCTGAATTAGACAGAGATATCGTGTGTGCGTCGCGGTGTGCGGCTGCATTGATTTAATACATGCGATGAGATACTTTTGAGCTTGCGACTAGCACAAAATCGGGCTCTAAATCTGAAAAATACTTGAAATAAAGCTCATTTTATGGTACCCATATTTCTTACAGACACGCGTAAGATACTCGATTTTTCAGATTCGGGTAGCGGGACCGGCGATTACATCGCTAAAATGTGATATTTTAGGATATATTTTTCATTGCAAATGTGGTTCTTCAGTGACACTGGCATGGTATGGTATGTGTGGGATATGTGTTACGCTATTATGCGATGTATTTTAGAGTGATTTTACCTTGCATCCAACCAATCGGCCAAAAACGGGAGCTGGCCGATTACGGGCTCCTTTACTCTATAGCTTATTTGACTTACGATAGCTTGCTCATTTAGATCCTAAATTAATGATTAATCCGAGAAAGTCTCGTCGACAACATTATCCGTCTTGGTTTTAGTTGATGAATATTCATTTTTTCTTTTCGAACGTCCAATAGCTACCGTAGCTACGTACGAGTCGGCCCGGCTTGACCAACGAACTCCCACGAAACAAGTGCTCTGATTGGCCATTGGCGTAGGTTGACCCGGAAATATACCGGCCGCCGGGTCATATAGCTCTATTTTCGAGTGCATGAACGTAGTTTCACAGTTTCTAAGATACAAATTGGATAATTCATATAAGTAAGTCCGAAAATTTCACATTCTATAATAGGTTAGCAAATTTTGAAAACTGTAATTAGGAGATATATAGACCGACCTAATTTACATCTGATTTAGAAATCAGAAAATTAGATCTAAATAAAGAAAATCGGGGAGAAAATGTCGGTAACGAAAAGCTGTTCCGCTGTGGCTCTAATTTACCCACACGGTACGAGATCTCTGGGTTGCCATCTGTATTGGGGAATGACAACAAATGTCAGTTTTATTAAAGAAATGACCCAAATCAGATGGTTATTGCTGTCTAATCCACGCATTGACGATGTAAAATATGGATTCCGCAATGATTTTCTTGAATCTTGATGCATTTTACATTAACTTTGTACAGAGACTTTCACATAGTAAAGGAGGGGTTTTCAGCCACTTAAGACAAAATCCTTATTTTTTGGACCCTTTACTTCCTATTTATTATCATTTCTTGTTCAAATCATGAAGCAAATATTATTATTATTTAAACAAAAAAAGAATCCCAGAAAAAAATCCCGAATTGCCATGACAATATTCATTTCAATTTTCACTGTTTCGGAGGCAGTTATCGGCATAGCGAACCAGTCAATAGGAAGCGCGTGCGCCGCGCATTTCCGCGCTGATCTATAGCACTAGCGGGCGGAGCAGGTATCCCACGCCGGAGCTCTCCGGTGCTCGCCATGTTGAAGACTAGCACTGCGTTGATCGGAAATTGGAATCTGAATTAGACAGAGATATCGTGTGCGTCGCGGTGTCCGGCTGCATTGATTTAATACATGCGGTGAGATACTTTTGAGCTTGCGACTCGCACAAAATCGGGCTCTAAATCTGAAAAATACTTGAAATAAAGCTCATTTTATGGTACCCATATATTTTTTACAGGCACGCGTAAGATACTCGATTTTTCAGTTTCGGGTAGCGGGACCGCAGATTACATCGCTAAAATGTGATATTTTAGGATATATTTTCCATTGCAAATGTAGTTCTTCAGTAACTCTGGCATGGTATGTTATGTGTGGGATATGTGATATGCTATTATGCGATGTATTTTAAAGGGATTTTACCATGCATACAACCAATCGGCCGAAAACTGGAGATGGTCGATTACCCCCTCCTTTACTCTACAACAACTTTGAATGGTATGAATTATCCAAGGTATGAGTGAATTTAGGTATAAGAGTGCTTAAAATTTCAATCTTTTTAAACGAAAACTTTTTGCCGAATACCCAATCAAAGGTGAGAGGGTGTCGCTCCGATTCAATCAAAGCCCCAACTTTCGGAGTTAGGTGATTTGGTTTGAGTTTAACCTGAAATTTGGAAATTTGCTACTGGAGCGATGGACCTTGCTTACCTTCCATGTGTTCCTGACTCCTGATGATAATTGAACTGACATGCGATTTACATGAAAAAACGTTTATTTGTGTGATATTGATCCTGGTGAGTGGTCCAAAAATACCAAAATGCATCATGCATGTTTCGTTGTGTGAAAGAGGCTGATTTGGCACTGTTGATTTGATGCCGACTTAATGACAATAGCGAATGGTGTAAAAAGGCGTGTGCTTGCAGCATCTCTAAATTCAGCCAATTCCCTTATGGAGCCAAGTGTTCACATGCACCTAATCCTTACAAAATCCATCTTTATGTACATGATTAGAAATTTGTTTACCTATTCATTGCTTTTAAAGAGTGTTTTCTTGATTTTGCTTATTGAATTGCAGCTGTTGCAGATGCTGTTCGTACAAGCTTGGGCCCAAGAGGCATGGATAAGATGGTCAGTATGCAAGTAGTTTTCTATTGCATTGAATTGTTTAATTTCATTTGGTAATTTTACCGCTTTGAATAATGCAATTCAATCTTCTTTTTTTTTTTTTTTCAAATCAAATTATAATTATACATTTTATTTTTCAAATAATTATGAGATTAAAAGTCGGAGATACTTTTAGCTTGTGATTAAATAGTCTAAGGGTGATAATCAATCCACATTGTGTATCATGTGCTGAATTGCTGAGGAGACAAGAAACTATTACATTTAAAATGGTGGAGCAAAATTGTAATGTTGTGACAATATCCCCCCCAAATAATCCTTTTTGTAAAACATTTGATACTTGTATCTTCAATTATCGTAAACTTCAATGCGAGATTTCAATATGAGCCTACCTACCCCCAAGAAATAGGTCATTAAAGTCTACCAATCACCAAAACATGTTTTCCTTTTGATGTTAGGGGTTCCATGTGGCTATATTGTATTCAAAGAAAGAGTTTCAAAGTTGAAAAGTTCAAATTTTACTCCTACAAAGAGATATAACATTTTAAATACATTGTCAGTGAATAGTAAAAGTTTTCTTGTTGAGTATGCCCACGCACTCACATAGGCCATGGCTCGCATGAAACCCAAGTCCGACTTGATTAGCTTACACACAGTGTTTAATGTCGTTCTTTATTTCTTCAAATATTAATCGTTTACCTATAGAACGCCAGGTCAATTTTTCAGGTCAATTTCATACATTCTAGCTATAGTGATATACACATGATTTTTTCAGGTAATTGGCACACTTTTAAGAAAAAATGATGATATTGATGTGTGGGTAATGTTTTTGATGTAGTATCTATGCCTTGTGACTTAATTTTTTATCTGTGTCTGTTTTGCAGATTCAAGATGCTAAGGGAGATGTAACAATTACCAACGATGGTGCGACCATCTTGAAACAGATGCAGGTCCTTCATCCAGCTGCCAAAATGGTTGGTATCATGAGGGTTATCATTCAGAGATTTCACCATGATTGTAGTGATGATGATGATGATGATGTTTCTAGGTTCTTTGTTTTTTATGCCATTGCCATGATGATGTAGCTTTACTTAGGACACCTCATGAGTCCAACAGTGATCTGAAAAAGGCTATTTCTGAGCAAAGCACATCAGATTGCTGTCACCTGCTAGGAGGTTCCTTTTTGATTATTTATTTTATGATTATTATTATTCTTATGAATCAGTGATTGAAAATACAGAACGTGATGTATCGTGAAGCAGTGTCTCTGTATGCACTTTCAAAATAACACTTCTTTTAGTTTTAGCAGCCTTCATCAACAAATGGTAATTACCAGTACCATAATACCCTGCCAGGTGCTCATTCGCTACACCTGGACTAACAGAAACAATTACAGTCTTAAGTGACATGATTATCCATAGGGCAAGGGCTATGTTTTCCAATCTCTTTGTTGAAAGAATTAATGAACCACTACAATTAAATAAACTTTAATGTCCAAAAATCAATTTCCCAAGAATGGTCATGGAGGAACAGATAAAACTCCCAAGTGATCACCCTTCATCTTGAATGGATCCCTAGAAATATGTTTTAATTATCATTACTGTGTAGTGGAAAAATACTATGTAGTGGAGCCCTTAGTTTGCAGTTTGTGTCAATATTGGTCAGTTACTGATGCTGTCGAATTTTCCCTGGCTAGGCAGGCCACTTCTTAATTTGTGAAGTGTCAGTTGTCTTTATTTTAAAAAGTTCAACCTCAAAAGGGGTTGTGGTTCAATCTATGATAAGTTGGAGAAAGCGACAAATCCATTCTATTTGAATCTCTTCAGTGGTTATATTAATTATTTGAACTTGTTTTGTTTCTTCCTTTCTTGTTCAGCTGGTAGAGCTGTCGAAGGCACAAGATGTGGAGGCTGGTGACGGAACAACAACTGTAGTTGTTATTGCTGGGAGTCTTTTGGAGGCAGCTTCTAGGCTTTTGGACAAGGGTAAATTAAAAAAATAATGCAGATTCACTTGTCATCTCAGCCGTGGGGCGTAATATTTCCATTTGAAAATGAACAGATCGTCTATATCTGGTAACGTACTGAACATGATTTGAATTTGGTTTACCATGTTTTTGCATCTAGGCCCATCGCATGTTTTATTGGGCTTAGTATTCAGTGGGATGTTTAAAATAATCAGTTTGCTGCAGGAAGAGTTGATTGCTATGTTTCGTCCAAATAAAACTTCTCTGTAAATTAGTAAATATGCTGTTGGTGCTTTTGAGAACTAGATATTGTTCAACAGTTACTTCCCACTTTTATGATCGTTTATGCGTGACAGAAAAAACAACTTATTTCACACATTTTATCTGATCACAATAATGGGTATCAAGCTAAAACTTCCACTATCTTATTTTTATGTTTTTTATTGTTTTGGTAACCAGGTATTCATCCGACCATCATATCGGAGTCCTTCCAGCATGCAGCAGACAAGGCATGTGAGATCCTGGCTGATATGTCTGTCTCTGTGAAGCTAGATGATAGAGAAGCTCTCCTACAGAGTGCTACCACGTCGCTCAACTCCAAGGTATGTTGCTCACCAATGCAATAGGAATAGGATCAGGGGCAGGTTCTAACTAAGCTTCAAGGGTGTTTTCCTGCAAGAAATTTCCCATCATGCATCATATTTGAAGAAAAATTACAATAATACTAATATCAGAATAGTTCTGGGCTTAGGTTCTCTGGGTTCTTTGTCTTTTATGCCATTGCCATGATGACGTAGCTTTACTTAGGACACCTTATGAGTCCAACAGTGATTTGAAACAGGCTATTTCTGAGCAAAGCATATCAGATGGTTGTCACATGCCAAGAGGTCCTTTTTGATTGATGAAAATGTATAGCTACCCCAATCGTATTGCTGCAAACCTGCTGCTATACTGTAACACAGTTTACACTTCACATCAGAATTGTTTGCTCTAGCTGAAAAAAGTCACTGTGACTTGCAATTGTTGCTTAAATACATAATAATAATAATAATAAGAAGAAGAAGAAGAATTAAATTCTTCGGCTGAGAGGTGGCTACCCTTAGATACTGCTGAATCCAATGTCTGAGCATGTGATTGCATTCTCATGTTCTGTACTTCAAATTGTGCCTTTTTCTACTTCGGCATCCAGATGTAATAAGTGAAGAAAGTGACACTTCTTTAGAGGTTTTAAAAAAAAACTAATAATGATAATAATCTGGATTTATATAGTGCTTGATACGAAATACCGTCTCTAAGCGCTTTACAGATATTATTACCCCGGTCATCGGATTGTGAGGGCATATGGCATGTAACAACACAAATGCTTTCATCGTCCTACCAAGTCCCCATTTCTCTCATGGGTATGGAGTGGCAAATATATATGAATGCCTTGCCAAAGGACATTAGTGCTGTGTCTGGGATCGAACCCACCACCTTTGCATTTCAAGTCAAGTGCTTAAACCACTCAGCTAAGATACCTCTACTACCAGTATTTACCTTTGTACATCATAAGGAAAAGTTCTTTTAAAAAAATGTGTTATCTTTGTGTCATTCAGGTTGTATCCCAGTACTCAGGTCTCCTTGCTCCCATTGCTGTTGATGCAATCTTGCAAGTCATAGACTCTTCCACAGCCACCAACGTTGATCTAACCGACATCAAATGTATCCAGAAAATAGGGTAAGTGTGTGTGTGTGTGTGTGAGTAGGAGCTCAAATAAAATAAATGAAACACTTGTTGCTTTTTATTATCAGGAATTGTAAAATATCTTGTAGTATTGGTGGTAACTTCCGTGGAAACCGTGACTAGAATAGGCTGTTTAGCATTGTTGCCATAATGGTTAATATTGATGGCAAAGTTACCATCAGTGGTAAACTTTTTACAAGGGGGGTGGGGGGGGGGGCCAGAGGAATATTATTAATTTAGTATTTGACCTGCAGCTTGTGGTCGCTTGATTATTTTGACGTAATCTTTTACCCTGAAATTGCTGTGATGACGTAGCTTTACTTAGGACACCTATGAGTCCAACAGTGATTTTAAAAAGGCTTTCTCTGAGCAAATTATAGTACTGAAATGCTTTCAATATTCCTTCCACGTGCCAGTTTAACATGTTTGAATTTTTGTTTGTTGCCCACGCTGTTTCCCCAGAGAACCGATGATGACACGTCTTGTATTTTAAGAATGTAACCACCTTCTGAATAGCAAAGGACTGGTGTAAAGCTATTAATTAATCAGTTTTCCCCTTCTACATTTCATATGCTACACAGTGGAACTATTGAAGATACTGAATTAGTGAAAGGAATCGTCTTCAGTCAAAAGGCAGCTGGATCTTCAGGGCCACACAAAGTAGAAAAGGCTAAAATTGGTCTAATCCAGTTCTGTCTGTCAGCTCCAAAGACTGATGTAAGTTCAGTGTCCTTATGTTCCTCAGATCTCTAGTTTGTGTTTTGTTTTAATTTTTTTATGTAATTTCCTTGACAAAATAATGTTTGCGGTTTGCTATTCAGTTTGTATGTTGCACCACCCTACAGTTTTCAAGTCCAAGTGGTTAAAGATTATTTTGCAGCCTATTAATTTTTCCGCCTTTTGCTCCCTCTGTTGATATTTTTTTTAAATGTTATGATTACATTCGCAACTCATTGATGCTTCGTTGAAGAAATTGTCAATGGAAATTCAAACTTAATGAATGATAGAAATTAGACAAATTAAAGATATCAGAAAATATATGTGTGCTGTGATGACTTAGCTTTACTTAGGACACCTATGAGTCTTACAGTGATTTGAAAAAGGCTATCTCTGAGCTAAGTATATTACTGATTGATTACATACATACATACATGGTTGAATTTTTGTTTGTGGACCACCTGTATCCCAAGAGAACCGATGATGACATCTTGTGTTTTCCCATGTTTTAGATGGACAACCAGGTAGTAGTATCTGACTACACCCAGATGGATCGAGTGCTGAGAGAGGAGAGGGCCTACATCCTCAACCTTGTCAAACAGATCAAGAAGGCAGGATGTAATGTACTCCTCATTCAAAAGTCTATTCTCAGGTAATACCATTTACTGTTTCTATTGTCCAAAAAACTTGTCATGACAATTGTAATCTTACAGAACTCACCCCCCCCCCTCAATTGTGCAATGATTACAGATTCAGTTGCTTCTGGTAGTCTCAAGCCAAACTTGAGAGTATTTATAGTGAAACTTGTTAGCATGATACCTAATATGCATGTTAACTTGTATCTTTACCAGAATAAAGAAAAAATCTTGCTGAAATCTTATATACTGGAAAGCACCAACACAGATAAGCATACCTACTAGTGGTAGATATTTAAAATGGCCTGTCTGGCCGTATACCAGGCATTCCATGGGAAGCCATGTTCATTTGCTTTATACAGGCACAGCGGAGCACCCCAATTTGCATATCATTAGCGGCCCGTTCTATTTGAATAACCAACGGACATCTGCGTGAATCGAAACATGTGTTTGCTAGAATGTCAAATCTTAAAATTTGTGTTGCGCCTTTATTACTGCCAATATCGCTATGAAACTTTCCATACTAACTACAATTATTATGAACTTGACATCAATGAAATAAATATGAAATTCCATGGAATAAAACTTGAGATATTAATGTGTTTTGAACTTCACCCCTCGATAAACACGACGTATATTTTGTTGTGACTTGACCCTATCAAGCAATGCACGAAGTAGAGACTTGGTATGAATATTCATGAGTGTTGAATCCATACATGGGCGAAGTTTTCGCTTCTCCGCTGTATTTTTTTATAGTTATAACGTTCTTTTTCATGGGGCTTCATTTGTAAAAATTGTAGTCGGCGAACTCATTAAACATGACGTCATTGATCTCAGCGATGTACTGCGCATGCGTCTTAGGGCCCAGTGCAGGCCAGATCGAAACAGCTGAGCCATTAGAGTGCACGTGTGCAGTCGGCTGGCCAGACATGTATAGCCAACGCACACGCGAGGTTCAGACATGACACACATTTGAATGTATGGGACTGGTCATACAATTTTGCGACAACGAAGGATTGTTTTTGTTCGATGAGATTCGGACATTGGGGTATGTTTTGCTCTGACACGACCCTATCAAGCAACTATAGAAAAAGATATTTCAGAAGGATTGAGATTATTAAATTTTCTTTCCGTTCATATGAGGCAATTCTTTCTCACTCTAAAAAAAAGGATGAATTTTACGGGGATTTTGTATCTCATTTTTTCGTTTTTGTTCGTCAAAACTATCCCTTAAATTTCACATTTTCGGTGCATCAATAACTCTTTTTATACACATGAGTGTCTTGCAAATTTATTAAATACTCGATTTAGTAGCTTTGATTGCTGATATTCATCACATTAATGAAGAATTTGTCTTCGAAATTTGTTTACTTTTTTCGCATCGATCGGTACACAATTGTTGATTTTATGCAAATGATGTTTACTGGACGAGAGTCGATCGCACGGTAATTGGGGTGCTCCGCTATGCCTGTGCTTATTAATAGCAAGGGTTTCCGTCGGTACTATTTTGCAGGTAGTATTTATTTATACCTGAAGAGCAATTTCATTAAATTTTGATTGATTATGATAAAATATTCTCAAATAGTTGTAGCTATGAGTGTGTTGCTTTGCTATGATGACGTAGCTTTACTTAGGACACCTATGAGTCCAACAGTGATTTGAAAAAGGCTATCTCTGAGCAAATGGTTCAATCAAATTGCTATAAAATGGTAGATTATCAGATTGTCCTATCTTTCTTTATTTGCATTTTTTACAAAAATTACTCACTTGAATGTATAATTTTGTCTTGTTTTTACAGGGATGGCTTGAGTGACCTAGCCCTTCATTTCTTACAGAAGATGAAGATCATGGTTGTAAAGGATATCGAGAGGGAAGACATTGAGTTCGTCTGCAAGGTGAGATGCTTTGAGAGACCTGAGATATATAAGTGTAAAACCAGAAATTTTCCCCACATGGGAGCTCTCACACTTTGATAATGAATGATGGTTCATTAAAAAAAAATGGCTGAACTTTTTTAATGTTCACCTAAATTCAGAGTTCACATTAGTCATAACTTATACTTATATTTTGTTCTTCTATTGATCTTCTAAATCATAGTACCAAGTAGTTATTCGGGTATGGCATATCAGTTTACCAATCTAAGTATTCTATCTGGCATTACCATTTGAAATGTTTGTTCTTAGCCTGTAATCTAATTGTGAGGCATGATATGTGTATGCCACAAGTTTTTGTTACTCCTCCCTTTCTCCTCTGTATAGAAATTGTGTCTGAAATGTACTGCATCATAATTTCATGTTTGGTAGATTGTGTGCTTTTTGTATTGACATGTGTATCGAATGATGCTTTGCTGTGATGACTTAGCTTTACTTAGGACACCTATGAGTCCAACAGTGATTTCAAAAGGCTATATCTGAGCGAATGATACTGTATATATTTCCCTGTTTCCTTTTATTACAGTCCATTGCCTGCAAACCCATTGCCAAAATCTTCACACTATAATTTAAGAACATTGCAATATATATTTCATACTGTTCCCCTTTTTTACAGTCCATTGGCTGCAAACCCATTGCCAGCATTGACCACTTCACACCAGAATTTTTAGCCTCAGCTGACCTTGTCGAGGAAGTTGTTACAGGCAGCAGCAAAGTCGTCAAGGTGAGTCAGAAATTGTTACTTTAAGACACATAGAAGTGGGCTGTCATGAGGAATTCAACACCATTTGTTCGGGTGTTTACCCAATAACAGGCGTTGTCAATCACCAGAACCAGGCTTCAGTTTTATGACCAACAGGCCTTATGTAATGCTTTGTATTTTCCATCCATTCCCCCATATGGTAAAGTCATGATCTTACTTTTCCCTCACCGGCAGACTCTCTGAGAGACAAGGATTACTAAAATATGTTACTTAAAATCCTATGGGCTGTTGGCAGACAGAGCATGATATCTATATTACTGTCTTCTTTTCGGGTTTCCACAACTTTCATGGCGTTTGAATGCATACTTTGGTATGCAATGTCTAAAAGTATACTAACAGTAGCCCACAATGTAGATGTATTTATTTAGAATTTAAAAATATTAGCAGTTTTGGGGAAAATGACAACCTTCTTAAAAAATATATGCATTTCTGTTTTTAAAGATAAACTCCAGTACTGGTAAAAAAAAAAAAAAAAATTCTCACAGAATCAATTGAAACTTACACTGAATGTTCAAGATTACAAATAAATGACATGTGCCAAACAATTTTGGAAGAAAATGTATACTGGCAGAGTAATGAGCATAGAAAGACAAGGAAATCAAGGTAGTACTAGCCCCGACACCATGTGTGTTGTCCCATATATAGCTTTCTATGTGAGTGCTTGTTACTTTACCAAGACTCTGTCAAATTTATTATGATTTTGATGACTCCAGAACCTTGCAGTGCACACCAATACTTACATGCTACATGATCAACTGTTTCTGATCCTTTCCACACCTTTTCTTTCACAATGCAATCGTATTACCAGTACTAAAGTTTATCTTTAAGCACTGTGTTACAAAGAATAAGTTGTATGAATAAAAAAAGCGTTTTCAAAATTATCAATTCAAATTCAAACTAAATAAATGATAGAAATCAGACAAATGAAATATATCAGATATATATGTGTGCTGTGATGACTTAGCTTTACTTAGGACACCTATGAGTCCAACAGTGATTTGAAAAAGGCTATCTCTGAGCTATTGATTTGTACCTACCAAGACACACTTTGGTATGCAATGTCTAAAAGTATACTACCCCAGTACCCAACAATGTAGATGTATTTATCTAGAATTAAGAATATTATCAGTTGTGGGGAACAATGACAACCTTATGCTAAAACAGGTTCAACAAATGAAGTTAGTATGAGGTCAAAGTCATTTGTTTAATGTGATTGTAGACCCAGGGTTAGAAATAATGACTATTAAAACTGCATCTAATAGGCATATCAAGTCTTATCTACCAGCTTACGATACTGTGATACAAGCCAGTATTGCATTCTTTCATATTCCTTTATCATTTTCTTGACATCCCCAGATCACCGGTGCAGCTACCCCGGGCAAGACCATGACTGTCCTGGTGAGGGGATCCAATAAGCTCATTCTAGAAGAGGCTGAACGCTCAATCCACGATGCTCTGTGTGTCATCAGATGCCTGGTCAAGAAGAGGTATGTTAGCAAGGGCAGCATTTCACGAAACCGTCATAAATACAAGTTCGCAAACATGTAATTGAAAGGCATGTGTTGTAATCAACAAGTGATTTAATGGGATGTCGGTAAACTTGTATTTATGATGGTTTCTTGAAACAATACCCTGGTATCTTTTTGTTGAGAGCTATTTCAGTGAGGAATCAAAAAGATAAAAAATTATTAGAAAGATAGATAGCCAGTGGAGTTAAGTATCTGTCTATATAGTATGTGTGACAATTACATCGAGATCTTGAGTTTTTGATCTGGTCTCCAGACTTAAAATAAGTCCTTTGGTCTGTCTTCTATTACTCCGTTTGAAGTAAACCATGACTTCTCTCTTCCAACAGGGCTCTGATTGCCGGTGGAGGAGCACCCGAGATCGAGGTCTCGCACCGCATGACCGAGTACAGCCACAGCCTGAGCGGCATGGAGGCTTACTGCTTCCGAGCGTACGCTGAGGCCATGGAGGTCATCCCATCCACGCTGGCCGAGAACGCTGGTCTGAATCCTATCAGCGTTGTGACCGAGCTCAGGAATAGGCATGCACAGGGAGAGAAGACTGCTGGTATCAATGTCAGGAAGGTACGTCCCTCTTGAGATAATAATAGAAAAATGATAACAATTAAAAAGATGATGTGATACATTTGATTTATAGTGTGCACATTCAAGCAATACAAAGTACATATTAAAAGGCAGAGTATTAAATTATGAACTTCATGGGATGAAAATATTGGCCCTTTCTGTGCCTTTCTGGTTGGAAAGAATATTAATTAAACTTTCAGGTGTACATCTAATAATACTTTTTTCTTCAATCTTTTGTTTTTCCTAGGGTGCAATCACTAATATCCTGGAAGAGAATGTAATCCAGCCTCTGCTGGTATCAACCAGTGCAATCCAGCTGGCTTCAGAGACGGTGCGAAGTCTCATGAAGATTGATGACATTGTGAGTATAACGAGGGAGTAATGCGATTAACTACATGAGTTGTTTTGCTAGTTGCTGAACAATTTCATCAGGATGGTTTGAATAATTGAGGAAAGAATTCTATGACACATCCAAAATGTATTTACCTGTGTGACATTTTTGTCACATATGCATGTGAGGAAATTGTTTGACCTGTTATTGCAAATGTACGACTTAATCTTTGTTGACATTAGTTGCTGTGTTAGCATATGTTCTGGTAATGGACTCTTGGCTTTTCTGGATTCCAAATTATAGTAGATACTGTCATAATTATTGCAAGGCTCTTCTTAAAAATAAATGCATTTCTGTTTTTGAGTACTGTGTTACAGAGTTATGTGAGAAAGAAAAAATTTCAAAATTATCAATAGAAATTAAAACTAAATAAATGATAGAAATCAGACAAATTAAAGATATCAGAAAATATATGTGTGCTGTGATGACTTAGCTTTACTTAGGACACCTATGAGTCCAACAATGATTTGAAAAAGGCTATCTCTGAGCAAAATATATATTAGTGAAATGCAAATCAATGTTCCTTCCATGTGCCAGTGGGAGTAATGTAACTACATGAGATAACAATACAACATTAAAATCAATTATTAGAACAAGGAGGGCAGATTTTTAGGCCTTCATGCCTCCTCATTTCAGCCTCTTCGGGCTTTATATTGTACAGAACTTAGGGAGACGTGCTACAAATACCTTTGGTGAAAATTGTCATTGAGATATTTATGACTTGAGGAAATGTACAATTGACTTATTTTTTGTAGACATTATTTGGTGTGCTATGGCAATGGACTCTTTTCTGGATTACAAACTATAGTAGTTACTGTCATAATTATTTCAATGCTCTCCTTAAAAAAATAAATGCATTTCTGTTTTTGACCACTCTGTCACAAAGAATAAGATTTATGAGTAAGATAAGATAGTGTTTTCAAAAGAGAAATATATAATCTAAGTCATAATTTTGTCTCCTCTCTTTCTCATCAGGTCAATGCCCGATAACCTTCATGGCGGTACAGGAGTTTGTGAAGCAGTATCTATGTAATTGTAGCTGAGTGGAGTGGAGTATTGTGACAGCACTGTTTAATATAATACATACACATGTGAGCCAACCCAGAATTCCCATCCATCACCTAAACAGGCAGATATATAGACCATTCAAGACACGTTCACACTCTACACCCAAGGAGAAGTAAAGCATGTTTGGAAGCAAAGATATGAATGAGCCTACCAACATTCCACATGTGGAAGTAACATTCATTTCCATATTGACTTGTGAGAGCCAGAAGGGCCTTAACTCTGTGCTTGACTATATGAGTCATCGCCCTTCTAGCTCTCAGTAAATGAAGTTTAGAATATTAGTTCTCAAGATTTCAGGTCCTGACAACTTTCTTTACAAGGCTTCATTGTCATTCAACACATATGAGACTCTACCATGTCCGAGTCTATTTTCAGGAACCAACTGGTATCCCTCTTTTCTAAAATCCTTAAAAAGAAACATGGGTTTAATAACATCAATAGAAATTACAGTAGTAACCACCTAAAAGGATGGAATGGTCTCTATCTTACATTCTGCAGGGTAAATATTATTTACTTGGTACAAGGAATTCATGCTTACAGTTAGCAATTTTCTGCAACATTACAATATGTCTCTTTATATTGGATATCAGCCAACTGACATGACATACTACAACTACAAAATGTTACCTGAAAATGTAGAGCATTTTTTTCACCAGTTCTACTTATGTACAATGTTGCATGGATGTTTAAATGCTTTTCTGGAACCTATTTAAGAAAATTAAGCAGTATACTCAAGGTCGGGTCATTGTTACTGAAAAAGGTTCCACACTGATAATGCCCTCTATAGGAATAGAACTCTGTATGGTCTCCCAGTACAGCTCCCATGGTGCAGCAGTGATGTTGTCATCCTACTTAACACCCAAGTGAGAGACTGTTTTCCCTTACAGTGCTGGACCCCTTTATCGAAGTAATAACATGTTAGAGAAACAAAAGAGGCATTTGAAATAAGTGATATTCATCTTTGTAAAGTTTTCCCTTTTTGTAATTAATTTCATAATATACATGTTTCTCATGCTTGATGTGTTGTTTCTTTTGTACTATAATTTTGATATATATATGTATTGTGAATGTCATGGGCATAAACAATCTCCATGTGAGAGGTAGAATGCCTTGCAGTTTAATAAAAGCTGAAAGTACCAGCGCTGTGGACAAAAAAAAATGCGGATTTATTATGATATATGATGAATTGGAGTCCTGGAGTAACGTGAATAACTGTGTTTAGTGAATGTAATTAATCAAGTTAGAACAAAGCCTTGATGATTTGATCCATTATTATAAAGCTGGACATATCGGCAGTGATAAAATGATTGGTGATGAATGGGGGTGGTAGGAAAGGATGATGCTTCTAGTCTAGAATAATGATGAAGTTTGTTCTTCAATTGAATTTTTAAATAAATATTAACAAAGATTATAGAAATGATTGATTGAGAAGAGAGGTGTTGGATAATAAAGGTAAATCTAGTTTGAGGATGATGGTGATGATTGTTGAAAAATTGTGGTAGACCGTAGTTGGTAGCAACATGAATCCAGTTTGAAGATGTCGATCACAATTGATTAGGGTGATGAATGTGGCTGTTAGCAAGGATGATGTTGATAATTCCTGCATATGATGGATGAACATCAAGGAAAGTTTTCCTACAAAATTACAGTAATTACAACAACAAAAAGAAGACGAGCCTCTTCAGAGTGCCTTTTGCTAGATTTCCTATGGATATGATCATATGATGATAGAAGTTGAAACATTTTACTGTTCTTCTTGGAACTTTGGAATATGTTGGTTTATAATGATCTAAAATAATGCTCGAGAAGACCATAAAACTGTTTTATGTTGTAAGACTCAGAATTGTGCAGGCCCCTTCTGAGCATAAACAAATTTGAAATACTAGTAGTTTTTTTTTTAATACAAATTTTCAATTTAGACAATGGATACTTTGATAATTATTTTTCACATGAAAACAATCGGTATCACCACCAACATCTATATCACAACCACCACCATAACCAAGACCACAATAATCACTACCACCCTCTACCAACAGCTCTTTTTTAGTGGCCCACACAGAATCGTAATAAATACTTTTGAGAAATTTGTGAGTTACTGCTACCATGGGAATGGGAAATGTACTCGGAAATATATACATTAAAAGAGGCTTTTATCAATACAAGTGTGATGAGTCAATATATTCCAGCACAGAATCGAGAGAGAGAGAGAGAGAGAGAGAGAGGTTTTATTGAGACCAGCTCATATATAGTGCCTTGGGGGATGCATGTTATTAACAAAGAAAGCATCACTCGTTAGTGAATGATTGACGGCTATGTGCATTTGAAGAATTGTTTATTCAGCTGACAGCTCAACAATAGAGAACAGAATACAAAGAGTTATCATTCAAAACTGTACGTGGGTTTTATCATATATCTAAACAAATCTTAAAGAAAATGATTTCTTAACTTAAGAGCACACATTGAGTAATACAATTTCTCATGCAAATATTTACACACCACCATTATGTAAATAAAGGCTAGCAATCAAAGTAATTTGTATTCCAGCCCTTAGCTAGATGTTAAGTCAATCAAAATCATAATTGTGAAATGTGAATTTAATGATGTTAATCGCGGACGAAAAATAAAATCACGAGGCCCGACTTTTGTTTCTTGTCCGACAATGCAGTCAGTGTAGTTTCCATGCCAACTGAATTTTAAAGCTATTGCTCTACTCTCGCGGCCCTATATCTAGCTGAGATGATGAATTATTCTTTCTGCGATCATTTATTTACATCTTAAGTTTAGGTATTTTGGGAAGCGAGAAAAGAAAGAAGAAAAATAGATTATGTACATGTATGACTGAAGGAAAATAGAATATTCTCTAGAAAATGTGATTTTAAACCGAGACTGTGAGATAGAGCCACCGGTTATGCACTACCGGTATCCCTAGTAGCTTTTTAATCGGAAAATATGTGTGATTTATTTTTTCAGAATAGGCCGACACGTATTCGTCTACCTATGAAAAGCATTATCTTGAAAGCAAAATCAATAACCCCGATCAACAATGTTCATATCTTGAAAATTTAAAGATATATAATAGTTGTGTGCGTGTTTTAATGAACTTTTCCCGGCATCCAGCGCCACCCGCCCCACTCCATAAACTATAAGATCTGCAGCTTATTTTGGGAGATGGGAGAGAAGAAAGTTGATCAAATTGCCCCCAAATTTAAAAATGAAAATTTTTATCATTATATGTGTAATAAGAAAGAGAAAAGATCTCACGCGTTTAATTTGATCTGAGTGCTTCGGTTCACGAGTTCATACCAGGATGACAAAAGGGCACCGTGAAGAACTTCGTGGTATAATGTGCCATGCGCGATGAGCAGACGACAAACGAGGGTATATGATACCGGTATTGGTATCGTTCTGATGCATCTTGCACCTGTAGCTGTTACGCTGTCCTCTGTCTTATCCAGCATAAATGGATGAAGCGCTCATCAGTGATTACTGATATGTTTCCCATATATTGATGTAAGTACACAATTTACTTTCATACATTGCATGCTTCTTAGGTCAATTTTGTAATGATCGCAAATGCGTGGATAATGATATAAGCATGCATGGAGATATTGAAGACGTGAACAATACTGCTTGGCCTTGTGTGGTGGTGTGCAGCATACGTGCAGTGGCGTGAACCATATATACCAGAACTGTTGTGAATGCATTTTCATTGGTGTGTTTGCGTGCAGTGCAGATGATGATACTCAAAACCATGACGTGATGATATTTTGTCTTTCTCCATTATGCATTACCAGGTCTCTCCCATTTAGTAGTTTATTGGGACCGTACGTAGCACAGGGACTTTCAAAGTGGTGGAGGGGGGGGGGGGGGGGTGGTGGTGGGGCCTGGGGCACCATTGACATTGTAGAGGTGTCGTGGTCGAGTGGATACGTCGCTGGACTGTCGATCACAAGGTCTGTGGTTCGAATCCTGCCGCGGCACCAATGTCCTTGATCTACACTTGCTACACTCCACCCAGGTGAAGTAAATGGGGACCTGGTAGAAATTCATTCCTTGAAACGCAGCGCACGTAACAGCTGCACTGCTAAAGCCAGGGTAATTATGCTGCATTATTGTACAACGCTTAGAGACTTCTGATAAAGTAAGTGTTAGGCGCTATATAAGTAATTAGATCTATAATCATTATTATTATATTTTGTTTAAGTTCAAAAGAGCAGCTGAAAAGAGCAGTTTGTAAAAGATATGTAGGCCTATACACTATTGTTTTGGGGAGGTTGGATGGGAACTCAGATCATGAATGTTTAAAGATGTAGTTTAGGAGCAAAAACTTTCTAAGCTAAAAGCTAGGGGCACCTTGAAAAAGGGCACATAGCTGGAGTTCCTCTACTTGTAGGGACACTATCAATTACATGTACAAGCTGGCAGTGGTATTTCTAAGCTCAAATGGGCACCTTGAAAAGGGGCACATAGGGACACTATCAATTACATACTGTATAACATGGCAGTGATATTGTTGGTATTGAAAAGGGGGCACATTTCCAGCACTCTGTCCTCAAAATGCTATAGGATGACAATCTTACATCAGTTGAGTTAAACACGTCACAGCAATTTAAAGGAGAACAAATCTTTTTGTTTAAAAAGGGGCACATTTCTTAATAACATGACTTTGTGTAGTAAGGATGTTTTAAAGCATAGAAATGAGTATGATGATGCTTTGAAAAGGGCACTATTCATTCTTGTCATATTGGGGAGTGGGGACATTGTGCACCACTGCCCTATGCTCCACTATCTTACATTGTGGCAGGTGCAATTATGTAGGCTTACCCGTTCCTACGTAAGCTGCTTCAAATCTTTGAAATGAAATGTTGCTCTTTTGAGGACTTTATAAAAGGGGGTATTTTGTAAGCAACATAAAGAAATAAAGGTAAAAGAAGCACTTATCAGGAGAGAAAATTATTGATCATAAAATGGCACATATTACAAAGGAAAAGGAGCACTTTCGAGAGATGAAATGGGGCACTTATTAGAGAGTAAAATGAGCACTTAAAAAAACTAAAATAAGGCACCTGTCCAGATTAAATAGGCACTTGTCATTGATTAAATGGGGTACTTATCATTGGTAAATGGGGGAACTTCGGAGATACTTAATTCCCCCCCCCCCTCCCTCTGCTAAGTTAGAGGTGCTCCCTGGGGAAAGGGCAGGAGGTGCCCTCCCATTTTGTATATCTTTGCAAAGGAAATGCTGCTTTAGGGGGAAGGCTTTCATTTTTTTCTTGTCTCTGTTACACCCTTCACTCCCCTTGACTGTAATGTGCTCTCTCGTCCCCTCATGGGGAGAGCATTTATGTTAGCAGCTTGGGAGGGGGTCAGGTTCTTTTCTGTACTAAGTGTATCAAGATAAATTAAGTTTTTGCATTTCCCCTCGATCCCTGCCCATAAGTGCCCCCTTTTTATCTTTGAAGAGTACCCCTTTTACTTTGACGAGTGCCCCTTTTTAGTTTTAATGAGTGCCTTTACCTCTTCTGATAAGTGCCCTTTTTCAAATGTGATGAGCGCAATTTTTTCAAATGGGATAAGTACCCCAGTCAAATATGATAAGCTCCCCTTACTTACTTTTGACAAGTGTCTCTTTTTCTAATAAGTACCTTTTGATGCCCTTTTACAGTCATCTAAAGAGTCATATGTAGCTCCAAAGAGTAAGATCAGCTTTGTGTAGATTATAGTAACACTAAGGTACTCCATTGCTACCTACCACAAAAGTCAGTGTAGCTGGGGTAAGGGGCACAATCAAGGCCCGAAATACACAGGTTAACGGGCAATTCGCCCCCATGAGCTACAAATCGCCTCCGTCAGATTGCTCAAGGGGCGATAGCAAAATTCTAAAATCGCCCCGTGGAATTATGAAATACCGGTAAAGATTATTTTTTCTGTATAACTTTCACACAATATTGAGTTTGCTCAATCCATTAAATGGAAATAAGATCAGCCTACAGGATTTCTCGCTTGAATTTATCGGTGTCTGGAGGCCACCATATTGTAAACAAATGTACGCTTATTTGCCGCAAGATGGCGCTATATTGCCCATCTCCACATCTCTATGAGAATTTCTGATGAGAATTGGTGTCAGCAGCGGCTATACCGCGCCGGTAGTACTGGCCAGTAGTACCTGTGTGCACACTGCAGCGCCATATTTGCTGGAATTAGAGGCAATCGCATTGGGATGTGTGAGAGCATATTGAGAAGAATAGAAAGACCAAAGATGTAGTGGAAGGATATGGTAAAGACTAAGAAAGAATGTAATTAAGGTTGCTCCGAATCATGAGGAGGAAATGGAGAGAATGTCATTACGGGATGAAAGTCAGTAACCCCATGTAACTTGTAAAGTTGTAAGAGAGAAATGCTGACTTAAATAAACGATAGTGATGAAATAGTAAAGAATTGAGGAGTATCATGGGTACCAATTCAATGAAAATTTGTTTGTGAGAATTTGTGAGAAGGCTCACGGGGGCTCTTTATTTTCTTGGAAGAGCCCCCTTGGAAAACAAATTATAGGCAAAAATTCATAAGAACTAATTGTAACCCTTGAGAAATATAATTGTGCTCATTTTCAATGCTATCACTTCAATTGCCCCTTCTTTAGCTAAGTTATTTGAGATAACAAATGTGCCCTTGATTACACTGAAGTGCATACCATTGAATGATCATGACATATTCTACTTAAATGTCAAAAGAGACATCTTCCGACCTATCAATTATCATCCCATCTCTTAGAAAGACACTCTGCTGCTCCTCAATTAGTCTACAGCCAACCTACTTCAGACCCAGCACGATGTGCAGTGAGGGAAAATGCTTCGTGCCTGCAAACTTATAATATTAAAGTCTGATGCATATGGTATACAGTAATCATAATAACGATAGTGCTGGTATATATCCACCAGCTATGCGCTCATAAACTTGCTCTAAAATATAATCAATACTAATAATCGTTTTAACTCTGTAGGTGAGCTGCTCGTGGTACAAACAGTTATAAAAACAATATTGAATGGTCCAGGAAGTAATTTGCAGTGACAATGTTTAGTCTACAGCCAGCACACTTCAGACCTTGCATTGTTCAATGACTGACAAGGGCTTCAGTGTGCAAAGTAATGATTATATTAGGCCTGTTTGCATCAGCTGTTTGGTGATTGGCAGATCCCAAGCTAAGGGTTCAACAAGTCGAGCAGGAGGGGCCTGCAGAAATGGATCACACAGGAGGCATGCATTAAAGGGCGTAGCTTGGCCACTTTTAATGGGGGGGGGGGGGATCGAAGAATGTAATTTTCTGGCAAGTTCACTGAAAATTTTCTGACAGGCCAAAATGACAACGTTAAATCAATTTTGTGATTTGCCTTCAGATTTTTTATTTCCAAATTTGCCAACAAAAACAATTTAATGGGGGTGTTACACATTCTACCCCAACCCCTCAATCTTCGCCACCCCAGTAATACCCCTCTAGTCATTAGGCTCTTGTACCGAGAAATGAGCAAATCTATAGTCCCCAAAATGATTTTGATGAATGCTGATGGTTTGATGTCTCTAGTCAAGGAAGCAAAACAGGGCCTAATCACCCGCATAATGGTCTGCACGCTCTCATCATTACCTGTGCTCTAGCTCATTGGAATCTATGTCAAGTTAATGTGCACTCACCGTGTGAAAACATCCTAAAGCAATAGAAAACAGAACTTGTTGCTTGGATTAAAGATAGAGTTGAGTTCTGGGGTGGTATTCAATTCAATACCTATGTCAGAAATATGAGTATTGTAACTCAGTTTTTTACTTAAATAAAATAGTTAACCATCATTGGTAATGGTATTCAGGTGATGCTTTTGGCTTTACATTAACCTTAATTTACCATAGCAGGCTTAAGCCAATTATTTTGGAGGCTTTGATTGGAAGGTTAATGATTTTCATACACTTTCATCATAAGCAGCGCACGTTTATTGCCCTTTATTTTAGATTGATAATGTGGTGTCACAATGCTTACCAGTAGTTTATTACCTTAAAGTCTTATCTGAATATGAGTTAAGAGATAACTTAGTCAAGCAAAAAGTACAATACTGACTTTAAGGGGGAAGTACATTAATATTTAATTGGTTTTAATAAAAGCAGAAAATTGAGACATACAAAATAGTGAAAATGTAAGCAAATATATCTGATTAAAAAAATGAAAGTTTTGAATGTTTGAAGTTGTCATCATTGAAACACAAATTAGCAACACAGTGACCTATCTTGCGAGTTCCTCTCCCACATGGTCTGTACAGATTTTTTTATATATAAATTTCAATATCTTAGTTATTTGATAAGGGAATACATTTGTTTTATACAGGGGTTAAGAGAACATATTAGCAATAATTATATTTAGGGTGAGTGTATCATTGAATGTTTTCTTAAAGTTTTTTAGTTTTTTAGTACAGGGAAAATGGGAAAGGAGCTCCCAAGATATGTGACAGAGTTGCCAATTTGTGTTTGATTGATCGCAAATTCAAAAATTCATAAATTTCTTAATTGTAATCGGTTTTTCAGTGCTCAAACTGTGTCTCTGACCTGTTTCTCTCATTTTTCTGCTTTCATTAAAACAAACTTAATATAAGGGTGGTACCATGGACTTTCCCTTTAATCTGCGTAATGAATTGAATATTAAAGGTCATATGCTATTGCATAGTGAAAGAAACTGTCTGGAAGCAAATGGGATAGATTGTACCAGACAAGCTGTGAGGTATTGTGATCATCAAAATGATATATAAGTGACTCAATCTCAATAAAACTCACATATATCACCAAAATGTGTTGTGGTATGAAAGTGTGGTCAAAGCTTCACACCTATTTCATATATCAAATGTAACGCCATATTTGACGAGCAATCCTTTTCAGAGGATGTTTCTTTTTTGATATTCTTCTAAATCGACATGAAAAGAATGAAAAAGCTCACAAATTAGCTGTCACCTTTACCAGAATTTAGCATCCTAAATTTTAAAGCTGTTTGCCATACAGTATCAAATTGTGATATGTACCATGGATCCCTCCAAGTTTTTAATAAATTTAAGGACATACCTTGGCAAAGGGAGTGGACACATCGCCGTTAGTGCATTTCATGTACCAAACCGATTAAAAACAATCCTGATGTCTGCACTTTCTATGTCCAAGTTGCCACTTTGTAGATTTAATTATGATAAAGTCTTGTATTGTATTCAATGGAGTTTCTTTCTCTCTAAAAATCCTAGCAAACCAATCTATATGTGCAATAATTTACTCTGTTTCTGTTTACTGTCATGTGGCCCCTCTTTTTTTTTCTTCATTCCACTGATATGCTTTAGTAACTCAACTAAATTTTATCTTTGTTTTGAAATTTGTTATAACTTTTAAATTGATTGCTTGGTGACACCTGTTCATTGTGTGATCAGATTTGATTAAATTCATTGCATGTGCAAAATATATTAAATCAATACCCGTAAATCTACTTTGTAATTAGCTTTATGCATTTAGCAGTAGTAACTTTAAAGGTTCTAATTGCAATTTACATCAATATTATGGAGCTTAATGTTTTGTTTTGACTTAATGTTCTGTCCATAATACATTTACAGCTCTGTTGATTATCGACATACAATTTGGGGTATATTGCAGGGGGAGGGCACTTTATCCCAGTAGCTTATGTACCATAACCCAATTAAATACCAGATGTATTTCATACTTTCTGAGCCTTGACACAAAAGGGGGGTTTGCAAGCTCCACCCAATAGCAAATATTCCACTAGCATCAGTTTGAAAATAATTTCATGTGGGAAATATAATATATTTGAGCAGCATGAAAAGTTTTGATATAGCAGGTTATGTTTATATTATTGGGTTCAAAGTCTCTAGGTTAAAACTGTTCTGTTATGGGGTATCAATTAGATGATATTGTGGACTGAGAAATATTTACACATCTAAGGTTCTTTAGGTTAATGTAAATAGGATCTGTATATATGATTGTTTGTTGGACTCAACTTCTGTTACAATATATAAGCAAATGTGTAAATATTTTCCTTGAGTGTGAATAAAGCATATAGACACCATTTTTATGCAATTTAGATATATTGTTCTGAGTCAGTGTTAATATACCGCATCTAGTTAGTCATATCCTTATGGGCATAACGAAAGCTATCATCAGATTTCTGTGATGTCAATTTTAATGCCCCTTTTTACTAAAAAAAAAAAAGCAACTTTCTAACATAAATTTCACATTAGTTACTGGTTTATTTTGTACCCCCCCCCCTCTCTCTCTCTCTCTCTCTCTATCACTTAATTACAGAATATCTAAGCTCTTCAACAACCACATTCATCCAAGAGTTGGGATCTAAACTAACATGACATCTGATGGAAGGGGTTGAAAAGATATAGAGGACAGAGGTCATTGACGTTGAAGTGCTTCTGGCTTCCTGGCCCAGAGGCCTTGCCACCCTGCCAAGTGAGCAAACAGATCTAGCTCTCTCACATCCCACATGCACTGATTGCTCACTTACAAGTTGACCCCACCAATCAACCACTGGTGAAGCAATCAACCAATCAGGATGAGTCTGGAGGAGAGTCCATCGGGGGCGGCGTACGAGTCGCTGGGTGCCGATGACTCGGTGCTCACTTTTCGAAAGAGCGAGCAGAAGAGAGGTACGATGGGTAGAGGCAATAGATCGCATCTGATTCTGATCTGGATAGTGGGGCTTTGTATAGGTGTTGGGGTGGGGGTGCTCATTGGATGGTTCTCCTCCCAGGCAAAGTTTCCAGATGAGGAGGCATACAACCTGTGGAGACAGGCTCTGACAGAAGAGGATGCACAAAAGATATCAAAACTTCTCATCGATGAGCTCAAGGCAGATAATATCAAGGAAAATCTCAGGTAATCATCACTTAATTTGTTGACAGTAACTCAGAATAGCTGCCGTTATCATTCCTATTTTGGAGAAATGATTCCTATTTTTGGTCTTGAAACTAATTTTATAAACACTACACTTCTCATCTTTATACATATAATTATGTAAAATTGACTGTATTCCTATTGTTTATTGTGAAAGGTTGGAAATTGCCTACGTTTCAGGGAGTGATTGAGAAAAACACAACATACTTCCAAATCAAAAAATTTGAGAATATATTTTCAATGCCATGCAATATTTTACGACCCCATTGCAATATTTTACGACCCCATTGCAATGGGATATTCTGTTGAGTCCAATTGTTTCTGAATGTATACCTGACTAATACAAATAAAATAATAAGGTAAGATAAGCACAATAGACCAACAAAGCTGTAGCTTTGTATCATACTACATTTTCCTTTGTTTCTTATTTTTGGAAACCTTCACCAGTTATGTGAATGAAATTTTTGATAAGCTGCAAATGCAAAATGTTTTATTTCTTACTTTTAATATATACCTTTGTCCTTTGTCTTTTGCTTAAACAATAGAAAAAAAAGATTTTTTGTATTCTTGTTATTGAGAGTTATTTCCACATTTGTATTATGAATTATATTTGTTTTGTTTATGTATATTGTGTGAATGTTGCTGGAAAAACTTGCTGAAACTTGGACTTGCTGAAAAACAGCCTTGTGGCTGATAGCAGGTGTTTTGATCGTGGATAAATAAATAAGACAAACAAACGAGCTGTATTTTCCATGTCTATTCAAAGTTTATGATGTTTCAACTTATTTTGACAGTACAAATCAAATCTTGATAAACATCTCATTTTGAAGAGTTTTATATTAGGGTTTAGTCTTTGAGAATTTGTAAGTATAAAATATTCTTATTTGATGCTTCGCTATTCATTAAAAATGCTATTAGTTATTGCTTGATGTAGCCCCACAGGTGACCACTTCCACTGGTGAAGTGAAGATGTACTACAGAAGTGTCGTAGTCGAGTGGTTGAAGCACTTGACTTAGAATTCAAAGGTCGTGGTTCGATCCCCAACATGGCACTAATGTCCTTTGGCAAGGCATTAATCTTCAATTGCCACACTCGACCCAGGTGAGGTAAATGGGTATCTGTCAGGAATCAATTCCTTGAAATGCTAGAGCGCTGTTATGGCAGCTAAGCTAAAGTTGGGGTAATAAGTAGTGCACCTCAGAATAGAATATCTAGATAGACAGCGCTATAGAAATGCCTATTATTATTATTACACTCCATAAACATCTGATATAGATAAATGATACAAAATTGAAGGTTGTTTTGGTTTGTCTGACCAGGTACCTGACTTCTCGACCCCATCTTGCTGGGACTCCTGCAGACAAGGAGAATGCTGAATGGGTCAAGGACCGCTGGATAGAACAGGGCCTGGATTCAGCCAATGTCATACCTTACAAAGTACTACTTAGCTACCCCAATGTCGACAAACCAAACTATGTAAGTGTCTGTGTATTTGCTGTTTGTCAGTCACATCACATGTTCAGAGCAACAAAATTATTATAAAAATATCCATTAGTGTATAATATTATATCTAAAGTAATAGTTACAAAAAGTGCAATCAAATTATAATGATTTTTCTCCCATATCATTCTGAAAGTGTATTAATTAAGTCACAGGGCTCTTTTTTTTTTTCATTGTGCATTTGTTTAAAAAAATATCATGAGAGTTGAGATCACACAGACAACTCCATACCATCTTCCACATAAACTAGTTACTCAAAACTTGCTGAAGATCTTGAACAGTGTGTTTCCGCCCGATGAAAATCATCTTTGGAGGTCAGTGAAATCAGCTCATGCATCTGCCCCTACTGGGCAAACTAAGAGGAAAGTTTCATTTGTTGATAAATGTTCTTTGTAATGCAACACACTTGTATGATTAGACCTGTCACTTTTGATATTGGCTCGAGTGCCTTGAGGCTTGAGTCCTGACTTGCTGCAGAATAAAAACAGACATCCCATCTGTTTCTTTTGAGTGTAGTGAGTCAGACAGTTTCATTGTCAAAATCAAGCATTTGCTGGCAAGGTGAATTTTGGACAACAAGTGTATGATCAACAGGTATTTCTTTCCTTCCCCTCCATGTATGCATCCTGTTTACTAATAGTGTTGACTGCTTGAAGTTCTTTCAGTTTTTAATCTTTTGGGGGGAGGGGGAGCTGTATATTTTGTATCCTCAGTAATGGCTGTTGTTGTTTTTGTTTTTGATTTTGTGCTTATGTTATATTGTGGGGGAATTATGTCAATGTCAACTACATTTCCATGTTTCTTTTTTCTACCATTGTGCATCCCTTGTAGAACTGTTTGTTGTTGTGGTTTCACAAGCTTTCTGAGGGAGACCGTATATATGGCCTTCAACTCTCAAAGCAATCACTGTATTATGATCTCAGGAGCTATATCCTCAGGAGAATTGTCAATTGTGTTTAGGCAATACTAAATCATAATCTTAAAGAGCTGTGCTGTTTACAAAATCCTTGAGAGAAATGTCTGTTGACAAGTTTGTTTGCTTTTTTGGCCAAAAAAATGTCAACATCATTTCATGAACTTGTCAATACCATAAGAGTTAACCTCACTCTGAGACTATGAATATCATATTAATGGCTAGTCTAGTGCAGTCGAGGTCAGTAACAGCTCAAATGAAGATTTGGCCCGAAAAGTACTTTACACATGTGTGAGGTCTGTTTGCCGAGGGCAGTGAAAGTAAATGTTCACTCAATCATCAGGATTGATGGTAGTGATTCTCCCGAGATATCGTATTGAAAGATGAGAAACATATGCCATCAGAGAATATCAAGCTTGTCAACTTTGTTTCCACAAATCTGCTTGTAACACTTTCCAGTGATTGTCATTTTTCATGAATTTTAATGCTACAACCATTTGAGTTTGATTGTATATAGAAAGCTTTATGATAAGAAAGGTCATCTGGAGAAACAAGACTATTTTACATCATCATTGGGCCACGCCTCCTAAAAATCAATCAAATGACTTGGCAATATAAGTCTTACAGTCATTAAAGGTACAATGTCTCTTTTGCAGCCAACATCAAATTCTGTAGAACTATTTGCAGGAATTATGAATATGTCACATATGTCCTATAGTTCTGCGAAATTTAAACATGAGCAGTGTCCTAATATTCAAAATATGAGAGGAAACCTGTTTACTTTCTAGCATTTACTATCAATGCATTGTGCTATCATAGAATTTTTCTCTTTTTTTTAAATTAAAAAAAAAAAATGATCCTTTTGAATTGGGAACTAAAACTATTTTGGGGAGAGATAGGTGATACAATTTATGTGAAACATAATTTTGCAAGCAGATCACTGATACTTCTTCTGTTATGTTTTGTGACATGTTCATTGTACTCTTTTAACCACAAACAATGAATATTTTCAGCAGGGTAGTCTTGTTTTAAAAGAGCGATCAAATCTTTGAAAAAAGTTCATTTGCATGAAAATGGAAAAGTGGCGAAAGAGAAGGCAAAAGTTAAAATATATCAGATCAATAATAAGATCTTTTATGAACTATGACATCATTATAACTATGTGTATCTCAAATTGGCAATTTGGTCAGTGGATTGTGAGAAACAGACAACTCTTCTGTTTGTCCTGTACAAAATATCATTAATTTCTGTTTTCTCCCTTGGGGCACTAAACTCACTATAAAAGACCCTCCTGAGTCTTAAATTTATTTAATAAAATGAAATTTCAGTAAATTTGTGTGTTGAAACAAAACTATCTTAGACATAGGAATTTAGGAAGGCAGTATTCTGTTGTAGTTCTGTGCTTTCAACAGATTATTCTCAAACCAAGAGCTACCTTGGAATACTGATTTGGGTTACTTCGCATGAATTGTGGTTTATATTTCGAATTTTGATTGGGGCAGACTTTGTACTTTTAACCACCTTCCATCTTTCCGCTGGGTTAATCATGTCAATAGTAAGCATTTCAAGAAAATGCTTTCCTCGATTGCCAATAAAGTTTCTAAGTGTCAATATACTTTGTGTGTTCCAAGTTCAAATGGTAATTTAAATTTGGAGGTCCCTTGAGTAGAAGCTCCAGAGTACATTGGAGCAAAGATCATTCCTACAAATACATCTTTTGCCAAGTTGTAAATGTAAATATATATGCCAAAATATCTTGTTTCCACTGGATACTTTAATAGTGTAGCTGTCAAATTCAGTTCAATCCTTTGCCTTGAGTGAGTAGAAAAGGCTATAAAAAATTTGAAAGGAAAAAGAAAACGATTGAAGGGGGAAAATGAAGTCTATGTAGAAAGCTTATCTGTTCAAAGAAGCAAACATTTAAATGGGACATCTAGCATTTGTATCATAACAATGCTGAAATCTTTTTTAAAAGGCTGTTATAGAATTCTAATGTTATGACTCATAACCTTTGAATTCTATTACAATATAACTCAAAAGCATGGGGTTAAAAGACTGTAGGCCAAGATTTAAAATCTAGAACACCTTTAATAATATGGATTTTCTTGACACTAATTATGATTTGTGGTATGATGTGGTATTACCAAGTCAGTGCAAACAAAATAATATTCATTTTTTTTTCTCTTGCACAATCGACCTGAATCCTTTCAGATCCCTTTGGGCTTTTTTTTTTCTCCAAGAAAGCAAAGTACTTCTAACATTTGAATAGATTTTTTGTGATAATGTTTATTTTGAACTGGAGAAATTTGCTTGTTATAGCTTGTTATAGTTTTGAAAAATACTAATTGACAACATGTGATTTCCTTTAATCCAAGAATTCAATTTCTCTTTTATATATTAAATCTATGAGCAGTCTTTTAGAAGTTGTCAGAATATCAGTAAAATAAAACGAAACAGTATAATGATGATGATAATTGAGTGAATTGATTGATCAAATTGGTTTATTGAAACAACATGACTGCAGATCAAGTCTGATATTATCTGTTTTACAAAGCAATCAGATATTTTACATTATAATAACAAAATTACAAAAGCAATATAACAAAATATTAACGGTAACATCACACACCAGTATTATATAACAATTATTTTTTAAATATTTCAAAGATGTGAATAAGTAGAGTTAGTATGATAATTTAGGCAATGTCACTAATTTGAATATTCAAGGATAAATTCATTTAAGCATGTTCAGGAATAATGCACAAAATATCACTTTAGAAAAACATTTTAGTTGAGTAAGAGAGGGAATAACTACACAGATGTAACACATATATATAACAATAATGTGTCTCATTGTGATGACATCTCTCTTTACTTCCAAAAGGACTTGCTAATTACACTCAGTCTACATTTTTTTCATTTAATTTGAATAACATGACACTGCCACTGCTGTAAATGCCCCATAACCTAGCATTCTTTCCTTCTTTTCTTGCACCTTTTCTAGGTTTACATATTAAATGGCAATGGTTCAGTTTATTTCCAGTCAGCAAGAGAAGAAGCTCCTCTAAAGCAAGGTGATTTAAAGGAGGGTACCGTCCCTCCATTCAACGCATACTCAGCTAACGGCACAGTTACTGTGAGTATGCATCTTAGAAGGATTCTCTTTTTTTTTACAAAGATGAGAGATGACATGAATTGATGTGTATAGGAAATATTGTCTGCAGAGAGTTAAAAGGGCATAAGTCATAATCCTTAAAATGGACTTAATGTCCTTCTGACTCTCCGCTCTCATCAGGCAATGTCTTTTTCTTTATTATGTGTATTTTATTGGCCACCTTTTTCTTTCTTTTTCACAGATACAATTTTTACACTCTAAATGACACCTCTTGAGATGTGAGATCTTGATGTAAATATATTTCAATTACTGCTCTGGAAAATATGCAATCCATTAGAAATTGTCTTTATTTGTTTATTTAACATCAATCAAGGGTTTATTGTATTTTAAATGGTAAACCATAGACCATTTATAAAGAGAATGATTTTGGTTGAATGAAAGTTTGCTATGAAATAAAAGTTAATATATTTTGACAACAATATGAACTACTTGTATATTGTACTCTAGATTACAAAATAATACAAATATTTATTGAATAGAACTCTAAGAGTTTAATCTGTATTGTTATAAATTGCAGAAATCTGCTACCCCTTGCCCCATGGCAAGGCCCTTGGGATTTAATGTTTGTTTTATGAACTACATGTATTGTAGCATTTGCTTTTCCTTAAATGAAATTAAATGATATATATTGCACTTCATTAGTGTCCAAGTATAATTCTTTTGCTACGATGTTATTGTGTCCAAGTATAATTCTTTTGCTACCATGTTATTCAAGTAATTATAGTTCTTTCACTTTCAAGTACTAACATTTCTGAGACTACTTCTACTGCATCTGATATATTACTGATGGAACTGCTTACTATGACTACTACTACTACTACTACTACTACTACTACTACTACTGCTACTACTGCTACTGCTACTACTACTGCTAATGCTACTACTAATACTACTACTACTGCTACTACTGCTACTACTACTACTTCTACTACTACTACTTCTACTTCTACTTCTACTTCTACTTCTACTTCTACTTCTACTTCTACTTCTACTTCTACTTCTACTTCTACTTCTACTTCTACTTCTACTACTACAACTACTAGTAGTGCTACTACTACTGCTACCTCTACTTCTAATTCTCCTAGTACTACTACTTCTTCAAAAATATGTGTAAGTGATATTAAATTATCATTTTTATGCCTCCGCCACCGAAGGTGGTGCCGGAGGCATCATGTTTTCGGGTTGTCCGTCCGTACGTCCGTCCGTACGTCCGTCCGTCCGTCCTGTTTGACCGTTATCACAATATCTCAAGAACCATTTAAGATTTAAACTTAAGACTCGGGAATAGTATTTATCACCATAGGAAGACGATCTGATTAGATTTTGGAGTACGTAGGTCAAAGGTCACAGGTCACAGAGGTCAACTTATGAAATTCCTTGTATTGAGTTTGTTAGCGCGATATCTCAAGAACCATTTGAGATTTAAACTTCAAACTTAAGGATAGTATGTATCACCATAGGAAGACGATCTGATTAGATTTTGGAGCACGTATGTCAAAGGTCAAGGGTCACAGAGGTCAACTTATGAAATTCCATACATTGAGATTGTTATCATGATATCTCAAGAACCACTGGAGATTTAAACTTCAAACTTAGTGATACTGTGTATCACTATTGGAAAACAATCTGATTACATTTTGGAGCACGTAGGTCAAAGGTCAAGGGTCATAGAGGTCAACTTATGAAATTCCATACATTGAGATTGTTATCATGATATCTCAAGAACCACTGGAGATGTAAAAACTTCAAACTTAAGGATAGTATGTATCACCATAGGAAGACGATCTGATAAGATTTTGGAGCACGTAGGTCAAAGGTCAAGGGTCACAGAGGTCAACTTATGAAATTCCATACATTGAGATTGTTATCATAATATCTCAAGAACCACTGGAGATTTAAACTTCAAACTTAATGATAGTGTGTATCACCATAGGAAGACAATCTGATTAGATTTTGGAGCACGTAGGTCAAAGGTCAAAGGCCACAGTGCACATTATGAATGCAAAAACAGCTTGTGATCGCGTTATCTCAAGAACCGATTGATGGATTCATGCCAAAATTAGGTCATGTTTGTTACTTGCAGAGCCAATGAACTGAGTAGATTCTTGGTTCATAAGGTCAAAGGTCAAAGGTCATGGGCCCATTATGTATGCAAAAATAGCTTGTGAACGCATTCTCATTAGAACTGACAGATGGATTACTATTTAACTCAGAACATCTTGCAGAGCCAATGAACTGAGTAGATTTTATGGTCATGAGGTCAAAGATCAAAGGGTCATATATATAGTATATGAGAAATTGCTTGTAATAGTCCGGCAGCCATCACGATATACCTTGTTTTAGGGTCTATAGTTTTTTTTTTTGTTGATTATAGTTCCTTAGACCATCAATTTGAAGAATCCGATTGCTGACACTCTGTCAGCCTTGAGCAATTTGAGATATGTGACGTCACACAAAATGGCCGCCAAAATACCCTTTTTTACCAAAATTTATGATACAAAAATTGTTTACAGTATTTTGCTACATTAAATGTCAGTCAAATATCTTTATTTTTTTCTAGGATCATCACTAAATAAAAATTGACGATGTTTTATGATAAAAAATGGCATGTAAATTTGCATAATTCAGATTGGCGCCCTCTATAGACACGTTAACTTGCAAATTTTAAATGATGGCCAAATGCCAATTTCTAACATGAAATTAACATTTTTTATAAGTAAGACGCACTGAATACAATAAGTAAAAATTGTGCACCACATTTTGGTGTGATTTTTTTGTTATTTTGTACTTTAAAGGTAAAGATCAGTTTTGGAAACGCCCCCCTCTCAAAAAATGAAATGGAAGCTCTTATCACCAATCATGTAAAAGAATATGTTTTGACTAATACGTGATGAAACAAATTTTGCTGAGAAACCGCCTACTAATTGATATATTTGGTAAATTATTATATCTATTTAGACCTGATAGATATCGCGCACGTGTCGCGTAGTCCCATGTACATCCTTCTGTGTGCAGTGCTTGTAACTTTACCAAGACTGGGCCAAATTTCTAATCGTTTTGATGATTCCAGAACCTTGCAGTACACACCAATACTTATAAGCTAGATGATCAACCTTTTCTGATCGATTCCACAACGTTTCTTTCACAATGCAATCGCATGACCATAACTGGTCTTTATCTTTAATACTTGAAGAAAACAAGCTAGAATTTCATGCTCTCTGTCCCATACATATGAGGTACCATATGGTTATAAATGCCCGTTTTCAGTGACAGCATTCCGAAATTTGATTTGTATTTTGAGGTAATACATTCTTTTATATGAACCTATCATGAAAAGGTTCCTCTCTTACAAGGGAATTTATGAGTTTAATAAAGCGAAATATCCACCCAAAATGACCAAACATGGTCACCTTCCAATGGCTATAATTTGCTGCTTTAGTTTGATCCTAATTATAACACTCGACAGAGGCGCGAAAACCACAGAAAATTGTGCATGCTAGTTTTGCTTTGTTGCATTGGCACCGTGATGATTTACATAGGCTTCCACTCGCACAAGTGCACCGTATTAACCTTAATATGTTGTCCGGTGCGAGTTGTACATTTGTAAGTACTGTGACAGGGATCAGGGATTTGGTTTCCTCTTCTTTTGCATAGCCATACTTTGTAGGATCCAATGATGTGGGTCGTGACTGCAAGGCGTGCTTCCACACACATGTTTGCAGATGAGCTCTCTTGCCAACTGAGTCCAAAGGGAGTCAAATCTTCTGCTTCATCACTTTCAGCAATGCATGTACCCTTTTCAATCCCAAAGTATGCCCAAATAGTGTCGCATCCCCTCAACGCATGTCCTGCCAACATCGATGGAATGATATCTTCTAACTTGTGTACAGTGGCAGGAATGTCAATAACAGTTCGCTCTTTGATGACGCCATGATCATTGGCGTTCTAAGTTATTCATGTAGATAATGATGGACCCTAACCCTAACAGCCAGGACCCTAACATACCTTTTCTCATTAGCAGCAATTTGAATCGCTTGCTGTACTATGATGTTGTCTGCTTCTTCATGTGTTATGGAAAGATCTTCCCTTGGCATGACATCGCTGCCTGGTATCACTTCAACAGATACCTCATCTTGACCGGTAATGACCAGCTTGTGCTTTTGCCTGTTTCTGAACACCTCATCATTCTGCAGAATCACGCATACCGGTATTATGATGTCGATCAACTGTAGTTTGTTGTCAGTAGTTTCTGGGAGGGAAGCAGTGAGGTGGGAAGGAAGACTCTTTTGGATGACTCTCGTTTCGTCATGACTTCTAGATACCCTGGTGGCACACCAACCAAAGATCATCAGATTTTAATCAAGAGTAGAGCACAACCATCAAACGGGCTGTACAAGGTTGCTCAAGTGACACGTCAACCTTTGTCAAATTCTTCAAGTTCGCCTTTGACCTGGTGAAAGCTTTCATGACAAAATATTCTTGATATTGACATATCTTCAACTTGCCTGCAGTCCTATTACTCTAGAGTAGATCAACTAGGTGTCATAGACTTTTAAATCCTCCAATGTTAATTAAACTACACCCTCCAAGTGGTTGAAAACTTCACCTACCTCGGCTCCATGTATTAAGCAACCTCTCCCTTGATCTCGAGCTCAACGTTCACATTGGCAAGGCAGCAACCAAGATTGCTAGACACTCAAAGCAGGCCTGGAAGAACACTTTACTATAAACCACCAACACGAAAATGAAGATCTACCAGGCCTGTATGCTCAGCACTCTCCTGTATGGCAGTGAGTCGTGAACCCTGTATGCAAGTCAGGAGCGCCGTTTGAATGTTTTCCATTTCCGCTACTTGAGGCGAATCCTAGGCATCAAATGGCAGGACCACATTCCAAACAAGGATGTCCTCAAAAAGGAGGGATGATGACCATCTACGCTCTTCTATAACAACGATGGCTGAGATGGCTTGGTCATATCAGTCGTATGGAAGACGGCCGCATTTCAAAAGACATCTTGTAGGGAAAGTTAGCGACTAGAACCAGGACTGTTAGAAGACCTGGCCTTTGCTTCATGGATTTGTGCAAGAGGGATATAGAGGCCAGTGAAATCAACCCTACAAAATGGGAAGCCTATGCTTCAGACTGCCCCAAATGGAGATGCGCTGTGAAGACATGTATACAGAGGAGTGATCAGAAGAGAGTAGAACAGTGGGAGGAGAAAAGGCAACAAAGACGGCAGCTAGCCACGGCTTCAACAGCACAGCCACGCATGAAATTTGTCTGCAGCAACTGCAACAGGACCTGCCTCTCTAGGATTTGACTATTTAGTCATAGCAGGAGCTGCACAGCAAGAAACTCTTGCTTGAAGCTGTTAAAAAAGAGGTACAATTGAGGGTGCAAAGGGAGGGAGTTCCAGAGTCTTATTGTATCCGGGAAGAAGCTCCTCTTTTAGACAAGCATTCAGGCAAAATGAACATATTATCTTCTTGGAATGCCCTCTGTGCAGGGATGTTGATGGAGTAAGGAAAGTATGTGGAAAGTCTTTCAGCGGGTTGTTGATGCAAAAGATCATCATCACCTGAGCCTGTACCCTGCGTTCTTGTAATGTTGGCCAGTTGAGCTGGTTCAGGATGGCTTCTACTTTGCTTGTCCTGCAGTAGTCGTTGCAGAAGGAGCGGACATAGCGCCGTTGACCCATTTCAAGCTTCTTGATGATTGCTAAAAATAAATTGTTTGAGTGTTAGGGTCCCATATAATTATAATGATGGCATACTCCATGATTGGTTGAAAGCACAATTATTTAACTTTTCTAGGACATGGTTGGATATTTCTTTGAAGAAAGGCACGGTTGGAGTTGGAGTTGGAGTATTTGCTGATAATGTTGATATGTGGGTTCCAGCTGAGGTTTTTCTGTGACTCAACACCTCGATACTTTGCTATATTTTTGTCATCTAGGGTCTGTCCATGAATTTGATGATGGATTTGCGTTTATTGGTGACATGTAGAACCTGACATTTATGTGGGATGAATTCCATCAGCCAATCACGCTCCCAGCGTTGCAGTGAGTCAAGATCCTCTTGGAAACGTTAGGCGTCTTCCTATGTCTTGATGTTGCTGTATATAGCATGCCATCGTCAGCAAAGAGCCTGACTGTTGGGTTTGGGGAGAGGTACGGTGGCAGATCATTGAGGAAGAGGAGAAACAGCATCTGGCCGATAACGCTGCCTTGCGGGATGCCAGATGTTACTTGGCTGGTGTTGGAGATGGGTCCTTCCAGTAACACCTGCTGGGTCCAGTAACTCAGGAAGCCAGAAAACCAAGCATGTGTGGGTTCCCAGATTCCATAGAATTGGAGCTTGTGTACCAGCTAGCCTTCCATGGGGAACCTTGTCAAATGATTTGGAGAAACCAAGGAGTGTCATGTCCAATTGGTCTCTTGCATTGATGCCTTTGGCAATGTCCAGGACAGCAAGGACAAGCTGTGAGACGCAGGATTGCTTCTTTCGAAAGCCATGTTGTGCATCAGACAAGATGTTGTGGCTTTCAAGGTGGTTCATGTTGCTGCTAAGAACGATGTGCTCCAGTACTTCACAGGTTACTGACGTCCGAGAGACAGCTTTGTAGTTCTCTGGCTTGCTACGGTCACCTTTCTTGAAGATGGGATCAATATATATAGCCATCTTCCATTTATCAGGTATGCACGCTCTGGTTAAGGGAGTCTTGGAAGAATAGAGGGAACACAGGTGTCAGTTTGGTGGTCAGAAGTCTGGCTGGGATTTGGTCAGGACCAGTGGCTTTATGAACATCAAGCTCAGACAGGATCTTCAGAACACCTGGTGGCGAGATAGTTATGTGATCCATGTTTGGGTAGGGGCTTCGTCCTTTGTCTCTCAGACTAGTCATATCTTCATTGCAGTTGAAGATGGATGAAAACTGATTACTTAGAATGTTCGCCTTTGAGAGGCTATCTGAGTAAGTCATTCCATTAGATTATTTCAATTGAGCCAACCCTGAAGCATCGCATCGCTTGCTGTTTATGAAACTCCAGAAACACTTTGGTTTACAGTTGGTGTCTGGGCTGACAATTTCTGTCAGGTACCCGTTGTAGACTTTCTTGGAAATTGTGTCATAGAATCCACCAGGTAACTTCTGTTAAAACTCATGCATCTGTCTGGTACCGATGCCAAATGCTTTATCATCATTCACTGACGCTGGATCAATGCTGGTCTAAATAAAGCCTATGAATGGAACAATAATTTACCGTAAAATCACTTCTCACTGATTCTCTTGTAGATCTTGGTTTCTTTACATGTATCTTAATTTAGACCAAAAAATATGTAAGATAAATGCAGCACAATCGTAATTATTTCATGCATACGAAGCATATAATATGTGTTTAACGTCACGTAGATCTAAGAAATTGGCATTTGGCTGGCACACCTATTTTTATGCAAAATTAATATATTTATAGAGGGCGCTATTTCAAAATATGCAAATTAGCTTGTCATCTATAGACGTGCAACATCACGAAACAATTTTTAGTGATGGTCCTAGAGAGATACAGACATTTGGCAGCCCAAAATTGTAGAAAAATCCTTGTTTTATATTTATTATACATTTTTAGAGAAAAATCATGTACTTTGGCGGCCATTTTGTATGACGTCACATATCTTAAATTGCTCAAGGCTGACAGAGTGTCAGCAATCGGATTCTTCAAATAGAAGGTTTAGGCAGTCATAATCCATTGAGAAATAAGAAATTGGCATTTGGCTGGCACACCTATTTTTATGCAAAATTAATATATTTATAGAGGGCGCTATTTCAAAATATGCAAATTAGCTTGTCATCTATGGCCGTGCAACATCACGAAACAATTTTTAGTGATGGTCCTAGAGAGAAACAGACATTTGGCTGCCCAAAATTGTAGAAAAAGCCCTATTATATATTTATTATACATTTTTAGAGAAAAATCATGTACTTTGGCGGCCATTTTGTATGACGTCACATATCTTAAATTGCTCAAGGCTGACAGAGTGTCAGCAATCGGATTCTTCAAATAGAAGGTTTAGGCAATCATAATCCATTGAAAAAAAAACTATAGACCCTAAAACAAGGTTAGGCCAATAATCTGGATTTGGCTGCCGGACTATAATCACAATATTCTGAGAACCTGTCAATGGATTACCATTGAACGTGAATTCACGTTTTTCTGTTTTGGTTTGTAAAATTGCTCTATAACGGAGGCATCATTTTCGACTGCGCGCAGTCGAATTCCATCTAGTTTTTTTATCCTCTTATATTTCTTCATAGGGAGAACTTGTATACGTGAATTATGGAAGGATTGAAGATTTCCAGAAACTAACAGGCGAACTCAATATCGACTTGACTGGAAAGATAGCTATAGCCAGATATGGAAAAATATTCAGAGGAGACAAAGTAAGTTAGCCTAAATTTTGTATTCCTTCATCAATATTCGTCTTCAAACACATTTATTCTGAAAATTCTTGCATAAGTCAGTGTTAAATGACATTGTAGATGAGACTTTCTTGTTTCTAATGCATATAGTTTTAAGTATTTAAAAAAAACACTTTCTTATATAGAGATTTTCAAAATGTTTAAGTTTTAAGTATTTAAAAAAAACACTTTCTTATATAGAGATTTTCAAAATGTTTAAGTTATTGCTTTGGGACCTCTATCAATCCGAAATTGAATAAGGACCCAAAACAGTTGGTATAATTATGTCATCCATGTTTTGTACGTGTTATAACTTTGTTTAATATGTTGCATGGAGATTCCTTGGAGGTTTATTGTCAGTTTTACTGTTACAAGTTTTCAGATAATCTTTCATAAATTTTCTTGTCCTTTTTATTAATAAATTATAAAATAAATGTTGAAAACAAATAAATTTTATTTTGAGTGCTCATGTTTGTTCTCATTATCACCTCATTTTCTTTTGATGTCCTAGTTTTTATCTTTGTCCCGCTTTTGTGTAGAAAATGCTTAAGTTCTGACAATATATAAACTTCTTGCCATTGTAGTGGTGCATTAATCTGTTGAATTCACGTACACTGATGAGTGTCTCAATTTGAACTTGATTTTGGTTCAGATAACAGATCAAAATCATAGATTATCAAAGGCAAGGACGCATATATAAATATCATCTAATTAGCATGCACACATGGACCCTGGACTTGACACATCAGTATCAATGGTGTGTGTGTGTGTGTGTGTGTGTGTGTGTGTGTGTGTGTGTGCATGTGTAGGCTTCCTAATCCACCTTGGATTCAAAGTCAATAGACCCATTTAGAGATAGTAAAAACCTGACCCTAAAATATCTACAGAGCTTTTAAACATGGAGGTATCCCACTTTGTGTGTTTTTGAAGAATCCTCATGATAACCTTATTGTGCCCTCTTGAAAAGAATACTTGTCTATCAACTACCATTTCAACATTATTACATAGTCCAGTTGGAGCTAATCCATGTATACACCCAAACATAAGGCTTGCTAAGAAACAATTCCATTATACTTGGCCATGTTGAAATTTTCAAGGAAAATAGCTGCAGCTCTTTTTTTGTATTCATGTCAGTTGTGAGAATACACAAACTCCATTAGTAATACTGGGAAGCAACTAAAATAAAAGAATCTATGCATTGTAGTGTATTAGTTTTGTACAGCATAAATTTGAAATAAAGAATATGAGATATATTTTTTAGTTTACCACATAAAAAACATACATAGCAAAACATCTGTTGAAATTGCTCTATCCTCGATCCCTATCCTTATACTTTTACAGAACTTTGATCTTGTTTTGTCTGCTGTATGCTTCACAATAGCATCCATAGGTTATTATTATTTTAGATTATTTATACAACAAATATCAGAGTTTTGTATTCCTGAATATTCTATTCATGTACGGTGTCTTGTACAGCTTTGAATTATTATGGAGAAGCAACAATATTCCAAATGTTATTATAAGTAGAATTATTCATGAACTGCATCATTAATTCATCTGTAGGTATCACTGATCTGCTTTTCTAATTGCACCCCTTATTGATCAACTGCTAAAGAAAATTTTAAAAATGCATGATCATTTCCATCCTTAACTATGCTTTGAGGTGAAATGTGGCATTTACATTCAGAGAAGTAATATATGGCTTATTCATTTTATTTTCATTCTTTTATTTCTGCCCTGTCAGGCTAAACATGCTACTAAATATGGTGCAGCAGGTCTCATCCTGTTCTCCGACCCTGCTGACTATGCTGTTGAGAATGACCTGGGGGTGTACCCAGACACCTGGTACCTCCCTGGCACAGGGGTACAGCGAGGGTCCCTTCACATCCCCATGGGTCTTGGGGGAGACCCCCTTTCCCCGGGATACCCCTCTTACGGTGAGCATCCAATTCCATCCAGCCCCCCTCCCCCTTTGCTTTCAACAAAAACAAGCTTCACGAAGCTGCATCCTCTCATTCTTCTGCTCCTGTTCCAAGCAACATTTTATCTGGGTAGCCTTCCCCTTTAAAAGAACATATCCCATCATGCCTGATGAGAGTGATCGTTATGTTTTGTACTTGATAGGCGGAGGAAGCAGCGGCCTTTGGGGCTGTTGGGTTGATACTGTTCTCTGACCCAGCTGACTATGCCGTAGAGAGTGATTTAGGGGTGTACCCAGACACCTGGTATTTACCAGAAACGGGGGTACAGAGGGGATCACTGTACTCTTATCAGAGTGTAGGAGGAGATCCTTTATCTCCAGGTTACCCTTCCTATGGTATGTCATCTTGGTAGTTTCTACATCAGGAATTTATATGTTTTATTCTGCCAAGTTATCAGCTTAACGTTAGTAATATTAACTGGTTCACTTAATTTCTTCTTTTACCTCAATGGCATGGGTGGTAAAAGACCTACACAGTTTTTTGGTGCTTTGATGATGTCCCACTTATTGTTATTATGGGTTATTTACACTTTTTGCATTCTATTATATTTCTCTGTGTCGCTTAAATATAGTGCATGTGAAATCATTCACTTGTATTGAACATGCTTTGAGAAGTGTGACCGTATTGTATTAAAATTCTACTCAATGAAAGTTCATTGACAATGTAAGAGGGTACGTACTACAAAATCACTTGTCTGTCATTGAAGAGAGCCATGCATAATATACACTGATTGATAAAAATTGATACAAATTTATCTCTTCCTGTTCTGCCAAGCAAATGGTCAATTAGCACCCCAAAAATAACTAACAACCAATTCTGATTTGGTAATTTGGAACTTAGATTCAAAGATGCCCGCAGAAAAAGTTAAGATGACAAGAGACAAGTATCCTAGTAATGCACTTTTTGTAGTACTCAGCCTGCTTGAACTGTTTTCCTTTCAGGACAGGAAGTAATTGAGAGCTACATTATTAGCTCTTTAAAATTTGGAATGCTTGTATTTCCTTTATTGCTATATCTTTCCAATAAAAAGCAAGATATCTTAATTAATGAATATACAGCCTACTTTAACAGGGAGTATTAATGGTTTGAAGAAGGAAAAAAATGCCAATTTGCAAGGAAAATAGCAATTTTTAAATGTTCATGATGTTGTCAGTTTAAGCAATCTAGGGTAAATTTTCTTTTAAAGATAAATACCCCTGGTATCTATCTAATGCAATATGGTAACCAAAAAAAGAAGGATGCAGTGTGTGGAGAAAACTTGCCTTTTCTCCTTATTCACTAGTATATTTTTCAGAGCTCTGTACAAAAAAATCTTTAGCCAAACCACAGAAGGTGGCCCATTGTAGGGAAAGAGCCTTATAACCTCCAACATCCAGAGAGTTGACTCTGGAACCACTTTTTTAATTATTCCTATGATCATTTTTCCAGAAACGGCTTACAAGACATCCGAAGATGCTGCTGGCCTTCCCACCATTCCGGTTCAACCGATTGGCTATGGCGATGCCAAGATGATTCTAGAGTAGGTACATTTATTACATGTGTATGTTACTTCTTGGTATAATTATTACATATAGTACTACCGGTACCTTGTGACAAGGGGATAATGAAGTAGCCATGTCAGCTATAGGTCAATTCTAAGCATTACAGAATTACATTTCCAGATATTGTCAATTTTGAATACAAAATATTATTGACATTTCAATAAAGCTCTAGAAGTTATTAATATGTTAATGTATATTTAAATATGAGGTTTTTTCATATCTTTGGGGTTTTCTATCAACCATCCATTATTTTGATGAAATGTTTAATTTTATTTAGGTTTTTATGGAATGACATAAAAAGGTAATTTACTGGTTATTCCATAACAAAGCTATAATACTATAATACTTGGCATTGATCTTTTTTAAAGTAAAGACACAACCAGAGCACTCTATAAGCAGGCATAAAATTATTTGATGTTTTACAGTGGTTTATGCTAGACTGTTGAATCACCTTGGTTTATATCCTAACATGAATTTTTTTTATCACATTTAAAAAAAAAATATTATTAACAAAGATTTGTTTAAATCCCTTTTAAATTTCTGTTAATACCTTTGAATAGACAGCTTGCTGGACCCAAAGCACCAGATGAATGGCAGGGAAATATCCACAACCTTACATACAACCTAGGACCAGGATATGTTGGAGGAAGGTGAGAAAATTGTGAACTTGAGAATTTTTCCACATTTGATGTCTTAATCGGACTTCAAGTTCTGACAATAGTGGCTAAAATTCTTTTAGCAATTATTTTCAACAACACAAGGAAATGCTATTTGGCATATATATTTAGTAGGAATGATATAATAGCTGAGAGCAAAGATAAATATGGAAATCAAGCTAGTATTCCCAATCACCAGCTTAGTAAATGTGGTTTCCTTTTTGCTTCATGATTATGTTTTCAGAGGATATATAAACATTGAAACTGAAGCGAGAGTGTTTTCAAATTGTCCATAACTTGGAGAGCTTCCATTCTGAAATGTTCTCTTTTGGTGTAAATGTGCATGAATCGATTCATACAGCAATGATGCAATGTTAAGATAAGGTGATGTTCACCCTCTGTAGGCATTAAGTTATACATGAGTCTAGCCACTGTCGGTCTTGCCGAAGCATCAATAAAAGAGTATGCTAATAAACTTGAACCATTGTTATGTGACTGATCAGGTATTTCAGTAATGGCGATGAATGTGTGGAAGAGCATATTGGAAAGTTTGTCATCAGTTTGTGTGAGGACTTTACCTCTTCTTTGTCCATATATGCTTGATGCAATGTGACAGGAAATTTGATATACTTATTTATTTACCTTTAAGAAGATATATTACAATTTATGTGTGTGTGTGTTTGTTCGTGTGTGTGTGTGTTTCCATGGTTTTAGGGGAAGCAGCGTATTACTCTTGAGGTGAATAGCGTATCACATCATATATAAAATACTGAATGATACTTCAACCAAAGTATAATTTTGAATGAGAAAAACAATGATTTATCAAGATCATTATCTTAGTCTTGCAAATAATCTACTAGTATATTTAGTTTATGATGCAATTACCTCATATCCAGGACATATCAGGGATTCAGATCTACATTACTGTGATTTATCATACCTTATGAATTTACCCACTGATTTCCTTTCTAAACAGAACTGTAAAACTTGAAGTCAATACCCACAATGAAGAGCGTTTCACCTACAACACCATTGGCATTATAAGAGGCTCAATTGAACCAGGTATATAAATAGTAGTAATATAAATATTTTGTTCTTACTATTTTGCCTGAAGCAAATTAAATGAATATGAACAGCTAAATACATTGATGATTTATTTCATATAATTGTCTTGTTGGTTTGGTTATATGTAGCAACCCCATAAATTCAGTGTTATTTGCTATAAAAAATAAAGTCAATGTTTATTTGACAACCATTGTATTGTTGGAGTTATATAGCACCTCATAAATTAGTTGTAAACTACTGATGGTCTTGATTTAGCTTGATTAAAACTGTTTATATAGAGCTCTCTTAAATTGGGTATAAACAGCTATATATTATATTATCATGTTGGTATTATTCAACACCCCCATTTATTCAATTTGAGCAGATTATTGGAATTATACAGCACCCTCATAATATGTACATTTATTTATTTATTTATCAATATTTCCTCATAATGACTTTAATAAATTTCATTTACAAGTCAGATAAAATGGTGTTAACTCTGATAAAAAACAGAACACTCATGAGAGGCGACATACACTTCTAGAATAAAGTCATATGCATGGGCTATTTTAAAGCATAAACTTGATAATTAAAAGCCCACAAAATTACTTGATATGAACTGGAAAAAAAGATACACAGAACCAATTTTAGATAAATATAACAAATAATAACAGTTGAGTGAGAGGACAAAGAATAAAAGGGAGGAGATAGGGAGTAGATGCATGGCAGTTCCAGTTATCATGAGAAGAATACCAAAATAAATTGCTAGAATATTACCGGGTACATTTAACAAAGTAGATTCGTGGTGCATGATAAATGTACTGTTACAAATATTTTATTTGTGATTTGGTTTCCATGTCTTTTTGCTATAATACCACATTGAAATATGAGGGTGAACATATTCAATGATGAATGACTATCAATATTTTATAATGGGTATAAGACAACAACTCCTCCCCCTCTCACTCCAATGACATCAATATAATCAGCCACAGATATGGTTGATTTCATCATTTTATTGTTAGTAAATGTACTTTGTTGCACACATATGTTATAAATAAATTAAATATAATCATATTTGATGTTGTATCATTGTACTTTTTGTTGGTATTAGATCGATACATAATAGCTGGTAACCATCGTGATGCCTGGGTGTATGGTGCAGTGGACCCTTCCAGTGGCACAGCAGCCCTGATGGAAATGTCTAGAGCTATGGGCAAGCTGGTCAAAGATGGTAAGTAATCTTGACACTTCCATTCCTAAGGAAATTAAATCTCTCTTAAGATATCAAATTAATGTTTATTTTTATTTGATTTGAAAAGGTTTTATTATAATATGTAGAGCCAATTCTACATTTTCCAATCTTTCTGACTTCAAATATATCACATGTATATCTATATACCAAGGTGGAGGAGATAGTAATTATTCACCATTATTCTTAGTCTTCCAAGAGCGAGAAATAGAAGGAATTCATAAATGAAAAGAAAGATATAAAAAAGGAAACCTGAAATGAAAGTTTGAATGCTATTAAACTTGCAGGTAAATGGCGCCCTCGTCGTTCCATTGTGTTTGCCAGCTGGGCTGCGGAGGAGTACTCCTTGATCGGATCCACAGAGTGGGTAGAGGTAAGGTGAATTAGTCTTCCTAGTCTGTCCTGGCTACTGGGCAATATCAAGATCAGTAAGGGCTGCAGCCACATGTTAGAGAGTTTACCATTCCAGCACATAATATGACTTCTTCCCTTCACGTCTAACACTATATGCACCGAACCTGGAGCAATAAACTAGTATCATTATAGAGAGCCTTTGAAATCTATTTTTTTATAATTTTACCAGAAGTAGATTCTAAATCACCTTGCTTTTCATATTCATAATCTGTGGAGCGTGTCATTCTGACCATACTCTTTATTTACTGTGCAGGAGTTTACCAAGAACCTCGGTTCCAGGACAGTGGCTTACCTCAATATTGACATCTCTGTAGAAGGAAATTATACCTTCAGGCTAAAATCAACTCCAAACCTCTATGAAGCCGTTTTCTCTGCTACAAAAAATGTGAGTATAGATTCAGTTATTTTGATTTCCACAGATCACTTGAAATTTCATACAGAGAAAAATAAAATCTCTTGTGTAAAGAAGATGCATGATTGGTATCAATTCTAAAAGAAAAAATTTGCTTCAAAGTTCATTCTCTTTTTTCTCTTCATATTGTTTTTCTTCTTACCTTTACTCTTTTTGGTGTTTATTAATCGGTTGATATTTTTCGTATGTTAATGTTTCTGTGTACTGTGTATTTAATCAATTTGCTTCATATTCCGTCATCTGCTTCACATTTTATCAAAGGGAACATGATTCTCTACTAAAAGCCATTTTAGGCCTTGTTTTGGCCATTAATTGACAATATTAAGTACTTTAACATGTCCAAAATCATATGATTAATGTTTCAACTACAGAACATGTATCAATAGTGGTCTGTCAAATGACAGACATAGTGTCCCAATCAATTTTACATCAAATGTATCCCAAAGTGCTATGATCTTTAATAGTCAACCACGTCATATGTACAAGGCCTACTCCACAGTCTGTGATGATTTCATCTATAAACCCGCTGCAAGTTCTTCCTTTTTGAAGGATAGAGCAACGGTCTTGTAACCAGGAGATCTCGGATGCAAAAACAATTATATATGCTAGTGCCATTTGGTAAGTCATGAATCCTCATCAAGTCCCTCGAAGACGACTTAAAGCGGTCCGAACCCTAATTGCTAACTTATAAGCAGGGGCATGCTTTATCAGTAGTCAGGTGACACTAGCAATCAATCAACCTTGTTCCATATCAACCACTTTCCATGACTCTCTCAACTTTACTTCAACCTATTGCCTTATCAGGTGCCTGATGTCCCCTTTCCTGGGCACAGCAGCACTGTGTACGACACATGGCTGGATAGGACAGGGAAAGGAGGAGACAGACCAAGGTAGGTTGATAGCTAGTACAATCACTATCGCATCACCAAACACAGAGAACTTCAGTGAATTGTAATCATAAGTTACAGTTATTAGTAACCATAAATCATAATCATTTGTAAGTTGAACTTATTCTTAGATTACAATCAGGTGTAAGTTATAATTACCTGCAAGTTATTATAAATCATATCATATGTGGAAATTGATACACTTTTCACATTGATGGATATGGTATGAAGGATTAAAAAAAAGACCCCCAAAAGTTTGTTAAAATTATCATCACATGTCTTCTTTCTTTATTTCAGTGTTCGTAATATAGGTTCAGGGAGTGACTATGCATCTTTTCTGGGAGAGATAGGTGTGCCTTCTGTGGATCTCAGATATACCTTTAACTCAGTAAGTTCAAACTTTAACATAGCAGCGCATCATTCTTCCAGACAGTTCGTAATATTTAGTCATGTTTGTTTTTAATGTGAGTGACTTATTGTTTTTATTCACGTTTGAGACAGATTGCTTTCTAGATACACCTGTAAATACAGTTTTGAAATTTCCAAGCAGAACGATTACAGAATTATTAATATTTAGTTATTTTTTGGACTGCTCAAAGATTAAACTATTATGTTAAAAATTTAATTTCTTATTAAAACTATTTTTACTCTTCTTTTTGTTATCTTGCTATCCATGTAAGCTTCAACTGACAGTTTGTCATATAGTGTAGAATACATAACGTGCCTGAACCTCATTTTATACTGTTTGTAAACACAGGATTTAGGATTATCAAGCTACCCCCTCTACCACTCCATGTACGAGACGTTCTTCCTGGTCAGTGAGATCATGGACCACTCTTTCGAGTATCACTTGGCTGTCACCAGGGTTTGGGCGGAGCTAGCCCGTAGTCTTGCCGACAGTCTCATACTGCCTATCGGTGTTGTGGATACCGCCGAGAAGATCACTGGCTCCATCGCCACCTTGAAGGATTTCTATGAAGATCAGATGGCCGAGCAAGGCATTACATGGGGTAAGTGTTCCCAATGTGCAAAAAATATCCTGCAATTTAGGCATGATATCAGCCGTTGACTTTCTTAACCCAGGAGTAGGAACTGGATGCTGGGTAGGATTCCTTTCGTGTTGTGCTGTCTTTGGTGATAAATTGCTGAAAACAGAGCACTTAAAGCCAGGGCGATAATTGATTCATTTGATATGATAAGCATGATACAAGGTTAGATAGTGTGTTAATTGCTTGACATCCATATCTACTGTACTTGTAGCAAGTACAGGAATATTAGTGATATATAAAGATTTTTAAAGGCAACGTACTTCAAAACAATCTGTTAATTTGTTGAGAATATGTTTGAAAAATTATGTGGATCTTTTGACAAAATGATGTGAGATTGACCCATAACACAGCTAGAAATCATTCTTCCTTGAAAGTCTGTGTTTATTTGGCTGTATATAATTCTCCCAATTTACAGGTTATTTTTTATGAAGGCAGTAGGTTAATTCAGACCTGCTGAGTGTGCTTACAGCTAATTTTCTCTTCTGTTTGTTGTTCTTGTTTGTACATTGTTAAACTTAAAAATAATAATAATAATAATAATAATGGTGGCTTCTTGTATAGCGCACATATTCGTCATGTTGTGACGCTCCTGGCGCTGCTCCGATTATTATTACCCTGGCTTTAGCAAGGCAGCCACTGCGGCGCTCTAGCATTTCGAGGAATTAATTCGTGCCAGGTACCCCTTTACATCACCTGGGTTGAGTGAGAATCAGATGGAAACGATATTCATATTCAAGTGATATGCTATAAATCAACCTTGCTGTGATTACATTTTCTGTCCACTGTTTTTCATATCTATACTGTCATTATATGAATAATATTCTGCAGTAAAAGGGTATATCTAAATTTTAGTTTTTGATTTCTTTGCAGATACCATTGAGTCAGCTTCCAGTAACCTCACAACAGCAGCCAAAGCTTTTGAGAGTAACGTGGCAGATATGGAGAAAAATGAGTGAGTGTGATGTCAAAGTGAAAGTGTGATAGTCCAAGTCATCCTATGAATGCCTTCATCCCTAGGTGATAGAGAATATTTAGGGAGCCCATTGTTCCATCAGATATGATTTTCGAACCATTGAAGACAATCCAAAGAAATGAACTTTTGTGATTTGAGAGTTTTCATCTTTTGAATATGTATTTGAATGTTACAACCCAATGTACTTTGTATAGCCATATCATAAGTTGAGGCTGACCTCAAGTAACTCCATTGCTAATGTTAGTTCACTGTTAATACAATCGTAAATATTTTCATTCGTGAATGTTGTTTTTTAGGGGGGGGGGGTCTTGTGATGAAACAATGTCAAGACATATGCCTTTCATGTGATTTTGATCTCTTTTCTTTCTTAGTCCCTTCGCCGTTCGTCGTGTCAATGATCAGCTTATGCAATTTGAGCGAGCTTTCATCGACCCTCTAGGTTTGCCTGGGAGGAACCTTCAAAGGTAGGACAATGATCTAAAGTAACACTTTTGTAATAACCCTCTTTAATTTAGGCATGTTATATCATATATGACAAATACTCCTTTGAGTTTGCTAACAAAACTAACAGTGCCTCGCAGTGTAAATCCTACATGTGGTAATGGACATACAGATAAAACATTTTGAAGCTGTATGCTGTCGCTTATGCACCATAACATAAAGAGTGAAAGCATAAAGAGATAAAGTGAAGGTATAGAGTGATAAAGTGAAGGTAAAGTAAATATTTACCGCATCTCTTGTATTAAAGTGGAGGAGAATAAATTTCTCTTCTTTTGGCAGAGGACGTGGACGTTTTCAATGTAACAACTTTGATTTTCTCTACTGAATGAAAGAAAATTACCATAACATGGTGGCAGCAGTGGGATAGTGAGCAAAGGAAATAATAGTATTTGCATGATTATAGTGATAGGGAATAGTTTTCAGGTGGTTGTAGTCCTTGAAGTTTTTCTAGGATCACCATCATTCCTCTCATCATGTAATTTCTTCATATAACAATGACCATATTCTATTATTTCTCATTACCTTCTTCTTCTCCTCTTAGGCATGTTGTGTTTGCTCCTAGCAGCAAGGATGCCTACAAGGGAGATGCCTTCCCGGGCATTGTAGATCTCATGTTCGATATCAACAACCCTGAGGGTGATGTCAGCGACGATTGGGAAGCCTTGAAACAACACATGTCTGTTGTTGCCTTCACGTTGCAGTCTGCTGCCTCCACACTCAAAGATGTAGACATTCTTCATCGAGACTAAGAATGACGTTTAGACCGATGCCTCATAAAATTTTCATTGTTTTTGATCATGCGAAAGGAACACTTTACCAATCTGTGCACTAATATAAAATCGCAAATGTCACTGCCTAGATAAATAGTTGTTTATATGGCAATTTATTTTGTTAGGAGATGAAAAATAGCTGAGAAATGAGGAAAGAACGAAACTTACATTGGGCTTGACCATACGCCTGAGTGTGGTTATCTTACAATAAGATTGAAACTTTCCAATGTGTTTGGTTATCATCAAGTTTGTGTACTCTCATTTTTTTTCATTTTCTAGGCCCCACAATATATCAATGATTTACTGGCTCATTAATACTAGAACACCAGATTCCAATCGGATTTACGACATGTGTGAGGAGCACACAGCATATGAATCTGTTATTACCAACAGATGATCACCCCTCTTCATGGAGAATATTAAAGTTGAAAATGAAAAGGCAATTTCTTTTTTCTCTCTCATTAAGGAATACAAGTTGTGTGAAATGCTTTGTGTGTAATAATCAAGCTTAGCTGCAAGTTGAATTCTGCACTAATTTTGTGAGTAATATGATGGCATACTACCTAAACTGTATTTTAGAGACTATCTAGATTTGTTATTCACCAGTTATAAAAGCTGATTATGCTATAATGTGCTGTTCTGAGTAGTCTTCAGCATAGTATTCAATCAATTAAAAGAAATTGTATCAATTATCTTTTACATAAAATCAAGTGCCACATTTGATTGGTTTATCTTATTTGTGAAGTATAATGTACATTTAGATCATGAGATACTTAAGTATACAAGTGAGAGAGAGAGAGTGAATATCTAACTTGGATGTGGATGGCCCATGAAAGCTACTCAATAGTTTATTGACTTGATACAAAGTCATAGAGCTGCCAGACACCTTTGAATGGTTCTTGATCAGTAATTACTGGTCCCCTTTTTTAATGAATCATGTGATTCTAGATTTTATGTATATTCTGTGGTCATCTAGCTGATTTGTATTCAATTTGTGATTTTTCTTCTCTCTCTTACATTATATTAAAGCATAATGTGAATTTTAAACCATCTTTTCATAGACCCATTGTTGTAAAAGTGCTGACTTCATAGATGTGGAACTACCCACCTGTGGAAGTGTGTTCTCAATTGCCAATTTGCGTGACTTTTTGTAATAACTTAGCCCTTTTATTTTTGGTGCTTAAATATATGTATCCACTTATGTAGCTGACATTGTTTTGTACTTTCATTTACTCGACTGATGAATTCTTTGTATTATTTGTGCCATGATTATTTGGACAATTCATTAATTCCGCAAACTCCTTGGTGTATTTCGATGCTGCTGCTTCATATAGTATTGTGTGGCATGTTACAACATATTGTCACATGTGAATTCTTTATGTTTTGCTATAAATACATAAATAAATTGTATATGTTATGTGCATGTGCCATAAATTTTCTTTACTTTATTTCTTCATGAAAGCATGTAATCAAGAAAAACTGCATATTAATTCTTATAATATTTATGCACAGATGATATCCTGAAAAGCATATGTACACGTAAAATAGTTATGGATAATCATTGCCAGATTTTACAATCTCAACCTGTTTTAGCCTGCAATTAAAAAGAAAGGTGGTTCATGAAGACATTATAGTAATTCTGTATTTTCCCCAACTTTTCATTCTCTAACACCTTATTCCATAGTTCATTTCATAAAATAATAACCATGAAGTAACTGATATGTACAAAATGTGCAATACACGCCATCCCACTGATGAAATAATGACTTCTTTTAAATACTGGTAATCATAGAATGCCCAATTTGCCTACCCGTACAGTACTTATAATCAGCCAACTTACCATGAAAAGTGTTCATATCATTATATAGCATTTCCCCCAAACATTTAATAATAAACACATTTTGTTGCTTTTTAAAGAAATTGGGAGAACATACGTGCAGTCCATATTACGACCGTGATGCAAGTGTCACATGGGGAAAACAAATTGATATTACAGTTGTATATTATTGCTAATCCCATTTTTTTCCTTCTGATCATGGAGATGTGTATATTGAGTGTTCATATTCCATGTTTTTAGTGAATTATATTGTAGACTACTTTCTCTATATTGATAATATCATCTGCTTGGAGCCAGAAAGGCATTAACTCATATTATTTTACACAGGGTTAGTGCCCTTCTGGCGCTAAACAGGCTATATACCTTTAGTATGCCATTCATGCATGTGTGGCCTGTGCCAGTCTGGCTTACATTTATTGTGTCTCTGTATGCTCTCAAACTAGTCTCAACCAGGCTCAGACTTACATTTGTCACAACAAAATCATGATGACTTGAGCCTATTCTAATTCTGTTTGACAATACATGCATAGACCGCCTAAGTGCTAGAGTCATATGTGCTCGTAATCCAGGTTACTAGTTCCAAACGACAGAGCCTGCGCATGAGGTTCTCTGCATAATCATTCAAGCAACGGGGCTGGAGCAGGGCAAATTAAGTGTTTGGCGCTGGTGCAATTACCATACCATAGTTTAGCACATCGTTGTTTGGAACCAGCAACCTTGACAACTTGGTCAGTGTGACGTCGCACTTCGGTACAGTACAAGCATTATGCAAGTAGTCTTTTATGCTTAATTCATATGTGAATAAATGACAAAGGCGTGTGCCTGCAAATTGAATCCCCACCACCTTATACATGTATATATTGGTATTGAATTAATTGATATATCAGAATGAAGTTATAGGCCTACATATCGTTCCTGTTTTCACGAAGTGACGGTAGTGAGGAAAATCTGCAAGCCAAGTGTATGCGATTTTCATTCACTGCCGTCACTTCTTGAAAATAGGGACAATATTTTTCTCAAAATTGCCTTCAGTATGTACAATAAACGTTGACATGGATTCACTTATTGGACACAGCTAGTACAGTGAGCCTTTTATAGGAATAAACATGCATTGCCTTTTAGTAGTATTAATGTGCCATGTACAGTTATAACTTTCTCCTTGTAATATTCATATTATTCATAGCTTTGTATTCAGGCAGGTTTACCTCGCTTTATAGCATATAATGATTTCATATAAAAGCGATGTTAACTGGGTACAGAAAAAAGATTGATGTGTATTCTTTTATGTAGCTGCAGTACATCATAAATTTAGAAGAATATGTATATTGAATTAGCATTTGTAGTTCCCTTTCAAACATTTGTTTATTTAGGCGAAATCTGAAATGATTACAGTGCCTCGGAAATGCGTGTGTATTCATTTTTATGTAATCTTAAGAAATCAGAAGTGGGTAATTTTATATGATTATGAAATAATCAAGAACATTTATATCAAGATTTGGAAATATATTTATGAAGTCGTGAATATTGTGTACAAGTTCTATATTCCCTTTTTATTCAATAATTAAAATGTAATGCACATATGCATATATAGCCAGAAAGTGAATGATTCTGATATCGTTTCTTCATTCAATGCATTCACATTCATTCAATGCATTCACAGGGTTATGATTCTATTAATTTTGTTCTGCAGCTTAAAACGAGAATAGTGTTAACCCATTATTATGGGGACCCCTTTCTAACCTTGGGGGGAATAACAAAGGTTCAAAAAGCATTTGAGGTCATGTTACCCCCCCCCCCCCCCCCCCCCCAGACACAGAATTTTGCATCAAACGTAGGTCAAATTTGGTGGTCTGGTCGGCATACATGCCAACATTTGAAAATCAGAAATCTGTACAAATTATGCTATTTTCAAAAAAAGGAGGAACAATCCTAACTCTCCTATTCAATACTACAGACAAATTTGTACAGGAAGAGGAACACCTGCATTAAATGATAATTATCTTCTCCCAAAAAGAGGAATGTTCCTCTTTAATCTGAACAGTTGGCATGTATGGGTCGGGAGCGCAATTCCCCCGATCCGCCCTGTTAAATAATAGAGGCATCTGCCCCGTCTGCTTCTTGCGAACGGCCACTATAATACCCCTTCCACTCTTCTACTAGGGCAGGCCTTCTCTGGCGGCGCTTGCGGGTAGTCGGAGTGGCGCGCGACTGTTGCAACAACAAAACAAAAACAGAAAGAAAGAAAGAAAATATGTATTTTAGAATTGAATACTCAGCTAAATCAAGAAGTTGCAGTCGAATTTGAACCCAAAACAGGAAGAAAGAGGGGGGGGGGGGTATTTATCTTTTTTTACCATTTTATACGACTCTAAACCTAATCTCTAAACAACAAGCTTACGATGCGCTACCAATTTTAACATTGCCAATCTCTGGAAACATCTTGTTTTTGTTTGTTTGATTTTCACTTTATTTTGACATTTCCCGTGTTTAAGGCACCCAAAAAACTACATAATAAATTAACCTCCAGTGTAATTGTACCCAGCAATCATACTAATTTTTGCACATCAATATGAAATTAGGATTGATTTTATTGTGGAATGAAATGGTGTTAAAAATGCCCCATTTGGGCCTTTAGAATGCCCTAAAATCCACAAGTTTCAGAGGGCTCCGCCCCTGCTACCCCCGTTAGGGCTTTGCCCCTCGACCCCATCCATTTTCGGCTACGCTCCCTCGCAGCACAGTCAAACATACAGGGTGGCACTTCAACTACAAATTCTTGTCGTTTTGGCGCTTCCAATAAACTAGTTCGGAAGGCATGTACTAGGGTCTAGAATATAAAGCTTATATTTAAAATATGCCGAATTTCCTTACATTGAGAAGGAGACACCCTCTCCCAACCTTATATCCTTATAGACCCTGCGTAATGGTGGAAGTAAGTTTTTAACGCGCATTCATTATTGCGTCACTACCTGAGCGCGCACACGGTCTCGGCTAATGACTGTAATAGTAAGCGCGTTGCTACCAACTTATCACAACTTTATTCAAGCTTCTCATCGATCGAAACCAATGTTGAGTTCTGAATGTAATTCGCTAGAATATCAAGTGAATCAAGCTGTTTAACCCAAAGATCGACTATGGAACTTGGAAAATTCTTCGTGCTGGTTTTGGCCTGCATTTTGCTTGTTTCAGGCAATGCAGATGCCAAATTCAAGCGCGGGGAAATCACTACTAAAGAGGTGGGTTGCAAAGCATAATAACAATGATAAAATGCACGTAGGGCCTACAGAGAGAGAGAGAGAGAGAGAGAGATAAAAAGAGATAAAATGAGATGAAAAGGAGGGATGATATGAGAAGGAAAAAAGAGAGAGGGGGAAAAGTATACGAATTCAATTTATCAATAAGTTGTGTCTAACAGCTAGTAACTTAAAGACAATTCATCAAATCAAATTTAAGTCGTAACAAGCATGCCTAAAGCTCACTTTTGGTTGCCTCGGTAATAAAATCCGATCGTTTATACACTTCTACTTCTACGACGATACTCGGCAGGATCCATAAGTCACGATGTAGTGCTGACTATCACAAACTACATCACAAAAGAAACAATAAAAATATTCAATCAATTTTATGCTGTCTATATAGTTCTCTTAAAACTAGAGTATATAGGTGCAATCGAAACTGTAAAAAATCGACTAAAAGACTATTATGGCAAGCATGTTTAAAATGCCTGTATATTCATTTAAGATGTAACAATGGTGAATATCGGAGCGAATTATATATATTATGTTCCTTTTTGTCTTCTAGGACTTTGCCTTCTTAGGTTACTTTTACTTTTTGAACACGGAAGACAATGTCATTAACTACACCATCAAGTACCCTGCTGTAAGTAGAACGGACAATACATCCAATTTGCAGAATAGCTATTCGCATTCATAATAAATATTATTTGTTTACAAAATATATTAAGGTTGCTGCTGTATTTTTGGTCAGATATGAAATTGCTGATGGTCTTGTATGTTGGTTGTTTGTGCTTTTGCTGTCTGATGATAATCATGAAGAATAACATAACTTTGGAATGTCGTACAATCTATTCAACTTTCATTGACATACCGTCAAAAAGTGATTATAACATTTGTAAGTTATCTAATCATTGGACTCAAAGATAGCCTGATTTGTTCACTCTCTGATGCAAATCAACCATATCAAATTGAGTTAGACATAATAGATGCATCGAATCAAGGGTATGATATATCCAATATTATAAATAATTGTGCGCCTTGCAGAATTTTTTAGTTCTAAAAAATCATAAACAGCTCAACTTCGTAACTTTATACAAGTCGGATATGAATATTCGTGACTCGCTTTGTCTTCATTATTTCGCAATGTGTCTCATGAAGGATTCTCATATTTATGATAGCACTTCGTGTGACAGATGATGACTTGTTATTCTTAATAATTATTTTTTTTTGGGGGGGGGGGGGGGGTGGGGGTGCAATATGGAAGTATAATACAGGAGGCTGTTTATACACAAGCATTGATACAGCCTCAACTCACTTTTGAGGATAAATGGTATAATGAACTCATTCGCTTGCAGCATTTTGTACAATATTATATTCTTTGTCTTAAATTACTATATGGCGGCTGTTTCTATAGGACCAATGCTGCTATCGACTCGTCATATTTGACGAAAGCTATGGACAGTGGGGAGGCATAAGACCGAACGAAGATAGACTGGTAATATGTTTATATATGTATTCATGTCCAATCAAATTCATTCATGATTCATGTATTGATTTCTAAATAAAAAAAATTAAAAATCTTCGTTTAAAACAAATGATAATAATTCCGTCTGTGTTTCAAGTTTTAATGCAATGATGCACAGTTTCGAATTTCCTCTTTATTTCATTCTGCATTTGACTATAGGATGTAATTAGTATTTTAGTTACCCTGGGCTTCTAAAGATTTTTCCTTTCTTTCTGTGTGTTTTATTTCATTTTGATTAATTTATTTAGTCATTCATTTGTTTTTGTTACTTTTCTTTTTATTAAGTTTTGAATTTTTTGGGGGGATTAAAAGAGCTTTAACTTTCTTATGTATGGGACAATGGATTTTTTCCGTTTTTGTTTAAACTTACATGAATATTTTATGATAACAAACATATATATTTTTGTTCACGATAGACCTGTCGGGATAAGATAGATCGTGTGAAAGACCTGGATTACAAAATCAAGCTCACTGGTATTGATCCTGCTTGTCACATGGAGACAGATGATGCTGGCTTTAATGTGAGTATGAAGCCGACAATGTATACTGCCCTCCCAAGACGGTGTCTAAAAGGGGGGTGCTAAAATTCCACTTTCATGTTTTGTTTCCTCAATGGGGCAGCCTTTTTTGCCAACCCCATAGTAGGAAGATATAAGTGTAATAGTAGTAGAAGTAGAAGTAGTACTGAAGAATACCAGCTGTTTTTGGTGGTGATGAAATATTTGTTAAGGGAGAAGCACTCGTTCATTATTCTTCAATGAACATCTATGAAAATGTTATTACCTTCCTTATAACTTTTTCGCAAATTTTAAATCATTTTCAGTGGCTGGTTTGTCGTGGTCTCATCGACTTCGCATCCCGACAGCGCCCACAGACTTACTTCGTTCATCTTACCAACTGCCGAAGCAACCGAGAAGGACTAAGGAACGTCACGTATTCACTCCATATGACTAATGGAAACAACGGTCTCATGAAAGAATTTGCCGAGAATCAAAAATGTAAGATTATTCATTATGTTTCCACGTTTTGAAATGTTTACATCATTTATTGATTGCAGACATTTACTAATATATATTGATTGATTGACTGATTGATAATGAATGATGATTGGTTTGTTACTTTTCTCGTCATTTAATATTATTTTAACTGATTAGTTAATCAAAGTATTAAATTCTTGTTTCGAGATTATATAAGAAATGCATCTGCATAATGATAAGATAAGCATTTACATCTTAACAGTGTAGTGGTGAGTTTGATAAGTTTATATGTCTGCTATTCTTAGCATAATTTACAATAGTTAGATTTTGTCATTTGAACTTATAGTCATAATGGAAACTGACTTGGCTTTCTTTCTTGGATACGTGTCGATGATGATGTTGGTGAGTTTGATAAGTTTATATGTCTGCTATTCTTAGCATAATTTACAATAGTTAGATTTTGTCATTTGAACTTATAGTCATAATGGAAACTGACTTGGCTTTCTTTCTTGGATACGTGTCGATGATGGTATTGGCTACTCGATTCAGATGTAAGTATCTGAAAATGATCTTTAATGAAACATTCATATTCGTTATTCACACATAATTTGTAGTGTTACAACTTTTCGTAATAATAATCCACTAAATAAATTTCATATCGTCTGACTCGTAATTATCATTCTTTGTAATTGGATAAATTTATTAGTTTGCATTAATCTAATATCATTCATGATTATTCAATTTAATATCTTGGCTTAATATTTTCAGTTAAATAAATATATTGCTATTGTCACATATCAATATTTGTCGATATTTTCATTTTAATGATTCCGAACTGGTACTTTTCATTATTTTGTTCATACTTTCATTTCATAAATACTTATGTAATCAAAATTTTATTTCTAGACGTCTTGTCGATGAAGAAACTGCTCCACCTAACCTATCGGTTGTTCTACGGCAGTCTTCTCTGCAAGGCAGTGTCTCTCCTACTTCTAAACATCCATTTATCGAGGTTTGCCCGGACTGGACTTGAAATAACTAAGGTTCAAGACATGGGTAAGATTTATATAGTTTTGAAAGTTGATATTAACCTAAACGCTATTTCAAACAATTTGTGTATGTCTGTTTGTGTGTGCTTAATGTGTTGTTATTGTTTAGGGTTGCATCCACTTTGAACCAGTATTTTAGTGAAAATAGGTAATTCAAGAAGGTAATTATACAGAGAAGGGGAAGCGAAAATGTACAGCCATAGCCGTTTATTATTGTAACATTAATTTATACGTTTGGAATGTTTTATTTTTCCAATCTCTACAGCTGAGATTCTCTCGTGGCTGTCTACGATTCTCTTTGTGAGTCTTCTGCTGCTTGTATCGAAGGGGTTTTCTATCACTCGGTAAGTGCCTAATAAAACAACCCCCTTCATATTTACATCTTAAGCAAAGCCTGACAAAAACAGGGTGCATGATGATAATGTTGATGACTACGATGACGATGATGAGAATGATGATAATATTGACTATGATTACAGTAGTGGTGATGATGATGATGAATGTGATGACGATGGAGATGATAATGACTTTGAAGATGTTGTTAATGATGATAATGATGGGTGGTGATGATGGAGATTGTTCATAATGAAATTCATGTTTCCCCTCTAACAGAGCTCGGATCAGCCTTCTGGGCACAGTGAAGATGATAGTGTTTGGGTTGGTGTACGTGGCAGCATACACTGTGGTCTTCCTTAACCAACGTGTGCTCCTTGACCCCCAAGACATCATCGCTAGTATGACGTCAGTATCTGCAGCTGGTTTGATCGGTATTAAGTTCACTGGTAAGGGATAGTGATTAGCTGTAAACATGGTGTAAGAGAAAGATAATACAACGGTCTGGCGTGAAAATCACCGCCATCTAACTGATACCACTGAATTATATTTGTAGTGGCAGGTTCCTTTCTATCAGCCTATCAAAATTACGCTCCTAAATGTGTCATACAACAGTAAAACAAACAAACAAAACAAAACAAAACAAGAGTGCAATTATGATAGTCCAAAGTAACACTATTGCAATCATGATATATGACTTGTATTACCCTAAATGCAGAATACGATTTGAGAAGGACGATCAGATACGAATATTGCAATGAGTCAACATAGTCAACAGAAAATAAACTATTGATATTTAAGAATAGTTTTACTATTATCTTTATTGTTCCATAACACAAATATTGAATTCATATTTAGTCTACTCAAAAAGGTCGTTTCATAGATAGAAGTATGAGTTTATCAATATGGAATTAATAATAGAATAGGCCAATATATTTTCAGTAATTAAATTTATTCTCTCCTCTCTGTCAACACAGGCTGCATTATATTCGTCTACGGCTGTGTCTTTACAATCAAGAACCACCCGAGAAAGGTGCTCTTCTATTTACCATTCACTATATTCTTTAGTGTTTGGTTTCTGCTTGAGCCCACATATCGGCTGTTATCTTTCTACATCTACCCAGTTCTGCGAAGGTATATATTTTTATGATTAGCCTCTTACATAAAAATGCATAAATTAATTTATATGTCAATTAAGAGCAAGAAGGTTGTTAGCTCTGTATGAAGTATATATCGAGTTATCCCTTGTGCTTATCAATAGAAAATTATAAAATTGATTATGATGAAAAAAACTTGTCTATTCTTCAAAAAATGAATATAAATGTTTTCATGTAAATAATATTCTATATTGGTAACGCCACATGTCAACTATACTTTCATTTTTTTCTTCACAGTCCAAATATCTGGAACGGAATCGACCTGGCGATGTGTTTTACTGGACACGTCTATTTCCTGTTTATAACGCGACCGGACTGTCTTAATAAACGGTTCCCTTTCCATCTGCGAGCAGGCAAGGTAATCATCATGGACATTATTAATCTTCCTTTTCCTCTCCGAGGATCGTAATAGAAATTTAGCAGAACAACAGATTCTACGACAAAAAAGGGTATATATTTAGATTACAAAATACAAAAATGGTCCCTAAAATATCGAACAAAAGGAATGAAAGAAAATAAGAGAAAATGTAGAATTGACCACGAATATTACAGGACATTGGAACCATCAGGTAATTATTTTTATTCATAATTTCATCTTTGTTTCAGATTTCTTTCCGTGATGTCGATGATGACGTAGAGAACATCTACCAGCCATCGAGCGACTTTTATTCTATCTTCGAGACTGAGAAGAAATCGACTTTGACTATTCCGGATGAACCAGAGCACTTCTTAACTCCCGTGGTATTTTTCATTTTCATTATTATGATTTTTCACTAATACTTACAAATTGAAATTCTAGGCCCTCCCCCCCCCCCCCCCAAAAAAATAAAATAAATAAATAAATAAATAAAAAAATAAAAAATAAAAAAATAAAATAAAATAAAATAACAATAATAATAATAATAACATTAGAATAAACAAACGACAAAACAAAACAAATCAAAACAAATATGTGAGTGGGTTTGCATAGTTTCTCTAGACAGCGATGGTGTCTTCAGAGAAGAAGAATTGTAAAAATTAAGCTATTTTTTTTTAAAGAGATACACCGACTGAATTAAAGTTTGGCTAAGAAGTTTATTTTGGAGTAATTTATAGAAAAAGAAGCAGGAATTACAGAAAGAGGAGAAGATCTAGCTTCAAAATAATTGAGTCAAGAAGAAATAGGCAGCGCGGTATTTTAATAAAGGCTCAAAGAATAAAAACGATGAAAAGGATAAATGAAATTTCAACTTAGATTTTGATCGAGAGCAAAATTAATCCATAATCATTTTTGTTTACTGTGTTGAAAATTAAGTAAATATATATATATATATATATATTTCGTTCTCTCAGTTGCCCTTCAACTCGGATGAATGCTTGGTTCTCCCTCGACCACCCTTACCTGCTGAACCGACTGTAATACCGACCATGATGGCTTCTACCAGCTGTACAGTTATACCAACGGTGTCTGCTTCTGTAGATGACCAGGGCTACAGTAGTCCACCGCCATCGGATATTCCTGCCACCAGGAATAAGGCACTTTCATCCCTGTCTAATATCTCGAAGAAAGACCGAGCTGCAGTCGGTTTATTTACGGTATATAAAAATATTTTATTTTACATTGCGCCAAATAATATGTATGATCTATGTTCAACATGATTACACCCATCGTGCAGATGTTTGTCCATATTATTTCTTCAGTTCTGATGATATGAAAATTTGATGTTGATTACAACTTAGCAATAAACATTTTGTTGTAATGATAATAGTTGTAAAAAGAATGTAATAATTTTAGAAGGGTAACAACAAATATAATCATTTAATTAGATAAATGCTAATATCTGTAGACATTGTAAAATAAGTTATCTATGATTGAGATCTCCTGATGATTCTGGAATCCTTTCTCTTTACTAGGTTGCTGATCCAAGTGGAGGGTTTTCTGTCTTTTCTGCGTATAAACAACCGGTATGTACCTTCAGAGTATATATATATATATATATAGTAATAGAAGAAATGTTTGACATTTAGGTAGTGGAAGATCTCATAACAATTTTTTGAAGATTGTATTCAAATAATTAATCGATCCTTTGTTAAATTTAAGAATCTTTTTTGAACAAAAAAATTATTTTAATAGGTCATGAAATAGAGAGAAGAGAAATGAATGTTGTCAATCTTATTTTAAACTTTGCTAAGTTTATTATCTATAGAAACTATATAGAGAATGTTTTGGAAGTAAAAATGCACTAGATACATGCTGTATATTTGATACAAAAATTAAAGGTAGAAATTCGCACCTATCTCGATATGAAATGTAATCAAATGATATTTGATACAAAAAAAGTAGCAAAAATATTTTCAATACCTTATTTAGTGATTCTGTCACATTAGTTTCATTTTTTGTACTATATAATATATGTTACAATTGCATAAATTCTGTATATAAACATTGTTGTAAATAGCTGTTATTTTATGATATAAACAAATAAAGTCCCTCGAAAGAGGATAAATAGAAGAAAAAATCTATGTTTGGATAAGATTTGTTTTCCTTCTGAATCCGGAATCTTTTCTCTTTACTAGGCTGCTGTTCCAAAAGGAGGGTTTTCCATCTTTGCTGCGCAGAAACAACCGGTATGTACCTTCAGAATATATAAATGTACATGTAGGAAATGTTTGGAATTTAGATAATAGAAGATCTCATCAAAATGTTGATGAAATTGATGTGTTCATATATTTTCTTTTGTTATAGAAACTTTAAAAGAAGAATGAGAAGAAGGAAAGAAGAAGAGGAAAAAGAAAAAGAAGAAGAGAAAGAAGAAGAAGAGGGGGATAAAGAAGACGAAGGAAAACAATATTAAGATGAAGAAGAGAAAGAAGTGTATTAACAATTAAGATGATTGTTCTTTGTGCAAAAGCATGCATATTCCGTCTTATTCTGTGTTGTCATTTAATTCTATCATGCGAACATAGCTATCTAATTTAGATATTAACATTGTATACTTCTTACAGGACGCTCTGACTCCTCCTAAGGAGGCTAAGGTCCCTGATTCCATCGCTAAGGTCCCTGATCCAATCGTACCAGAACAACGGGAGCAATTTTACTCTTGCAAAAAGGTATAATTAGTTCCAAATTAAAATTTCTGAAAAAATTTCACTTCAATAATGAATTGATATATTACAATGTAGGCTTATATCGTTGGAGAATTTGATAATTAAAGCAACCAAAGAAAAAAATCTAAAATTTTACTTTCACTCACATAATATTTTTTTTACCAAATTTACAACTGAGATTTTTTTTTTAAAGACGGATTTTCTTTAAATCGAAAAGAGTAGCTTGTAAATTGATTAACATTTCCTCGAATAATGCCCGTTTAGACATCGCAATTTAATCTCAACTTGTTTTTTATTCAATTTTTTTTTTTTCTTTTAATCTAAAGGTTGCTGCTCCGAAAGGAGGTTTTTCTATCTTTTCTGTGCAGAAACAACCGGTAAGGAGCTTCTGAATATATGAATAGTATACTAAATCAAACTTGTCTTGGTGTAAATGCAATTAATCGGTGTTCATATATTTGTTGTTAAACAACAGGTATGTATATTACACTATCTCTGTTTTTACATTACATCTTGTCTCAGAAATATCGAATTCAAAACACTTTCCTTAGGATCAAAACTGATCAATATGTATTGCATACCGACAATAATGCCATATTTCTGTTTGGACTTTTTCCATTAATGATACATATCCTGTTTTAAACAACACAAAGTGATTTTTGTTTGCCAAGATCCGTTAAAATCCAACAACACCAACAACAACAACAACGGAGCAAAAGCAAAAAGAAAAAACAACATATGAACCTTTTAATATACCGAACTTAAATGTATTGAATAATGCAATGTAAGTTATATATTTTATTTTATTCCATAAGGATGTCCCGATTTCCTCCAAGGTCTCTGATACGGACGTGGCAGATCACAAGCAGGAGAAGACATATGCTGTAAACAGGGTAATTGAATTCACATCTAAGATTATATTTCAAATGAAATCATATCAAGATATTTCACGTTTCATGAATACTATAATAACAAGGATGTGTAAAATATTAAACGTTATAGATTAAAATTCAAATCATCCAAATACTCCTTCAGTATAATTGCGGAAATGCCGTCTCTTTTGCTGTTCTCGTTTTGAAATACATAATGCAATTTATATTCAACATATATGTTCAGCTAGGTCGTATTCATGTTTTGAGTACAAAATAACATATAAATATGCATAATAAAGAATACTTGAATATTGTTATTCATAATCTTGAACTTGTTCATTCTTATAACAGGTCAGACCACTTGGTTACAGCTTCCTGCTACCGATCACACCACCCCTGGAACCCATTGAGTCCTCTCCGATTAAGACCATCGAAGGACCTGGATCTGCTGTTCCACTGACCAAGTCTCCTCAGAATGTGCTTCTGATAACCGGAAAATTCTATGAAGAGCATTCGCAGACCAAGTCCGCTTGTGAGTCTGGATCTGATGCTAAGGTGTCTGAGAACGTGAAGCAAATCACTGTCCGACCAGCTCATGATCGATACATGCAGATCAAGGCAACTGGGGTATGCGGATCTGATACAGCGATACCTGAGAACAAATGCCTGAACAACAGTGCTCCTAATGTTCAACTTATCAAGGTTCAACCCGCTATTGACCCATATTTGCAGAAGAGGACCATTGAAGGATCCACATCTTTCATCGGACCCGTTGAAAAGCCTTTCCAGACCAGAGCCACTGGGGAATCAGAATGTGACATAACAATGTCTGAAAGCAAAGGCCTGATCAACGGCAGCCAGAATGTTCGGCAATTTACCGTCCAACCAGCTGTTGATCGTGGGCTGATCAAGACCGCTTCTCAATCCAGCACTTGTGTTCAGATGCCATGTGAAAGCCTGACCAATGGCACCCAAAATGTTCGACTAATCGCTGTCCAACCGGTTGATGATCCTTTCAAGACCAAGGCCATTAGAGAATCCCGATCTGCTGACAAGGCTTTTAAGAGCGAGGGTTTGACTAAACCAACCGACAATGTTGGACTGATCACTGTCAAATCGGTTGATAAGCCTTTGAAGACCGAGACCATCCAGGGATCCGGATCTGCTGCTCTATTCCCTCAAATCCTGGGTGCAACTAACGAAGGTGTCACTTCTGGCACAGCATCTGACTCAATCAAGATGAAGGACAAAGTCTCTGAGCCCAAGCTTTCTGCCTGGACCACGGATCATGTGAAGCCATCGAAGATTCCTCTTGCTCATCCTTTGAAGATGCAGTTCCCGGTCCCAGCACCAAAGATCTTAAACTGGACGACCGAGCCTCTGGAGATCGAGCACTCGAAGTGTTCACCAGTACTAATCTCTGCACAACCTGTCAAGTTTCAGGAACCTGAGCCTCCAAAGATCACCCCCAGTAGCAGCGTAGAGGTAGAAACCCTGAAGAAAATCCTCCAGGATTCAGGAGCACATGGACATCCAACTGCTCCGACTGAGAAGACTATTGGTCGAAGATCTGAAGACCAGGCTTGGCTACCTGCTACTGATGGAGGAGACTTTCCAAAGGTGATTTTCAATCGAAATCTATTAAAACTTCATTTGTTCTATGGTTTGTGCCAATGAATTATCCATCTCTGTATGGTATGCACTCTCATCTTGAACAAAAATGAGTGAAAGTTTATTTCTTAGACATTGATTACTGTATAGGCATGCAACGTGTAAAGTATATATGCATTTGCAGATTTCAAGATTCTTGAATGTAAACTGATTTTTAAACATTTCATTTTATTCTTCTCTAGCCTGCTAAAAAGACCCGGAAGGAGCCATCTTCTAGGAGGTTCGCCAAACCGACCAACCCGGCATTAATCCCTGACACCATTCCTTCTGATGAGCCTCAAAAGGTAAGCCTCATAATTACACCTGCCAGTGTTATTACATCCTTAAATTTTGTCAGTAAATGCTATTTTTTGTAATAATATTTTCACTGCTTATTTTGTTTAAATTATATTGTCGCATTATTAATATTATTCTTATTATTAAAAGCTCTAGTTTGTTTGAGAAACAAAAATACAAAATAATTCTTATCCCTAAAGTGCTTTTACAACGGTTTCATAGAACTGTACACTTACTATGGGAATTAACCATGGTTACGTAAAAATGATATTCATTACTTTCATTGCTGAGATACTGCCATAAATAACCAACTATGATAATTTGAATATTTATACAAATAAGAGACAATATCAAAAACGTTGAACACATTATTGATGCCATAATGCCAGACAGATAAATAGAAAACATGGGGTTCATACCTTTTACATTGTTCCATCTTTAACTACCTTTCATTGTTGTTTTATTTGACTACCCCATTCTTTACAACCTTTCTATCAACGGTCCTCTGTTTATTCCATCTTTATATTTTTCTTCTCTTCTCCCTTCTCCCTGTCTCCCTGACTTTAGATTATGGATCCTAAGACCAGGAAGAAGCGCCTGAGAAAGTTTCTCAAGCTTGCCAGAAAACTCAAGCCTAAGAACAATCCTGCTAATGCTGACTAGAAACAAACACATCGCTTCAACTAAGATATAAACAACCGGATACTTTTGGACCATAAACAAACCTTCACTTCAACTATGATTGTCATTTAAAAACTTACAAACAACCCGGATACTTTTAGATCTTAAACAAACCTTCCAACATTTTAGGCTCTATTTGGAATAAATGTTGAACCACATTGAATCCAATATGAACTTTTGAAATAAAAATGATAAAAATATATAAAAGAAAACACAAAAAATATATATATAAAAGAAAATACTCCAAAAAATACAAAAATTACAAAATTAAAGAAAAAATATATAATTATCATTAAGTTATTGAAATTATGAAAATGATCTGAAATATGACTATCAGTGTATACTAAAAATATGTATTTGTTTGGTATGTCACATCAGTGCTAGATTCAAATTGATATCTTTCTCGCTGTATTGAAGTACGAATGTACTGTATTAAGATCATGTACTTTTAGAACAGTACACTTTGCACAATCAATCATAGATTGATGAAATGAACGGACACATTCATGCAATATTTTCACTGTGTATAGAAAAATTACTAAAGATATATGTGTACAACTGTGCATGATATCAAAACTAAAGACCATCGTATTCTGTTTAACATTCAAGTAAACCAGAAAATACATTTAGCTGTACGAAAGCAGATCATTTCATTTTCATGTAACTGTATTCTTCAAATTCAATAAAAATTCAATAAAACAAACCTTCGTCCCAGTCGCTTTTTATTAGTGTATGCGTGGTGTTTATCTTAATGCTCCAGAGCAATGGCGTAGCGTGATTTCAGTCATTGTTTGGTTAGGGCACCAGCCTTAGCGAGAGATCAAAAACATAGAATGAAAGGAGTATGGGAGGAAGTGCAAATATAATATTCTCTCCCCCCCCCCCCTCTCTCTCTTTCTTTCATTTTTTCTTGTTATGTTTTTGTCTTTCTTTCTTTCTTTCTTACATTATGGAGGAAGAGGTGCACTTTACAAGCGACCACTCTTGCTCTCTCGTTTTCTGTCTGTTTGTGATCTTCGTGAATTTATATTTACACCAGTGAAAGAAGTTTATAACAGGAACCTCCTGGAAATCTTTAAAATTGTTATATGCATCAATTGTGAAGTTTTTGATGAAAAGGTGCTCAGAGACTTCTGTGGAAAGCGCTAAATTCTTTTTTATTTATATTTTCGCCAAACGATTAGGTATATATGCACAATTTAGCACATATTCCCACCTCGTAACTTCTCTGCTGCAGATAACCTCAAATTAATTTGATATAGTACATGTACATCATTTCAAAAATTTTGTAAACGAATATGGATATTTGTATAACTTTTCTATCGCTTTTCCCGATTTGGCCCGTGGTAGAATTCCCCCTTTCATTATTATTTCATCAGGATGCAAGTCATGATCAGAGTTCTAGATGCGACTCAATATTGTTGAATATGCTAATGTACTCGACTTCAAATGGAGGGTTTCTGTGATTTAAATATGTATTGCGATGCATGAGTTGCGAGGAACCATAACCAAACGCCAAAAACCGGATTAAAAAAAGTAAGTTAATGCACAGTCGAAACTGGTGTGAACATTTATCAATTTATGGATTCAAAGATACTTGTTAATTGTAATTACACGTTGTGACGACTGACGAGAATAAACGTACAAAGTAGCTTTTTCTTCAAAGGCCTATGATAGAATTAGAATTATGTAATGCTGTATAGGGCATAATTAAGTACAGCCTACGCCTATATATATCTTGTTTCAGGGCGAATACAGGATTATAGTTGTCAGAATTAAAGGAGGCTAAAAATTCTAACTTAACTGTAAAGGCTATACTCTCTGAGTGGGGTCCGCGGATCTGGGGGTCGAGAATAGTGGCAAATAATTGGAGTCCCGCCTCGACCCCCCCCCCAATAATGTTTTTTCTGATTAATTATTATTTATATATATCATTCTTTTCCCTACGGGAATCCAACCGGTCTCAATCTTTGCAAGGCCGAAAACCCGCTCGGCCCCGCCCCCCTCCGAACATGTATTCTTTGTTTAATCCCTCAACTCCAATCCCCTTCCATTGATATATTATCTCTTGGTTTAATAAACCTGAATTGCTAGAGCAAGGCACTCATCAGCGTTGATCTATGTAGATAATGCAGGGTGTACATATGCCTACTCCTCATTAAAAAAAACTAAAACAAAGTGAGAAGGGAAATATTCTCAATGAAAACGAATGACATATGACACTTTTCAGCAATTACTAGTAACTCTAAATATAGTACGTGTAGTTTTTTTCCAGCTTTGTACACGTAGCTTACACAATGATCTTACACAGCTCGGTAGTGGAAGATCTCGGTACCATAAAAACTCGATCTCGAGTGTACGTACCAACTCGGTACCATACTATTAGCAATGCGATGACTATAATAGTACTTATGTACGTACTAAGGTTTTTCTATAAAATAATTAAAAAAATACATTCAAGGAAAACAAATGTGCTCGTACATTTTGCTTAACTTTCACTGAACCTTTCCTCTCATTTTGTCCGCCTCTGTTATAAGCATAGGCCTAGAGGTCTATATAATGTAACATATGAAAAACGACTGATGATAATTTTTTTAATTCCCACTGCTCGATATAATGTAACATATGAAAAACGACTGATGATAAATTTTTTTATTCCCACTGCTCGAATTTTTATTTACGACTTAAGACTCGTATCATACTTTTTTCTGGCTCGACCTGTCTAGCTCTCGTGAAAAGCAGGAAAGTAAATTTGGTACCGACTGTTTAATCCGATTCCGAGTTTTTCATACTCGTGAGTTGTACTAGTACCGAGTTGAAAATATTGATACGGATACGGAGCGGAGATAAATAATGTTAACGAAACCTTGAAAGAATCAGTCTCCAATTCGAATACGTACGGTACGCTGTGGTAGAGACCACTAGAAATATCAAAATGAGGGGAATTATGCTAACAGCGACCAGCTTTGCGCTTACAGCTGCTGTCCTGGGAAATGCCTATGTTCAGAAAAAGCAATTTTATCCTTCCGTAGTGTATATTACCAAGTCACATCCAAGTTTAGCGGTGAGTATATTCCCCCTATTTATTGTGTGGTCCAGTGCGTTTGAATTTGTGTATGGTGCGGACGCGGATGATGTACATACACGTAGAGGCATGAGACAGAGGAAAGAAACCTAGAAAGAGGAAGATTGTGACTCAGTTGTGACTTGTGAATTATAATATTTATGTTGTGGAAAAATAAAATTGCTTATAGATCTGATTAACGTCTGATTCCCCCATTTTTCTGAAATTTAGTGGAATATTTCAAATCAAAAGACAAAATCAAAAGACAAACACAAATTAAAAAACTGTAAAAATCTTGAAATGTATGATTTTTACTTACCACTAGAAGCTGCTTGAAGTTGAAGAATGTGGAGTAGACTATGTAGTTTATATTAAATATTCATAGCTCAAGCTAGTTGAAAAGGGTAGGTTGTCTCCATGAATGAAAATACCACACTTCTACAGCTACATGTAAAGTGTTTGAAAGTTGATTGTAAATTCCCCCTTGCAATATATTCAAAACTACTAGCGAATTATCTGTTGCAGAGATTGCTTACTGACTAGTCACTTGGTTCTTCCGTGTTCATGACTTGTTGCCAATCCAATGGTGGTGGACTGTAGGATTGTGATAATGACAGTTAGTACAAATGGTGAGGTTGGTCGAGGAAGAACCAGGCATTCATCCTAGTTCGCGTTGAAAGGCAAATGGAAGACAAGATATTCACTTTTCAATAATTTAACCAACATTATACAAGAATTACTTGATTTTGGATTTGCTCTGGATCAAAATAAAAATTAAACTTGATTTCATCCATGATCTTTGAGCCTTTTTATTATACTGCCTATTTCTTAACTTTCCTCTTTGTTGGTTGTATTAATTTATTCTATAAGTCATAATACAACATCTTTTAACAAACTTTTTCTTTTCTTTTTTATTAACATATTTTGAACAATAATTAAGAATCACTGGTCATTTTTTTACTTTTAAGGGCAAGACTTTCATTTTCAAAAGAATTATTTAACAAAATCAACCAGAAAAAACCCCCATACCATTTTACTTGAGAAATGCCCAGGGTCATCAGGAATGGTCGAAGTCGTATTCGTTCCAGTCAGTATCTTTCCAGTCTGAAAGACACAATTGTGAGAAAATGTTGAATGGTGGCAAACAGAAAGTTATCTGATAGCAGAGATGCCACTGAAAGTCATAAAGATTTTCTGAACTATTTTTTTTAGAAACCATTTTTATCAAGAAGAAAGATGCAGAATTCCAGAAAAAGCTGGAAATTTCTTCATGTTTATGTAAATGTATTTTTTTTAAAAAGAGAATATTTGACTATATTGCTATGTATGTGCATCTTTTAACAAATATAATCTGTTTCTTCTTCCTTTACGCCCATGGAAATATAGGTGCTATACCTACAGGCATTTGTCCTGGTTATACTCATGGGAAAACTCTTCAAGAAAGTGTTCTTTGGCCAGCTCAGAGCTGCTGAGATGGAGGTATGGAATCATTTTCGTATTATTTAACACAGTACTGACTCTTTGACAGGAAAGATTGAAGAAAAAATGTGTAAAGGAAGAAGATAAATGCTTAGGATAGTTTCAAGAAATGGCTAGAAGAGAAAGGGATAGAGGTTCAAAGGTGAAACAGATGGAGAAGGTTAGAGACAGGAAGTTGTCGGGCTGCATGATACTGTAGTCCACAGATAAAGCACCTAGAGAGAAAAATTGACTTGATTGGGTTTAAAGACTTCTGAATTGTTTTCTAATTAGTAAAGCTTGGATTCCTTTAATGTGTTATTTGTATTGGTTTGGAAATGCAAGATCTATTGAAGTAAAAAATAACTGATTGAATTTGATATGAACAACAACAGCAACAAAAATCATATGTGCTCAATAATATTCAACTTTCTGATCTCGTTCATCATTGAAATATAGTGAAATCAATTTAGCGATCACCTGTACAGAAAGGCCACCTGTCCATGAAAATGGCATTTTCTTTTTCCCTTGAATAGACTTTTTCATTAAAGTGTGTAGGTAAGGGGCCAGTACACAATGCCCACCTGCCTATAAATGCAGTTTTCTTGTCACCCTTACTTGTAGATGGGTCGGTGAATCTAATTCTTTTTTGTTCAATCTTTCATTTCCCAGCATCTGATAGAGAGATCATGGTATGCTGTGACAGAGACATGCCTCGCATTCACCGTGTTCAGGGATGACTTTGGTCCGCGGTTCGTGGCCATGTTCACGCTCCTTCTATTTGTCAAATGTTTTCACTGGCTAGCAGAGGATAGAGTTGATTATGTAAGTCAGTTTCGTAGGGGATTGTTCTCAACGACTTATTCTCCTATAAATTTCCTGAATCTAATAGTTGCACGAATGTGCATGATATATATGGGATCTACACAAATAATTAAACAGTGCCCTGTAATGAGCAAAATCCATAAGTCTTCATATTGGGTTATTACAGCTAAGATCAGTATTATAGTTAAAAGTGAAAGATACCTTGCAGAATGTAAATTGGAATCTGTAATCACAAGATCAAACATTTTTTTAGAGCGAAGGAATTTAGAACAAGGGTGAACTACTATGATGTCTGGAAAATCAATGCTGAGAAAAGTATTCTCATACTGTCATTCAACTAGAGAAAGGTATAAAGAAATTTGTGAAATGCTCATTCTTCAAAACAAGTGTGATATAGAAACTACATTATTTATCTTCCTTTATTTTATGAAATTGCTTCATTTTTCTAGGAGTTACTTCTCTTTCATATGATTAACATTCCATTATTTATGTGCCCTACCTCTATTGTGAAGGGGAAAATCAAGCTGCTGTCTTCATACTTCTGATAATTTACATTTTATTGTATATTTACAGATGGAAAGAAGTCCAGTCATCTCCTGGGTATTCCATATGCGAGTCATCAGTAAGTAGATTAACTCTTGTGTTTGGTATGAAACATTCAAGCCATATTTTCACTCATAGGGTGATATGACAATATAATTATACTTTTTTTAACCTTGACGGGACTAGTCACCTACAGTTGTTTTGCTCTAATTTATGTGTGTACTGGTATCCTATGTTATAATTTTTAGCTTCATGAATATCAATTCTGTAGAGAGATGTTAAAATTGCAGTCTAAAAATTGTAAAATCTTAATCACTTGCATAGAATTTAGAATGCAGGGAAGTATTAACGTCCAAGTGGGCTCCCAGCCAGCCTTGATATAAAATAATCATTTTCCATTATACTCTGTATAATCGTTAACCACTTGAATTATCATATATTTATGGGGTTTTGATTTAATTTCTTTTTGTCTCATAAGTCTCAGCAAACGACTGATTCAAAAGATTACTAACCATGTATTAAATTGTTGCTTTGATCAGCTCTTCTTGTGGTTCTTGCATCCTTTGACCTGTTGTTCATCAACTATGCCTACCACAGTACTTTAACCAAGGGAGCCTCTGTGCAACTTGTCTTCGGGTTTGAGGTAGGCACACATTAAGAACAAATATCATGTTGAAAACCAGGCCCCTGTTTCATAAAATTTGTGATCAATAATTAGTTACAATAACTGTTATAAGCTACTGAAATTGTGGTATTTGATTGGCTGAAAGCATATTTGTCTTAGAAATTTAGCACTTGTTATTGATAACAACTTTTACGAAACAGGGCCGGCTTTTAACCCAATATGCAATGTTGCAATTGTCCCAGCTATAAAGTACAATGCCCTTAGCAGGCATGCTCATTGAACACACTTGGGAGCTGATGGTGGCACCTTTTTAGAATGAATGCTATTAATTTACACAGCTAGCAGTCATCGTAGTTCGTTTACCATTAAAAAAAAAAGATTTCTTTGAAAATTTCTCAATATCCTTTCATGTTTTGTCTATGAATATTGAAACATCAGATCATGATTTGGTAATATAGGCAGTTTTCATGCTAATATATTTATTTTGTATTAGGCTGTGTGTTACCAATTTGAGCATCTCAATGTTTATGTTTTAACATGTATTCTAGCATGTACTTTTTAAACAATTTTTAAAATCAAATTCACCCAAAAAAGGAACAAAAGTTTGCATTTGCTTTTGGTGATGAGTGTTGTGTGATAAGTGTAATAGATGATAATACTAGAAATGGGAAATGGGATTCCCTTTATTCTTTCAATGATCATACCGGCTTTTGGTGACCAATGAAACAAACTGGATTGCTACATTTGGCTTTGGGCACAATTACAGTGAACATGTATAATATTGTCCAAACAACATGGGAATTCCAGGATTTTGATCCATCGTTAATATCCCACTCACATCAAGATTCAATTAGACTGACGACAGATTGAACAAAATATAACATTACCCCAAACGCCAAGAACCAGTCGGTTTTGAGTTGATGTGAAATTGGTCTTGCCGATGTGATTATCATACATTCAATGAATTTTTTTTTGGGGTCTTTCTTCCAGTATGCCATCTTACTGACTGTGTTAATCAATGTGTTCTTCAAGTATGTCTTGCACACCATTGATCTACAGAGTGAGAATCCATGGGAAAACAAAGCTGTGTACATGCTGTACACTGACCTCATAATGGGTAAGAACTTATTCCTTTTAGCAGCTCTATGACAGACAGGTCAGATGTCAAAGGTCAATGTGGGTTGTTTCAGAGGTCATCGTAATTTGTTGCTTTACAGTTTCTGGCTCTGAGTTTCTGGCATATTTGAAATTTTCATACTTACTATATTACTTTGAAATACTATAGCAGCACTTTAACTTGAGATGAAACTACATTATAATTTTTTCTTTTTTAGATGTAACTGTTTTTTGAGGGTATAAATTATCCCTGTTTCTCGACCATGTACTTATTATAGAGCTCTGTTTGTACCAGCAAAATGTACAGCTAGATATGCACAATGGGGACAAAAGGTATTGTGCACATTATAGGCAAGGCCAACCACAAATATATGCACATCAATTACACTGCAGGTAATAATGTTTTTTGCTTTCTTTCTAATAATAATAAAAAATACTAAAAACGGTGCTTATAAAGCGCTTACCACCGAAGTCTCTAAGCGCTATAACAAACAATATACAATGACAAACAATTAGATATTAAAGGTAATACAAAGTTTTGGTATGGGGTCATGAATTTGGTTCAAATGAACATATTGGAAGCATATACGATCCTACAATATTCAGTGATCGTTGTCGCGGTCGAAATCGACTCTAAAGTTATGAAATTGTAAATAATAAACACTTTATGTTGAATAGCTCCCTCTCAAGGTCAAGATATTAATTAAGCTATAAAACAATGCTTATTGACTAAAATTGACTGATTAGCTATTCTCGTTCGGAAATTATATACCACAACTACATACTCTGAGATTTTCATGGTCGCAGCTACCATTGTACGGCCGTAGGAGCTATTTGAAATTTATCAACATTTACCGGGAGCACCGGTAAATCTTTATATTCAATTTTTCTCGAAAGCAGAAGTGTTTTAGGGGCTAAAATTTCTGGTGTTTTTAATACATCCACAGGGGCATCCAAATATATTAAAATTGTAAAGAATCACTATCCACCCATTTTTCAAAATTTCCCAAAACTTTGTAATACCTTTAAACAAAATAAAAAAATTACAAATATACTTACAAATTACAATACATATGAAATTATACATCAATGTGAACAGAGTAAGTTAATCATCAAAACCAATTTTGAATAAATGTGTCTTAAGACAAGTTTTGAATTGGTTGACAGTCTGACAGTTTTCTATTCTACCAATGCTTTCACCAAGATATCCTTTTTTATGTTTCTTGTCGATCAGGTTTTATCAAGGTGTTCCTTTACACAGCGTTTGTTGCCATCATGATCAAGATTCATACCTTCCCTCTCTTTGCCACCAGGCCCATGTACTTGGCTATGAGGTAAGTCAGTAATTAAAGGACTTCATACCATCTAATTTGATAAAACATCCTATCATCCCAAAAGCAAAATGCCATTGATTGGCAGTTAACTATTTGAGTTCGTTAGATTATTGGATTTTAAAAATATTTCACATCTCGACTTGCAGTAGGATGTCAATGAAAATAGGCAGCTTCCACAAAATGTTGGTTTACAACTTCAAGTTTATTGATGTAAACAACACATGAAGCAGAAAATTGCACCGTTTGCATGTTTGCTCTTGCACTTAACTGGTCAAGAGAGTTTGCATGTAATGTTGTTTTGTTTTCAGTACATGTAAATTCTAAAGGTATTTCTTATTTTCTCTGTGATAGGTCTTTCAAGAAAGCTGTCCATGATGTCATCATGTCTAGGAGAGCCATTAGGAACATGAACACACTGTAAGTAACTCCTGCCTCCATCTGTTCATTATAGATCAGATATGTGTATTGTGTTTAGCAAAAATATTTGTCGCATCTGTTCTACGTTTTTAAGAAAGGAATTCATTGAGTCAGTTAAGTTGTCAGTGTGCTATGCTGTAATACAATGTTATATAAATTATTCTTAAAGTATTCTTATTTTGTGTGAAATGCATGACTTCACCAGGTACCCCGATGCTACCGCTGAAGACCTTGCCACCACAGACAGCATCTGCATCATCTGCAGAGAGGACATGGTGGCTGGAGAGCCCGGTGCAGGAGGAGGAGGGACCTGCAAGAAGCTTCCCTGCAACCACATCTTCCACAGCAGCTGCCTAAGGTCATGGTTCCAGCGCCAGCAGACGTGTCCCACATGCAGGATGGATGTCCTGAGGCTGTCCGTGGCGGCCGCAAGCCAGAGGCTCAGGCAGCAGGGGCAACAGCAGCAGGGTGGTGTGGGGCAGCAGGGACAGGCTGGGCCAGGTCTGGGGCAACAAGGCAATGGACAAGTGCCACCTGTACCAGGGCAAGGTATGTTGTATTCTTGCTTTTCTGGAAATCATGTAGAGATTGTATGGTTTGGTTTTCAAATTGACAGTGTAGTTGCTACTCATTACCATAAGAGATAGTGAAGTAAAGATACTTGATCATGTAATGCATATTATTCAGATGGACACATCAGATCATAAAAGATATCAACAGAAATAAAAAGATATCAACAGAAATAAAAGATATCAACAGAAAGAAAAGACATAATATTGATTTTATTCAAGTCGTTGATTATTGCCATCAGTTTCAATCATTTGCATTAATTTGACTTCCCATTTATTTTGACAGGTATGCCCCCTTTTCCACCAAACTTCCAGTTCTGGCTTCCTCAATTTCAAGGAGGAGTCCCCTTCCCTCAGCCCCCTGTACCCCCACCTCCCTCCTCAGCTGCACAACCGGGAGCTTCTACTGCAACCTCCCCCACCACCACGGGAGCTGCATCACAAGGCACATCACCTGGTAAGTCCATTGTGTGTTTGAGGGAAAATGGTGAGGATGATTAACATGCACATTGACATCAAATGGTTTATGTTTTTACAACCCACCACTCTTTGATTCAATCAACACTATTTCATGCATTGTTGTGAAAACAATTAGATGACGTAGAGTAGTTTAGATTGGGAAGATAGATATTATCTTTCGAAACCTGATGATTAGTTTAGAAAGCTCAAAAAATAACTCTGGAAAGCTTGAAAATAGCTGGAATGAAACAAATAGAAGTAAAAGTCACCCTCTCAATAAAAATCTTATAACTTTTTAAAAAAATTTCAAGAGAGCTCTTCTGATTTCCTGCTTTGTATTGATAGATGAACATGTATAATGTGCTGTGGTGTCCAATTTTTGGACTGAAGACACGCTTTCAATTACCTTAAGATTCTCTTGATGAAATCAACCTTTGACACTATTCAATTTCAGGACTTATGTGTGCTGATTCGGGCTCTAGTCCCAGGACCTGCAAATTGCAAGATCATTTGCCCTATCCACTGTGACATACTGCTTTGTACTATAGATTTAAGTTGTCATTTTCTATTATCTACGCACTTAATTTCAGGTACATCACCTGGAACTAGTACGGCCACACCCACATCTTGGGGTACTTCTCTGCCAAACTTCCCCCCTCCCCCAAACATGGGTGCCCCTGGCATGGGTGGTATGCTACCCAACATGTTCCCCTCGATGATGCCTCCATTCATGATGCCATTTGGTAAGTTGAAAAGTGGAAGTATTATAAGAAAGACATTAATAGCAATTGCTTGCTTAATTCATGTCTTATTCATCATATTTATTTTAATGTAATAGTAAGGATATAGTTATTTCTGAAGATCTGTATAAAGGGGAAGCTGTGATATCAGTTTGATTTCAAGTTTGATTTCATATCATAAACCGGTAAACATCAAGAAAATATGTGACTATCACAGTGCCTTTCATGTTCAGAAAGAGCAATTAATTCTTGGTGAATATTTACATCCACATTACATCGCTGTTTAACTCTCCAGCGTTCTAAATTATACCTCTCTAATTTATTGAAAAACATTTACTATATATTTCTTATCTTATTTGTATGCTTGTATAATATTATTGTACATGATTTTCTATTTAATTACTTTTGTGAATAATGTATTTGTTATTGTTCAAATTTCTGGAATTCGAGTTTGAATTTATATCTTTTTGAACGCAGAAATAAAACCAATACAAACAAACCAAAATATTTCTTTTTTAACTCTCCCACCATTCTATACAATAGGTATGTCACCTCCGATGCCCCCTCCCAACTTCAGCGGTCTGTCAGACGAGGAGCTGCATGCTATGGAAGGCATGGAGAGACAGCATGTACAGGCTAGGATTGAATGCCTGAAAAACATCCAGTCACTCCTCGATGCTGCAGTCATTCAAATGCAGCAGTACAGCACACTCATCTCAGGATTAGGGTAAGAAGGATGAGTGTCCCAGAGCACAGTCCATAATGCAGGGATGTGTGTTTTCAAGCCATAGCCTTATTCAAGGCCCTGACACCTCCCTGTACAGGTTTCATATTGTACAGCACATAATAGACTCTAAAATGTAAAAGGCTTATGAGATGAAACCAAATGATATCCCTGATAATCTGTTTTCTGGATATTATCTCCGATATGAATATGTTTATTCCTGCTGAACTATTGCAGTGAATAGTCAAAATGCAAGAAATGAAGTTGTACTGGAAAAGCAGAAAACTGGCAGTTTAGATGGGGATGTTTTTTTTTTTTTAGCCCAGTTTTTACATTAAGCAGTGGATTACATGATATTATAGTGAATAGTTCAATTTATTAGTAATAAATCCCATCAGTTTTTAAATATTACCATTGATGTATTCAAGATATATTCCGGCATTTCATTGTTAAACCGATCCTTCCTTTCTTTTCAACCTCACCCCAGTATGCCAACTGTACCTGTCACACCGGCTTCCACCCACACTACATCAGCCACGTCTACAGTCCCCACCCCTACAGTACAGACAGGGGAGTCACCTGCCCCGCCTTCCTCACCCATTAACCCAGAGACTTTAACATCGACGGCCGCCCAGCCCAGCGAGTCTAGTAATGGTAAGAGTGAAGAGAAAGATATAGACCTGTATGTTGAAATATGGACTAAGTAACCGATTTTAGATAGTTTTGTGTATTGATTTTAAATCAAATGATGTAACATTCATGAAGCTTTGCAAGGTTTGCCATGAGAGATCCTGATTTGCGAAGTTTCATGTCTTGAGATGATAGAAGTACATCATTGAATGTTTGCAATTCTGTAAAGTTTCTTGGTTTAAAATCAGATATTAATAACAACACATGACATTTTCTGTATTTAGACTAACGTAACCCCACTTTTCGTATTGCTGGTGATTACACATGGTTCATATAATTCTTATATACATCCATTATTTTCCTGCATTTGGAAGAGATATGATCCAATTTCACAGCACAGCTTCAAGAGATGTTGAAATTGCATAGACTTGTTTAAAATTCTTAATTAAAATATCACAAGACGTAAGGTTAAAAATCATTCAAGCATCCATTGGGGTATATTTCTACGTAACCTGTACTTGTTTCTTTGAAAAGAGTCTTTACCTTTTGACTACTCAGTTCTCTTTTATTCACATAGGCTAATGCAGTGATCACTTGCTTCTCTACTTCGATGGGTTATAACATTCTTGTGACACCTTTTTTGTAACTATCTTTAGATTTGTCTGACTTAGAGGGCGCTGTTGGCTTCACATCTCCAGCCAAAGAAACCAAGGATGATGCAGCAGAACCCGCAGCGGAGAGCCCGGAGGAACAGGAACGCAACGAGGTCAGGAGAAGACGGTTACAGAGACTCAGTAGTAGTGAAACATCAACTTCGTGAGATTCCCTGTTCTCATTTCATTCCTCCAATCACCATAAAGGACATTATACTTCATCACCATGGAAACATTGCACGAAACGGTCAACAAGAACAGTTTGGGCATGGTCGATGGACACAGAGCTGATTCGAGAGTCAAGGAGCTTACTCCGCTTCGTTTATTGGTTTTCTCTTCAATCTACCAAGTACTGTAAGCAGAGCATAAAAGATTTCATGAACAGCATTCTGAAAATTCTGTAATCTTTTGGTTCATTGAGAAGCATGTTAATTGTCATAACAAATTAAATTTATGTCAAGTAGACATTAGTGCTTACTGGTACACAGATGCTCGGAGCAAAAATTTACCAATTACTTTTCCTTATTTCAGTTTGTTATGACTGTCAACATACTTTCAATAACTCATAACATTGATTTTAGAATACCGCTCCATTATGGTATTGTGCATAGAGATGCATTTATCTTTACCAGCTAGAAGTTAGTATTGGTATTAGTTTACTTCCATAATTTTTTTTGAATATATAGTATAATCAGTATTTTGAATTAATTGATTACAAAGTCAAATCTAATCTGTATGTCAACAAATTTGATTCATTACCGAATGTTAAGAATATGTGTGAATTCCAATAAATGCAATATTGCTGCACTCATATTGAGTCAAGAAGTAAGAGGTAGACTTGCTTGTAGCATTTGTGAGCTAAAATCTAGACTTTTTAGTAGTTGGAAGGGGTTTTGGGATTATTCACATTCAGTTCTACTATTTCATGTTTAAGATATCAGTTTTTAGTTTAGACAAAATTATGTAATCGCAGTGATGAATTCAGACTTGATCAGTAATTTGGCAAACTGCAGTGTTGATCTTTCTCGTTGAAATGTCTGACTTACCTGGTCCTCTGCTAGCCTGCTTGGTAAAGTTTCCTGCACATTGCACGAAGTCCTCTAATTCAGCTGTGTTGCCTCTGTTGATTATATGTTTCTGTTTCTACAAAAGGCTTACAATTCAATTTTTGTTTAGTGCTCTAGTAAAATCAATTTGGAAACTTAGTAGCAGTATTACATCCATGATAAAATTTTTGGAGTATCACATATTTTATTATTTTAGTGTTCAAAGATATCCACTGCAGCATGTAGCATATAACAAAAAGAAAACTATATTATTATAAGCAATACGTTAAACTCAAATAAAGTTGAATCAATGTGACTGCATGAGGCACAAAAAAATGTAACCTAGAATCCAAATAGTGCTGCTACTGCTATCAGCAGTATATTTCATCAATCGGTACAACATTTGTGGCTTTGTTGATACTGTAATCTGACACATATCTTTCTTTATTATATTATAGAGATACAAAAAAAATGCATTCTTATCATTTAGGTATAATAATGGTAACATTCTGTACTACATATCACAGTATGATGTAATGTGCCTCTGCACTTCCAATGAGCTCAAGAAACGATCACCCTTGCTTTTTCACATGCAGGCATTATCAGTGCACATTGCATTTCATGAAACAATCCTACCAGATACCCATTTACTTCACCTGGGTTGAGAGTGGCAAATGTAGATTAACGTCTTGCCAAAGGTATTAGTATTGTGTGAGGGCTTTAACCCATGACCTTGGCGTCAAACGTCAAGTGTTTAAACCACTCTGCCATGTGCAAGTAGAGGATGTTTTTTTGTTTCATTTTGTTTTCTTCAAATTTGGTTTTAAAAGAAACTAACAGTGCAATCAGCAGTACAAAAACAAAGTCAATATTGCATCAAAGTACATGTATATATGATTTGAATATTGTTATAAAATTTGAACTTGTTTTATCGGTAGAATGTGGTGCTGAGAATTAACTTTTCTTTCATGGAAGGGTATGTGTGATAGATGAGATGAATATCAAACTTTTTTTTTCATGATTTTTCAAATAGTGTAAATTGTGAGTTATACAAATAACGTGGATTGTAGATTTTATAGTTGTTATTGATTTATTTTTATGGATTTGCATTTCAAGAGAACCTGATTGATCATCATTCTGAATTGCTTGATTAGATTAAAAATTGCTTGATTTCCTAACTTGTTATTCTTAAAATTTATTTCTTAATAATTTGGTTTTTTTTTGCTCATTACTCAGTTATACTTTTTAAGCCAACATTGTTTGGATATGCCATCTTTGATACTCAGTGTGATATTAGTTTGATTCTGTGAAAATGTATTTCCTATCATTACTAGAATTTCTAGAGCACAAGATTACCCTTATTTTTTGTACAAATACCAGTATCCTTAAATGATGTACAATTTTTTTTTTCAAGGAGATTTAAATATCTGTCATGTTAAACTTTCATGGACTATATTTGACAGAGTTGTGTATCAGATAAATGGCTGCCATACCGCAGAGGTTACTTGTAAAAAATTAGAAATAATCTGCATCTCATAATTGAGATTATCTCTGTTTAACTATATGAAAGTGTAACTGTGGCATGTTGGTTACTTAAAAGCTTGAAATGATAACATGATTTATATACACAAATATGGGTTTAGGTACAACATTTATTCAGCACTTTAAATGGCCATTTTATGTTCTGTTCTTTGTTTTATTGTATTGTTACTCTTAATAAATTATATGTATATAATGTAGATTTAATTCAATGGACTTACTGAAGACTTACTAATACTTGCCTTTAAGAGATGCTCCATCTGAATAAACTTCCTACATGCATACTTTCAGTGATAAATTGGTGATACTTATTGTTTCTGAAACAGATCTCGAATTAAAAAAAATTGCATGGATTGTAATAGGCAAATAAGTAGTAATTGATTTTTATTCTAGAGAAGTCAGCTGTCTGCCAGTGCTATTTTAAAGACTCAAAATCGCACTGCACAATATGATGACATATACAAAAATTGTCATTCCTAGAACTTTGATTTAATTATTGAATAAAGTTTCCAATAGAAAACGGAGTATACTCAGAGAGCACTGAGATCATCATATTAATATTCTGACATTGGTCTGCTTCAACTTCAATGTGTGATTTTTCACCCTAAAATTTGTCTGTTTAAACTGTGGAAGATGGTTTATATAAAGAATTGAAATATTGAATGAAACTTTGGTTGATTTACTCTGTTCATTCCAATACCCTTCCAAATTTCAAAATGAAGAGTGATTGAGAAAGAGTTATACATCTAGCTAGAGAAGGAGAAAAATCATTTTATTTTAAAAGAAGTGGGAATGGGAAGTTGGTAAATTTCATAATGCATATTTATGTATTGGTATGTGTGAGCAGACTACACAAAGTGTGGTTATTATATTAAGTGAGGGGGAACAATGTCCAGAATATACATTTTTAGAGAAATTTACACCTGCCACCATTCAAATTATGGTTTTAAAAGCAGCTCTGATCAGTTAGATGTATCTTTTGTCTGGACATACATGTATGATTGATCAGAGAATCGTATTCATCTCTGAATGATGTGAAGGGCTGGGAGAGTAAATGCTACATGAAATTAAAGAAAGGATTAAGAAGTATTCTTATTCAAAAGGAAGAAGAGGGAGGAGGAGAAAATATATATAAGGAGGAGAAGAAGGAGCAGGAGGAGAAGATGGAGGAGAAGAAGAAGAAAGAGAAGAAGAAAAGAAAAAATGAGAAGAAGAAAAGAAGTAGAAGAAGGAGGAGGAGGGACAGTACATAGGAGGAGGAGAAGAAGAAAAAGAAAGAATAAGTAGGAGGAGGAGAAGAAGAAGAGAAACCCTTGCTGTTTTTGCAAGTGCATTTGGCAGATTCATTCCTGGTGGTACAAATGACAAAGTTTAAGGGCACATTTAAAAGGATGGTACATACTCTCTTTAAAAACAATATATGAGGGTAATTCTGAACAGGGAATATTATTTACAGATCTACCTTCATATAACTCACAAAGCAAAAAATTGGTTTCCAAAGAGAAACATAGAGAAACATATGAGATATGTCAGCTTGGCATAAAAGTCTTATATATGGAGGATTATGCTTAGATTTTGTAATTATTTTCTCAAAGAGGAGCCCTTGTTGCCCATCCATCTGTCTGTCCTTTTTCTTGTTAACCCGATTTCTCTAGAAACCACTCAAACCTGGTGATTATATTTATCACCGCAGTGTTCAATTTCTTAAAATCCTAGATAGATGTAACAAAAAAGGCAGTGAGAGAAATAGTTATTTCTGATATTTTCTTTTTTCAACTTTGATTTGCTGTCTAGAAAATACCGTATCTTTTGACGAGTCTTGTAAAACGCTGGAATCTTCTGCGGTAGAAGTCAACAAAAACTCTACAAAAATGGTAATAAGCGTGTAAAATTAATATCATTTTATTGACTGGTGATTGAAAATATGTTTTAGTATATCATCATAGTGCATTTATGATATATGAATAACCACTTCTAATGCTATTTTGTCTTTAAGTTCGCGCATGCAGCGTGCAGCGTATACTATTTTGTGTACAGTCTGTTCCCATGTGTTGATATTTGTGTTTGTTGACGTGGATGGACGCGGTTGAAAAAATGCCCACGTACACACACTGACACACAAAGCTGCATTACTAAAGCACCACATTAACTCAAATGTGGGTAAAGCTAGACCGAATTTTCCATCTCTTTCGTTCGTTAGCCTCTTATTGGGGTAGGGTCGGCTCTCTCTTAGAGACCGAAACAGACTATCCCGCGAAATGTGTAGGGTTATGTGGGCAAATCAGCACACCAAACTTGCAATAGGGTGTCTGAACGATTTTTCAATTTTCAATTTGGGATCGTTTTTCACCATTTTTGTTTGATATTTGAATTAAAAATGTAATCAGAATAATACATTTCAAATTTCAAGTCTCGCCGATGTTTCTATCAAAAGATACAGCCCCTTCAAAACGCTGAAATATTCATAGCATTTTGCTCAGAATCGACGAAAAAGACGTACACGCAGAGTTATGTTGTTTTGCTAAATTTAGCCAAACAGCTGTATCGCGCGATATGCAAGCGTATGCATATCGTACGCAAGTTGCTCAGCCAATGCGCGACTTGCAAGCTTGAGCCACGCTGTCTCCGCGATATGTGCCATTGACTAGTATGGGTGGCCGTTCCCGCCATAGAACCCGGAAGTGAATACACGTTGTAGTCAATGGCAATATCGCGGAGACAACGCACGTTCTCTCCGCGATATTGCCATTGACTACAACGTGTATTCACTTCCGGGTTCTATGGCGAGAATCGGCTACCCATACTTTCATTCACTATAAGCGCACATGTTACGATGTAACCATGGTTTGGACTGAGCGGAGCTCACGCCTCCCTAATTAGCCGATTCCAAAAATGTGGGAAGGGTATTTTCAAACTGTTATAACAAATGATCCCTTGGGGCTAGCGAAAAAAAAAGCATCTGGATATTATCCTTACGTCTAGCCCTGCTTAAGCCGCGGGGGCGCAGCTCAGGAAAGTGGCAAATTTTGGAGCTAGGATGCAAACAACATTTCAATCGCTGTTTTGACCAAGATATTTTTAGAATTCTGGGGGTGGCCCCCTATGGGGAATATGGAGAAAAACCTGCTCTTTCATATGACACCTCATTTATTGAGTTTCACCTTCAGGATCATTTGTTATAAAGGTTTGAATTTCAAATTTTTTCATAAAATCATTGACCAATTTTGGATGGTCGCGCAATGCACGTAGACCACATAGGGAAGCGTACAATCTCTATGGGAAGGGTTTTAGCACACAACATTGGGTGCGCGATCAGACACCCTACTTGCAAACTTATCCCCGAATCACTCCTTTCACAGGATGCAAATCCGATGCATTTTATATTGTAAATTAGGTTAAAACTTAACTACTTCGGTTCCACTTACCAACTTGACTGAAATAATCCGTTTAATGGTCCATTTTTAGGAAATTATGGGTCAAAATCGATATCCATGATGAAAATCTTGCAAGCCGTGTTAAACTCTCGCTGCCGGAGTCATCTAAATCAATCTCATCCCTTCTAGTCTACGCCGAAGGCAAAATGATTATGAAGGAAAAACTGTGCGCCATCTACACGTTCGTAATGGCATTATCACAGTTTTTCTTTTTTCTAACGAACGAAAGAGACGGAAAATTCGGTCTAGGGTAAAGCTAGACCGAAAGCTTCAGTCTCTATAATCGTCGGTTGTTCCACTGAGTCTACGTCTGGCTCCACTAGACCTCCGGTTATAGAAACTGAACGATCGCCTATACCATCGTATGTTGAAGATATCACGGCTAGATTTTAGCCGTTAGGCCCCTCCCACAAACATGACAAACTTGCCACGGCCGTATTGTTATGCCCCCAAAATCCCCCAAAATGTCATTTTACCTCGTGTATATCCAATTTTAAATTAGGCCTAGGCTATAATACATTGGTTCCACTTACTAACTTGATTGAAATAATCCGTTTAATGGTCCCTTTTAAGGAAATTATGGGTCAAAATCGACATCCATGTTGAAAATCTTGCAAGCCGTGTTAAACTCTCGCTGCCGTCAATCTCATCCCTTCTAGTCTACGCCGAAGGCAAAATGATTATGAAGGAAAAACTGTGCGCCATCTACACGTTCGTAATGGCGTTATCACGGTTTTTCCTTCATAATCATTTTGCTTTCGGCGTAGACTAGAAGGGATGAGATTGACGGCAGCGAGAGTTTAACACGGCTTGCAAGATTTTCAACATGGATGTCGACTATGGCGGAGGCATCATTTTCGACTGCGCGCAGTCAAAATTCCATCTAGTTTTATGATATTATATTCTACGGAGCCTTTACCGGGTCCCATACCACCGCGCGGAGAGGCAGGTAAACAACACCTAAAATGTGTCCAAAATCGCACATGACCAATATTGAACAGTGGCCTTGATGAATTTTATGGGACTTGTAATCGTAATTACACCCATAATATCATAATCAGAGGTAAAAATAGCGAAATAAAAGCAACTTTCTTAACAGACCAATACAGCTTAGCTCCCTTTTCATGTGACGCGTGTGAATTCACGATCTCTACACAATGGTGATGACCTCTGACTGGCACTTCCGTGATTGTGCTGCTTCCGTATAATGCGCGCTGTATGAGTGTTATTCAGCGCATTAACATACGGAAGCAGGCTTCTATTCTTTTCCAGGTATTTTTCAGATATTTGTCTTAGCGTGAATATTTGGTCCGTCGTAGCCCTGCCTGGTCTGAATCCTGCCTGGGATTCAGAGAGGATTTCTTCTGTTCTTTTGAGAATTCTCCTTTGTAGGATTATGGTCAGTACTTTTCCTGCATGGGACAGCAGACTGATACCTCTGTAGTTCATGCAGTCTAGTTTATTACTGCTCTTCCTCATTTCTCCGGGAATTTCTCAGATTCCCATATTTGGTTACAAAGATAGTGAAAAATGTCGGTTCCTGTTTCTCCAGCTACTTTAATTTCCTCGGAAGTGACTGTATCAAATCCTGGTGCCTTATCCTCACTGAGTTTTTTTATTGCACTTTTAATTTCTTTCCTTCAGTATGTTTGGCTCTGGGTTATCTGAAGAGCTTTTAGGTAGACTGTTTGCTACTGTGTCGTTTTTTTGGGTTGTGTTCATAATTCATATAGTTCGTCAGTTTTCTTTCCATCTCTTCTTTACTTCTGATTGATCTGTTAGAGTTCTTCCTGTCTTACTCTTATACTGATTGCATTCTCTTTGATGCTGATTTGGTGATTTTCTTAATTGTTGCATAAACCTTCTTTGATTTAGCGGCTTGGTGTGCGTTTTCTACTCTACTGCAAAGGTCCTTGAACCATGCTTCTTTACAGCCCCTAGTCTTCCTCTTTATCTCTCTGTTCAAAATGTTGTACCTTAGTTTCAGTGAAGGGTCATTTTATTTGGCTTGTTTGATTTTGCTGCGTTCTTCACTGAGATCTAGCACTTCTTGTTAGATCCATGCTTCCTGCAGTCTACTCTTTTTCATTCCCAGTACATCCTTTGCTGTGCTGTTAAATGCTTGATTAATCTTTTCCCAGATGCTATCTATGTCTAGGTGGGTATCGGGGTGATCAAGTATAGGTCTGAACTTCCCTCCAATTATGTCTCGGTAGGTTTTTGATGTAGTTTCATCTTTCAGTTTTGACACATCATATCTCTTCATTTTGTTCTGTTTGGGTGTAGTTTTGAATCGTAGCTTGAAATTGCAGATAACCAGTTGGTGATCTGAGGCCACATCAGCACTTGGAAAACTTCTAGCGCATTGTATGCTTGATTTCCATTTGTTGTCACCATGATAAAGTCTATTTTGTTTTTGGTCCTCCCATCTGGCGACTCCCATGTCCATTCACGACTTGCCTTCTTCTGCTTGAACATGGTATTTGCGATAGCTAGATTGTTGGCCATGCAAAAGTTCAAAAGCTTTTCTTTTGTTAATTTCTCCATATCCATGATGTTCTATGACGTTCTTTCAGGTGTCCCAGTCTCTCCCTACTTTTGCGTTTAGATCACCTCTCTGTCTGCCGTGTTTGGTGCATACACCTGGATTATTGTTAGGCTCCAGTCTGTGTTTGGAATCTGTCTGATATCAGTCTAGGGGATATGGTGTTATATCCCAAGAGTGCTTTTTGTGCTTGTTTGTTGAGGATCAGAGCAACCCCTCTCCTGTGTACATCTTCCTCGCTAGCACACAGTACTTTGTATTCTCCTTCAGTGAAATCTCCTGATTCTTTCCAGTGGGTCTTTGAGAGTCCGAGAGTCTATTATTATTATTAAATCAGAGCCTTCAACTGCAACTCGAAGTCAAATCGCATGAGTTTTCGGAGACGGACTTGGGATACTTCTCTTGTAGTATGGTGGTGGCCAAAAAAAACAAAACATGACGTCCGAGTATTCAAGTGTTCGCCTGTAAGCCTAGGAGTGTACTCAGAGCTGCCAAGTAGTACGTTTTTAACGTATTAATACGTTTTTTTTGGGGAAAATATGTCTGTACGTTTTGCTGTGCCAAAATACGTTTTTTGAAAGTTTCGTGTATGGCTGTGCGAACGTGGCTAGCGGCTGGCTGTGAGATCCAGCGTATGCATAGTTTTGCTATTGCTTTGTTGGCGATTCCTGCAGCGCGCACGCATGTACATTGCACACAATACAGGGGATGTACACCACTCAAAGATGAGCGCATTTCCCCAGGCCATCCATACCCACGCTAATGACATATATCATCAGTGCACTGCAATACACACACAGTGTCAGTACAAAAAAGTTCTTACTACCAAAAATCCATCCCAAAAGCCAAATTTTGCTGTCAAAAATGCAGAATCGAAGCCATATTTCTAAAGCTCACGGGGGCTTAGCCCAGTTTTAAGAAACAGCTTCACCAAAAAAGCGCTAAAAGAAATCAGCGATTTTGTTACCAGTTTTTTTGTCTATCGCAAGCCCTTCGAATGTGATGGTATCTTCAAAAAGCCAAATGAAAAATAAACACGGACCTGCTGATGCTTTGACTTTGCAACTCTAGACTTGCCTTGTGCCGCAACTTAGGCATAGAACATCATCGTGTGTTGCGCCGCAACACACAATGATTCTTTTAGTTTTAAATAATGGACTTTTCTGATAAAATAGCTAAATATATTTAACAAATCTTTTTTTTTTTAAATCCTTTTTTTAATTTTTTTTTTAAAAAATATGTTTTTTCAAGCTGAATAATATGTTTTTTTAATGTGACAGGTTGGCAGCTCTGTGTACTCGAGTACCTCATTACACGGTTATGCACAGCCTCAATTAGCATTTTATAATTCATTTTGAGACACAGAGATTTTCGAAAACCACTAAAAAGTAGCATTTTGAGGACTCAAAATATCCTGTACCTGTGTATAAGATCACCCCCGACTTTGGAATTTTTTCCCGCTAAATTACAATCATTTTTTAGGTAAACTACCTGTAAATTTATAAGAATATTGATGAATTTGGTATCCGTTTGTAGAAAAAATAGTGTTCTACAAGAAAATTACGATTATTTTGTTTGGTCCGTTATATCGTCTGCGTAGCAAAAAAGCGAGATATAGGCACTGCTTTTCCGTGGTACATTTAATAGTAAATAATTCTTCTGATGATTCTTAGTCAATATACACTTCAAAATGTGATTATATTTGGAGGATTTCATTTTTGGGGGCCTGCTAATGGGCCACCATGCCTATAAATAATGTCCCAACCTCAATTTTTCATCATATCGAAATGCGTAATGCAGGCGAGACCGCCGAGAGCGTTTCCCTCGTTTTTTTTCCCCTTTGGTTTTTTTATTTCCACTACAAAATGACAAAGTTGGGGGTGCGGCCTATGCGGCGCTGCAGCCTTATCGCCAGCAAATATGGTACTAAGATTCACAGCTTCCTTACATTATGTAAGGGAATGTAGCATGGCCCTACTTGTTATCAGTGTCTGTGATATGGTATAATATTAAAGCCCTAAACAAATTGCGCTTAAAATTGATCCTTTTTGTGCTTCAAAAAAGTAAAAACCTTTGAGTGACAGGTTTCACTATACTCATTTTCCCCAATAGACTGTAGTGTTATAAAAACCGTTAGGAAAATCATTTCAATCATAAATATTCACCTGTTTGAATAATTGTATATCAATAGTTAGAATGCAAGATATACATTTATTCGTAACAGGTGAATAGAATAATTCATACAAGGTGCTTCACGAAGGCATACTGTATGCATAAATCTGGTCACATTATGCAAAAAAGCCTGTTGGCTGAGCTTTTTCTGGTCCAACAACAACTAATGCATGTCAAATTGCTCAGTGTTTTGAAACGGCTGAATCAAATATCTGGTCACCATTCATCTGACTGCATTACTAAAATAGTCTGTTAATAGGAAACCATTGTTATGCATTTCTTAGGCATTTCTTAGCTGAGTGTCCTACATTGTAGCTATAATACAGGTCAGGAGGTATCTCACAAGTCTTCAAACTCTGACATCTCTTTTTTCAATCAAGAAGGTGACTCCTAGCTATGGAAGAATCATGGTTAGCAAGCAAGAAAACTGCAAACTCAGGAGAGATTATTCTGCTCTAATACTAACATGTAGATATCAAGTAGGAGTAAGTTCAACATTCAGTTTTATTTAGGCAGGCAGTTTTATACAAGATTAGCAGGTAATATTTGGTGGACTTTGTTCCACTTTGATAAGGGAGAAAAGAGAGAAAAAAGAATCGTTTATAGATGAAACTAGTATCTACTATCTACACTATACAAGTCTTTTACTTTTGATGGCTTCAGCATCTCCCATTATTCCTCAGCTGGCTTGTCAATGGCTCAGTCTTCCACATCTCACAAGCTATGTACCGATATCGTGCTATTACATTATATAATCCCTGTACTTAATTACTGAACGTAGGCTATTTGGTACAGTTTAAACCAATTCCTACTACAAGTGAACGTTATACAACCAATTACTTACATGTAATTACTTACATGTAATTCTGTACCAAATTTTTGATACGATTAACAATTCTGTGAATCTTTTATTTCATGCAAATGTAGCTAATACTCAAAACCGAGAATATTTACCTGTATTCTGCTCTGCAACATTAATTCGGCTACTGGCTATCCTCAGATAGCTTGGGGCAGTAGCTTGGACAAGTCCTTCTCCAATGGCCTTTCTTCCCGCAGGCAGAACAGAAGTCGGTTGCCTTGTGTCCTGACTGGTAACTAGGATTGAACGGTCTAGAATATGTGGCATTAAGACGGATTGGGCCACAAAACTTATTGTTAGCATAATTAGCCATATATGCTGGATTAGCAGGAGAAGCCAACAGTCTTCTCACTTGATATGGCTTGCTCTTTTGGATTGATTTTAACACCAGACTTTTTCTTTCTGGCTGCCTCTCTGGCTTGAGCAGAACAAATTTTCTTCTCATCCTCACTATTTTCAGCCAGATATTCATCTACAGCCATCCAACCTGCTTCAGACATGTCTGCAAGTTTGACAAGCTTATTCCTTTGCCTTAATTCTTTTTCGGCCTTCTCAAGAATCAGAGCTGCACTACTGCCTAAGGGTTGGGATTTCTTTTTGAAATTCACTTGCTCCTCATTCCCTTTGAATCGGGACGGGGCTTTCTTAGCTTTGAGCTTTTCAATATCTAAGGAAGCCTTTTTGTTGGCTACCAGTATCTTATGAGATACAAGTTGATTGTCGATGTAGAAATGAATCCCCTCAATTGCTTGGGTTAAAGCTCCTGATACAGCCTGGTTAATTACGTTAGATAAAGCATCTAAGGATACAGGCTCACCTTGTCCTCTGATAACTGGCTGTTCAATATTTCCTGAAGAAACACCTTCCATTTCAATCCAAACTCTATATCACACAAGGAAACAACTATTAAAATTCCTTGCTGGAGCAAAAACTTGGGTGGTCCGCACTGCCTTGTTAGATAGCATTCAATGACCAACGCCCTAACTCTATTCAATTTTGCGATACGTGGCCTTTGCATACATTATGGTGACAAAGTTCCGAAGGAAAATGTCATTGATGCATTTGAATTAATGACTTAAAAGGTAGATATGGTCAGAGACTCTAGATGAAATTACCATATTTCAAGTAAATGTAATTATGAGGTTCAAGATCCATGCACAAATTACAAAAATCAATGCTTCAAATTCCAAATTGTTTGTGTACCATAATTGTAAAGATGTCATTGACATAGAGGATCCATAAAGGATAAAAGGTCAGTGTATTCATAAAATATATGTTTTTTGTTTGTTTCAGGCTCACACAATTTTGCTCATCCAGCCATCGACTCCAGACTCAAAGACCTACTCGGACTACAACAGTATCAAGGAGTGCATGGAAGGCAAGTGCAACATTCTTTTGATTTTTACATAATGTCCTTTAGCAAGACATTGATCTACATTTGCCACACTCGACCCAGGTGATGTAAATGAGTACCTGGCAGGAATAGACCAGTTGCCTGCAATGACCCCAAATATCCACAGATCTTGAAATCATGAAGAGGTCCCACATTGTACATTTTGAAATAATCACTCCTACATCGATGGAGATGCTACATACTTAGCCTTAGTTTCCCCTTTTCAAAGAATACTTCTACATGTACCTGTGTTTCATGGAGTACTCTGTTTGTGCATAAATGAATAGTGATTACATAATTTTCATGAGCATGTATCCAGTATTCTGTCTCCGTGTATTTCACAATTTGTTCTGCAATGACCTTTATCTGCTCTTGCTCATACTGCAACCGTGAACTGCCTTATTAATACCTTGAAATGCTGGAGCTGTATTAAATAGCAGGGAGGGTAAAGCCGGGGTACTAATAAATGCGCCTCGGAATAGACGGCGCTATAGAAATGCCTATTTATTATAATTATTACATTTTTGGTTGTACAAAGCTATATTAACAGTTGGATAAAAGAAAGTTAGAAGTTACATTTTGTATAATTTGTCGTCTTCTTCCGATGGATCTGCCTCCTTTACTCCTCAAGATTCTAGCAGATGAATCATGTAATCGTGTATCGTGTATGTGTGTTACAAAAGACATGAAGTGCAGAGCATCCTATTTACATAATTAAGGTGCAACTAAAAGGAAAAGTCCTGTCAAGTCTTGGTTCAGCTACTGCATTTCATCAGTCTTTGATGAAACGCATCTACCGAAGGACCCATTATTACGTCTAGAGGGAAAGAGTTCCATGTGTGCAGTCCTCTTTGATTTTTATGAATGTTATGGCCATGAAATAGGGTTTGAAAAGTTTTGATGAAAAGCAAATTTACAGACAGAAAAGTTGGCCTTTGTACATTAAAAAGAGTATAAAAACAATGATAATAGTCGGAAGTCACCTTTGTGAATGAATGGATTTGGCAAGTATGGTTTTTGAATACCGGTAATGAGAAAATTATTTCTTTGAAGTAAATTTTCATATTATTGACCAAAATGGTGAGCTAATATTTCAAATAATTTGAACATTTGCATTATTGTTTATTTGGTCTCAATGAACTTCCCTGCACATCATTAGGTTGATCGAACCCCTGTTTGTTTTCTAGAAATGCGTTTTGGCAAATGATGAAAATCCTCACTTTTGGCCAAAATCATAAGGTTGATCAAACCCCTGTTTGTGTTCTAGAGGGGCGTTTTGGTAAATTTGATGAACATTTTGAAAATCCTCATTTTTTGGCCAAAATGGCAACTTATTTGAACATCACAGTAAATTTGGTCTTAATAAACTTCCCTGCCTTGGCAAATTTTGAAAATCATCATTTTTTGGCCAATAATTTGAACATTTTCATTATTGTTTACCAATATTTGGTCTCAATATACCTCCCTGCACATCATTAGGTTGAACAACCCCTGATTGTTATGGCAAATTTTAAAAATCCTCACTTTTTGTCCAAAATGACAAGGGGTAATAGGTCACCTTTTTTGCAAATTTTTTGAACATTTTGCATTATTGTTTATTTGGTCTCAATGAACTTCTCTGCACATCATTAGGTTGATCAAACCCCTGTTTGTTTTCTAGAGGGGCATTTTGGCAAATTTTGAAAATCCTCACATTTTGGCCAAAATGACAAGGGGTAATAGGTCACCGTTTTTTGCAAATGATTAAAAAAAAATAATTATTTTTTATTTGGTCTCAATAAACTTCCCTGCACATCATTAGGTTGATCAAACCCCAGTTTGTTTTCTAGAGGGGCGTTTTGGGCAAATTTTGGCAAATGATGAAAATCCTGACTTTTTGGCCAAAATGGCAAGGGGTTAGCTCATCATTTTTGCAAATAATTTGAACATTTTTCATTATTTTTTATTTGGTCTCAATGAACTTCTCTGCACATCATTAGGTTGATCAAACCCCTGTTTGTTTTCTAGAGGGGCATTTTGGCAAATTTTGAAAATCCTCACATTTTGGCCAAAATGACAAGGGGTTAGCTCACCATTTTTGCAAATAATTTGAACATTTTTCATTATTTTTTATTTGGTCTCAATGAACTTCTCTGCACATCATTAGGTTGATCAAACCCCTGTTTGTTTTCTAGAGGGGCATTTTGGGCAAATTTTGGCAAATTTTGAAAATCCTCACATTTTGGCCAAAATGACAAGGGGTTAGCTCACCATTTTTGCAAATAATTTGAACATTTTGCATTATTGTTTATTTGGTCTCAATGTACTTCCCTGCACATCATTAGGTTGATCAAACCCCTGTTTGTTTTCTAGAGGGCATTTTGGCAAATTTTGAAAATCCTCACATTTTGGCCAAAATGACAAGGGGTTAGCTCACCATTTTTGCAAACAATTTAAACATTTTCATTTTTTTTTATTTGGTCTCAATGTACTTCCCTGCACATCATTAGGTTGATCGAACCCCTGTTTGTTTTCTAGAGGGCGTTTTTGGCAAATTTTGGCAAATTTTGGCAAATGATGAAAATCCTCCAGTTTTTTTTGCCAATATTGGCAAGGGGTTAGCTTATCGTTTTTGCAAATAATTTGAACATTTTGCATTATTTTTTATTTGGTCTCAATGAACTTCTCTGCACATCATTAGGTTGATCAAACCCCTGTTTGTTTTCTAGAGGGGCATTTTGGCAAATTTTGAAAATCCTCACATTTTTGCCAAAATGACAAGGGGTAATAGGTCACCGTTTTTTGCAAATGATTAAAAAAAAAAAATTATTGTTTATTTGGTCTCAGTGATCTTCCCTGCACGTCATTAGGTTGATCAAACCCCTGTTTGTTTTCTAGAGGGCCGTTTTGGGCAAATTTTGGCAAATGATGAAAATCCTGACTTTTTGGCCAAAATGGCAAGGGGTTAGCTCATCATTTTTGCAAATAATTAGAACATTTTTCATTATTTTTTATTTGGTCTCAATGAACTTCTCTGCACATCAATATGTTGATCAAACCCCTGTTTTTCTAGAGGGCATTTTGGCAAATTTTGAAAATCCTCACATTTTGGCCAAAATGACAAGGGGTTAGCTCACCATTTTTGCAAATAATTTGAACATTTTTCATTATTTTTTATTTGGTCTCAATGTACTTCCCTACACATCATTAGGTTGATCGAACCCCTGTTTGTTTTCTAGAGGGCGTTTTTGGCAAATTTTGGCAAATGATGAAAATCTTGACATTTTGGCCAATATTGCAAGGGGTTAGCTCATCGTTTTTGCAAATAATTTGAACATTTTGCAGTATTGTTTATTTGGTCTCAATGAACTTCTCTGCACATCAATAGGTTGATCGAACCCCTGTTTGTTTTTAGAAGGGCATTTTGGCAAATGATGAAAATCCTGACTTTTTGGCCAAAATGACAAGGGGTTAGCTCACTGTTGTTTTGCAAATAATTAGAACATTTTCATTATTGTTTATTTGGTCTCAATGAACTTCTCTGCACATCATTAGGTTGATCAAACCCCTGTTTGTTTTCTAGAGGGCGTTTTTGGCAAATTTTGGCAAATTTTGGCAAATGATGAAAATCTTGACATTTTGGCCAAAATGACAAGGGGTAATAGGTCACCGTTTTTTGCAAATGATTAAAAAAAATTAACTATTGTTTATTTGGTCTCAGTGATCTTCCCTGCACGTCATTAGGTTGATCAAACCCCTGTTTGTTTTCTAGAGGGGCGTTTTGGGCAAATTTTGGCAAATGATGAAAATCCTGACTTTTTGGCCAAAATGGCAAGGGGTTAGCTTGTTGTTTTTGCAAATAATTTGAACATTTTTCATTATTTTTTATTTGGTCTCAATGAACTTCTCTGCACATCATTAGGTTGATCAAACCCCTGTTTGTTTTCTAGAGGGGCATTTTGGCAAATTTTGAAAATCCTCACATTTTGGCCAAAATGACAAGGGGTTAGCTCACCATTTTTGCAAATAATTTGAACATTTTTCATTATTTTTTATTTGGTCTCAATGAACTTCTCTGCACATCATTAGGTTGATCAAACCCCTGTTTGTTTTCTAGAGGGGCATTTTGGGCAAATTTTGGCAAATTTTGAAAATCCTCACATTTTGGCCAAAATGACAAGGGGTTAGCTCACCATTTTTGCAAATAATTTGAACATTTTGCATTATTGTTTATTTGGTCTCAATGTACTTCCCTGCACATCATTAGGTTGATCAAACCCCTGTTTGTTTTCTAGAGGGCATTTTGGCAAATTTTGAAAATCCTCACATTTTGGCCAAAATGACAAGGGGTTAGCTCACCATTTTTGCAAACAATTTAAACATTTTCATTTTTTTTTATTTGGTCTCAATGTACTTCCCTGCACATCATTAGGTTGATCGAACCCCTGTTTGTTTTCTAGAGGGCGTTTTTGGCAAATTTTGGCAAATTTTGGCAAATGATGAAAATCCTCCAGTTTTTTTTGCCAATATTGGCAAGGGGTTAGCTTATCGTTTTTGCAAATAATTTGAACATTTTGCATTATTTTTTATTTGGTCTCAATGAACTTCTCTGCACATCATTAGGTTGATCAAACCCCTGTTTGTTTTCTAGAGGGGCATTTTGGCAAATTTTGAAAATCCTCACATTTTTGCCAAAATGACAAGGGGTAATAGGTCACCGTTTTTTGCAAATGATTAAAAAAAAAAAATTATTGTTTATTTGGTCTCAGTGATCTTCCCTGCACGTCATTAGGTTGATCAAACCCCTGTTTGTTTTCTAGAGGGCCGTTTTGGGCAAATTTTGGCAAATGATGAAAATCCTGACTTTTTGGCCAAAATGGCAAGGGGTTAGCTCATCATTTTTGCAAATAATTAGAACATTTTTCATTATTTTTTATTTGGTCTCAATGAACTTCTCTGCACATCAATATGTTGATCAAACCCCTGTTTTTCTAGAGGGCATTTTG